TTTGTACAGTTATCATATAACAAACAAAAACTTACAAAAGCCATTTATAGAGCTGATAGGGAGCAGCACAAGTATGGCAAGAGCGTTGAAAATTATGTACCCAGAGGGGGGGGGCGGGGGGCAAAAAGTCAGATCTTCGTGGTCGATGAATTGGCATTGGAATATTTTCTACGGTTGCGTTAGTTTAAGTTCACGAGGTTCACGTCACGTACGCACGTACGGTATTTTTGGGGCACAAAATTCTTTCCAGCGAAGGTTTTTTTCACCAATTATCAACTACCTTCCTGGTTTCAACGTATCTTAACTTGAACTTAAAGAATTCTCAGCCCTGCGAGTTTCTTTTTTTCTTAAGAATTGAATACTTAAGAATAATTGAATTCTTAAGTTTTGAGAAAAGATTATTGATTTTTGGAGGCAGAAAATCGCAATGATCCTGCAAATTCATTCAATCTTTTGCAGCCCTGTCACATCCATTATATGCTTATGTTTACAGACATACAATTCATAGTTCGCAGATGTAGAAAATCAATGTTGAAAAAAGTACAATACAACATGAATATCCGCGACTCGAATGATAAAAAAATATCAGAACATCGGGCCTTGGCAAAAATTGTATGGGTTCTTAAGAAAGAGAGTGTACCCTGGATGATAAAGCCTCGTATCATATAGGAAGTATATTGGTGAAAAACTAGCAAGATATATAGACCCTAAATGCCAGTTGTTTTGAAAAATCTTTATGACATTGCAGCTGCATTTGTGGAGGAAAAGAAAAACAATAAATAGCAGATCAGTCGAAAACCAAGCTAGCGGTTTATTTTACCGAAAGCTTTCGGGAAATGTCTGTAATACTTAATCCTAAAGTCGTTACGATGTCGGGGCAGTTTCATTGCATGTTCACCTGGCCGTTTGCACAAGATTATTACATATTCAATAAAAAGTATTTTCCTTTTCTGAACAAGGATCAACGCATCGCCCTCAATTGTTGGATTGCAAAGCCAACCTAGGACAACTCCTACTTTGGTATGCTCTTGCAAGGGCAGCTCTCAATAGAAAATTGCGTGCCATACCTATCTTAGTAAGATGTGTGGATTTGCGTAATTTAAAGATCCTTGCCTCTAAACTCCTTTGTATGATTTTGCTTGTTTTTTGCAAAGCGCATTACGATGTTGTCTTCAAATACTCGATTAGTAAACAACTAGGCAGTGGAAAAAGGAATTCTGGATAAGACCTAATACTTATCACTGCAAACTGGTGGTGTAGTGCTATAAAAAAATAACAGGGTGGGCTCTTGCACAAAATAGTGCGAAAAACAATAGCAAAAGTAGAAATTTGCAAATTTTCGGCATTAACAAGGGGACTCAGCCCCCCTGAGCCCCCTAGCACTACACCCCTGCTGCAGAATTCTATGCATGTTATAACTCGTGAGACCTTAATTCAATCCTCACCAGTTTGCAAACTGCAGGAGACTTAGAAGATCACCGATAAATGGGGATGGAAAGACACTTCTGCGTAGGCGTGGGATAAAAGGGGGTTTGGAGGTTTGCAGCCCCCTAGTAAGGCAAAATTTATCCCATTTCGAGCCCCATTCGGGCAGTTCTTTCGCAATGAAGCAATAATATTCGGGCAAGATCAAAACTAAAGCTCCCTTCAACGTTTGGCATCCGCTACCAATCTAGACAGTTACACAGGAAAACGTATCTCAGATGATGGCAAAACATGGTAATAGCAGCTATTTTTCTAAATACTTTAAAATTATCAGGGCTATTGTACGCATCGCAGTCACACAGGCTGAATTTTTCCTACCTCTTTGTGCTGATGGACTGCTTGAAAATTGTCCATTAGCTTGGAACTTTATTGGATTCTCTTTTTTCATAGACCATCATATTGCAAGTTGAATCCAAGGTTCCAAGATTAACAAAATCTCATTACAGTGCTAGAGAATTTTAGATTCTGCATTAAAAAACTAAAATAAACTGACAGTTTTGCGATCGTAAGTCGCCAGCTCATGGCATTTATTGATTGCATCGCAATGCAATTGGATAAAAGTGGTGCCCAACGAGGGTTGAACGCCTATTTTGTATATGATATCTATAAACGATATTGTTTATATCTTCAATAACAAATGCCCTGGTAAAGCCTGAACATGTTGAGTAAAGATGAGCATGTTCTACAACTAGTTGTTATTATCGATTCGTTGCATAATTTATCAATGCATAATCAATATATGCAAAATTAATGGAATCTGGCGAAGCGGGTGATCAATTGTCCGCACATAAGCCATGAGATTTTCAAACTACGGCTATTGGTAACGAACAAATGAATCGTTTAGGTTTACACAAGAAGAGTAACATGAATACTGGTACCAAATCTCAAATAAATGCCAATAATATGAATATACAGTGCCGAAAGAAAACGGAACTGATTTCGATTTCCATTCATCAAAATCTATCTTCACAAAATACGACCATAACGAAACATTGTTAGGGTCGACCACTTTATGATACCTTCCATGAGGTTCTTAGTTTTAAACCAGTTGATTTAGACAAGTGCACGCGTTACAATTTAGTGATTGACAACAATAAATTTTGAAAAACCTACGGAAAGACAAGTCCCCTATAAGTTGGTCTATTGCTTCACAATCATCAACAAGATTAACAGCATAATCAAGTCAGTTATACCAATTGATACTAATAGTATTTGCATCTCTAGCAAAAGCCATTTAAATGCAAATTAATGCGAATGCACAATTATACAGTCTTTAAAAAAGCTAGCTTACTTTTATTTCTTCAGTGAATCTCTGAATAACTATATCAACTGGCGACTTCATAATGCTTATAAGGTCACACTGCATCACACAGCAACAACGTATGTGAAAACAGAGTTCATTAACGATATGACTTGATATTTCTTAAAAAAATTACCCGCATTGACAGAATGAAGCAATGAAGAGGGTTGCAGCCTTATTTCCAGAAGACCTTCGCCCTTTGACCATGGTTTTGAACTGACCACAACAAAAGAACTGTGAAAACTTCAAGGAGGAATGGCCAAAGGTCGGTAGTACAGAGAAAGAACATATATCCGTTTGGAGACATTTTCTGGGGACATAGGACCTCTGCTGAGGCACACGCAAGGTCTGCAGTTGTTTTGAAACACAGAGCTGAAACTTCTTGCAGACAAAATTTCATAGATTCGATATTTCACATGAAAAATTTTACGGAGCTGAAGCATTTGCTAAAATATGATCTTCTACGCGAGGATCGAAGATAGAACTACCTTACAATCAAAGTTGCAAGGGTTCCAAACGCAGTCCAACAAGGTCATGAACTCATGGTTTGGTTAATAAGCCAACAGCCGTAAGAGCACCGGCCTAATTAGGAAAGACTGTGAGCCGATACGTCTGAGGTCATGCAAATAATCAATCAAGAATCGGAAATCTAGAAATTTTATTTGAAATACTGAATGGCCAATTAAAATTTAATAATCTTCGCAATACATAGGCTGTCAGAGTGATTTAACCATACCCGGAATATGAATGAAGGACTGACACCGTGGTTTAAATACCCACATACCAAAACCGAAAACGCAAAACTCAGATTGCAAATTCCCGCAGTCAAAGACAAAGAACAAAACCAGAGGGTTCCTCTCGCTAAAAATTTTCACGTTCCTGTAAGGAAGGATGTTCAGTTAACGTCCAGAACAGTCCTTTACTCTTCTTCCGGTAATAAGGCTAAGAGTCAGGATTCTCTCAAGTCCCATCTTTAAGGCTGCCCCGTAATGCACAGCATTTAGTTTTTGGCAAGGTAGAAAAAGGTTGTTTATTGGTCAGAATGTAAAGATTGATATTTTGTCTATGAGGAATAAGATTCGGTTGATACGACAAGAAAAAAGCTTGTCTCTCGGAGTAGCGATATAAATGGCAGACGAAAGCGGTAGGAAAGTATCTACTTTGACAAGTTTAAAGACACTGGAAATCGTCCAAGACTATCATCATTGAAATATTCAACGTTGATCATAGAAGGCTGCAATATACGTTGAGCAATTTTCAGGCGCAAGGAATGCTGGACCTAAGCTGCCGTAGTTTTCCGAATACTTCAGATATGTTGGTGATTGCTTTGCTAAAACGCGAAGCCACAAAAATCACCTTGTGAAGCGAATACATGTGTAGTCTGCTTTTCCTTGACGACCAGCCCTAAGGTGTTTTATCGCCAAATATGTCAGCTAGGAAAGATTATTTCAAAGAAATTTTGCAAAAAACTTTTACCTTGTGCGACGGCAGATGATTCTTGTTTCGGCATTAGATATTGATAGAAAAGAAGCTGCTACTTTATAGAATAGAAGACGTTAACCAATCAACTTGTACTGCTGAGTCATATGACGTAGTTCTCACCGAAAATTGCATTTCCAGAGTTGCACCATATCGGCAAAAACAAACCAGTTAATTCAAAGATAGAAATATAACTCATGATAAATGGTGCATGAAATGCTTAATGTGGGTGATAGATCTTTTAGTAAAAACTCATAAAGGATCTAGAGGAATACAGACACCTCTTTTTGCCTTCACATTCGTATTAAGTGAACTTTCTCAAGCACCCAAATCTTGCATGCAAAAATACAACACAAACTAGAAGACCAAATCTTTCGCTTCTGAAACAAGTAGGTCATCAAAAAGTTTAAATATTTGTTACAACTTCTAGCATTTAACTCTTAGAGTGTTTATAAACATTTGAAATAAATTTAGTTTGTTTCACACTGACCGTAATCATGATCTCGCAATGACCCCAGCAGATGTTGATCAGCGATACAATCACTACAGCATACATTATCATAAATCATTTTTTGTCAACACATTGTAATATTTGCCCTCTCGTGCTCCATAAAGACATCATCTCGCAATTTTCTATCAAATCGAGGTTGTTCCCTGGCAATATATCTTGCCATATTGAAAATGAAGAACACGCCTTTCTCTACAACAACTGACGATAACAATAAACAGGACTCACCAGTAGGGCTTCTTCATGCTTTCGAATCTTATCTGCTTCTTCCTGCATAAGCGACCGATCATGTTCAGCTTGCCGCTCTTGTTCTTTGCGCATTTCTTCCAGACGTATTCGTTTTTCTTCCAAGTCCCGCTCTTCTTTCTGTTGCCTTTCAATGCGTTCTTTCTTCTCTTTCCACTCTAGTTCAGCCTTCTCTGCAACCTGTTTCCTCAGATCATCCAAACGCTGTTTGTTTTCTTCGATCTGTGGCAAAGAAACAATATAAGAACGCATGTGTTTAACAGTTGAGCAGATTGGCTGAGCGTTGTGTGAAAAGTAACTCGCAATAAAATCTGAAGGTGACAATCTCAGCAAGTTGCTATAGTTATTTTTGATTACATGTGTGAGCCTTACTGAAAACAAAATCAGTTGTCAAAAGGACAATTAAAATATCTTATAGCTCTCTACTGAAATCAAAAACTTTCATTCCTATATCATGAAGAGATGTACGCCAGCAGTTTGCACTGAAAGCAAACAAAAAGCTTATCTAAAAAACCATCATATTGATATACATCACAAAATTGTAGAGTCAAATTTTCACGTAAATATCAGCAGGAGTTTCTAAATGACGCAAAATTCTTCACTTTTTCAACTTTGCATCCGCTGAAAATTTATCAAGCAAAGATCAGAAGCTTTAGGCAAACTGCAACCGTAGCACAATTAAAGCCAATCCGTACTCTTAACAGAACTTCAAATGCTTGTGTTTTTGAGAAAAAAGATAATTAGTTTATGTTGCTTACCATTTGTTGCTGATCGTTAAAAATCATAACACAATTACAATCTTATGTATAAAAAACAAACACTGCTCGAAAATGCTGCTAAGGCAACAAGCATCAAACAAAGACGCATATGCAAAAATGTCTGCAATATTCTTCGCAGCAGTTTATAAGAACTTATGACGACTGTGAAAGACCTCAACATGGAATACCTTTGGAAACAGTCGCTTTCACACAATACCAACAAAACCTATCACGAAATTTCAATTACATATTCAAATGGAATAAGAAGAATACTGACAGAGAGACTTTTCAAGTGATTATGAACAGAAGGTCACCAGCCTAATCACCGAAAGCAGAATCAATTTACGTTTTTTGCGTGTCCGACATGTTCTCTTATTACCCATAATGTGTTATGATTTACTGAGTTAACAAGCAGTTTGCAATAAAAAGCTAAGTGGGAATGCCAACGAGCAATCAAAAAATAAATACTGTATTATGTAGGCATAAATGATGCGGCATTTAAGACTTTTTATGTATTGTTTTTGAGACAATAAACTAGGAGCAGAAAAGGCCACGATAATTAATAAAATGGGATTAAACGTAATACCTAGTTGTTGACAAAAACATAAAGATAGAGAAAAATAATTCACATAAAACCATTTCAGATCAAAATAGGTATAAAGTTTGATATATGGCTTTAAGTAAGAATCAGCTGCAAGCGCAAAAAGAGAAAGCTTGAGATTCAGCTAAAGGAATGTTTGCCTTGACTCGACACTGAACAAGTGGTCACTAGGGTTGACGACAAGAAGTAAGATGACCTTAATGTTAACACTCATATGCAAGTTGAAAGATCAGCGCATGATCTAACATGTGTGGAAATAAGAAACAGTTGCCTACATTTCATCAGGCTGTGAGAAGCTTGTAGAACGAATCATATATTGTAGAGAAGTAAAAAATAGCATAAATGTTCTAAATTATCTGTTGCGAAAAGGGAAAAGAACTGGTCCCAAATCGCACACGAGACATTAACGAACACTGTCAATGAAAAACGAAAAATCAAATCTTGAAACATACCTCTTTCATCTTATCCTCGGGAGTTTTGCATCTTCGAAGCATAGCAGGATCAACTTCTTGAAAGGACTTAAATGACATTGGAAGTGATGACGATCGTTTAAAATCTTCCTTATCGACCTCAGCTTTCCTTTGTTTTTCCAGTTCTTCTTTCAAGACTTTTTTCTCATCTTCTAATGTTTGTATATAATCCTTGTACTCTGATTCCTTTTTATTTAGCCTTTCCCGTTCAGTTCTTAACAGGTCCTGTTCCTTTTCTCTCATTTCTTGCAGCATTTTTCGTTCCTGTTCAGCCTCTTTCAGGGCATCTTCGTGTCTCTTTGAAACCAGATCAACAAGCTTTCTGTTCTCCTCTAGCCTTCTCCTTTCCTCGTTACTCTCTTTCTGCAACTGCTCTCTAAGAAGTTGTGCGCCATATTCCATCTGCCTCGCAGATTCGAACTGTTTCTGTTCCAGTTCTTCCAGCATCAGCTGTTCTGTCTCAATATACTCAAGTTCGAGCTGTCTCTCCCGTTCAAGCTTCTCTTGTTGTGACAACTTATTGAGCTGCAATTCTTGCAGAGCCTGAATATGTTCCTGCTCCAACTGCAATAACCGCTCTTTCTCGGCATTTATCAACTCCCTTTCTTTTTGCTGTTCCTCAGCAGCTCTTTTCAAGACATTCACTCTTTCCTCTTCAACCTTCAATTCATTGATCACCTTCTCCTGCATTTTTTGTGTCTCGGCCAGCCTCTCAACCTCTATACGGTTTTTCTCGTTCTCAATCTGCCTCAGCATGCTTTCTTGCTTCTCCTCGATCTTTTTAAGCCGTGTCTTCTCCTTGTTAATTTTCTCCAATTCACTCTCCCTTTCACCTTGAAGCTTTTCAATCTGACCAGCAAGCTGTGATTCTAATTTCTTGTGAAGCTTCTCCATTTCTTCTAGTTGTCGCTTCTCTCGATCAATTTCTACCCTCTGTTGTCGATACATTTCCTGCAACCTGCCGAGAGAAGAATAGGCATTGCAAAACACATTTTAATAACATGCAGATCCGGTGGAAAAATATTTTCATAAGATGGAATGCAACAATAACAATGAATTCCTCTAAATCTTGCTGAAATGCTTGATGACATCAAGCTAGTTCGGGATAACATCAAGGTCCAAAAATCTAAAGTTTGCTTTGCTGCTGAACGCTGTAACAATCCGATGCCACGAATAAATTTTGAGGTGATTTAGTTTTCAGACAAAAACTCGCCGCCCTAAGGAATACAAACACGCGTGATTTCACCAGCTAAAGGCTTTGAAGAGCAAGAAGAAGAAGAGAAAGACAACTTGATGAAACAGATCTTTGTCGGCAAAAAGAAAATAGTCAAAACAAGAACTGAATAGCAAGTGAAAAGATTTAAAAGACTTCATTTACTAAGTGCAATAATATTTCCAAAAAAATTCTAAGGGTTTTGAGGGCTATTGAAGGCTTAAAGATGATTTTTGAGGCTGGAATACAAACTAAGAAGTAGATATAATTTACGTTTAATGTAAGCGTGTATTACTTTATTGTGTACAAATAACATTCTATTCATAGGCGTAAGTGTAAAAGAACATTTTTGCCAAGTCTGTCTCAATTAAAGAATATTCATTATATACATGGCTCTCCTCTTAAGAGGTATAAAACCCAGTACATCAACATCTCCTGAAGAGTGATCAACTCAAGAAACATGCTTGCAAAACAAAGTGGGTTCTGCTTTCAACTTATATCGCGCTCAAAATGTAAACGCATCAAGGTCTGTACCATGGACAAATCAATACACAGACCTCTGGTTTTCTTCTTACATACGCCCAAAAAATTCATCAAATTTTAAACAACTTATTAGATTTTTAAAAAATTTATGCGATGTATTGTATATTGGCGAGAGAGAGGTATTAAGAAATATAGAAGCTGCACTAAGAGTTGGTCGGAGAAAATACAGGAAATTTTGATAAAATAATACCTTCGCCAATCAAACCCCGTTCAAATTCGAAATTTCGCTCGTGAACTCTAACTACCCATCCAGGGGTTACTTATGGACCTGACTCGCACGGAGAAACAATTGAAAGCTTAATACCCTCTCTGATATTGGAAAGCCATGATAAAGCAAAAAAGGCTCACCGTGAATGCTTTAGCTTGACAGTTCAACGAAGAACATATATGGAAAATGATGAAAATATACTTGTATCTTTCTTTTCGACATCAGCAAGCAGTGCTGCTCTTGAATTCCAATTTTACCAGATCATAAACGCGATATTTCAAGATTTTCTTTAACAAAACTTAGGCCTAATTTTCAAAAGAAGGTGTGCATAACTGAACATTGAAACAAAGAAACAAAATACACACAAGACATCTATAAGTCATAAGAAGGCTCTGTGATAAATGAAGATTTGTATCTAGAATATAAATGACCTATTTTTTCCTCACCTTAAATCTTCCTCAATGCTATCAAGGTCTCCAACAGCATTTTCCTTGACGTTACGCTCTGCAGTGCTATTCGCATCATCCTCGTCGTGCATACCATTTACTGATTCCTTATCTTCCTTTGCCACACTTTTCATCAAAGCTTCCTCTAGCTTCTCGAATTCATCCAACTCTATTTTTTCTTGCTTGCATTCCAAAGAATCAAACTCAGCCTTGATTTTTTCTTGCTTTGTTCGATTCTCTACAAGTCTTTGCCCCGCCAGTTCAATCTCCTTCTCTTTCTTCAGCAGTTTTTCCTTTTCATGCTCATACTTTCGCAACTCTCTGCGCTTGAGCTCCAGTTCTTCAATCTGGATTGAGATTTCTCGGTCAAACTGGTTAGCATAGCTCTGCTGTTGTTGCTGTAATGCCTGAAGTTTCCGCCTTTCTTGCTCAACGTGTTCCTTCTCAAAACTCAACCTTTCCAGCGACTGGACATATTGCTGTTCCAGAGCTAGCAGCCGCTTGTTCTCTGCTTTCAATTTTTCCTTCTCTTGCATCTCCTTTCGACGTTGCTCTATTGCTAGCTGTACATCTTTACGAGAAAGAAGAAGAAATGGCTTGTAAATTATCCAATCAATAAATTATGCTATTTGGTGTATAGAACAGAATGGTCCTGAACTGTTGTCTGATGATCGCACTAAGCGTGAAACTAGGAGTAGCAACTAAGAACCGTCCTGTTTTATACACCAAATAGCGTGTACAGTTCTGCCTATACACGTCGAGCAATTTATGACCGACCTGCAAACAGTTACCACAAATTTCTGACTAAAATTTCTAAGTTTCATAATTCACGATTACAAAAAGGCAATCCATTCCATTCTAGCAACTTAGGGATCGTTTCAACATAACTGAACGTGCCGTGACATATACTTCTCTTCGTAAAAATTTAATAATCGCCTTTGTGTGTAAATGAAAGATTTTTTGGCCTTGAACTACATGTTGGATAACGACAGGCATCTTGATAAAGTTTACGTTCAAAAAGTTTCGCAAATCGTTTAATCAAAGATAAATGAGGGGAAGCAAACAGCTCGATGAAACAAACGTACAGTAACCTAATTCCTTTAACAAACAAGACAATCAAGATTATTATGAAAGGCAGAGTTCGTTGAAATTGGTAATGGTTTGGTAACTTATCTTATACACGAAGCAAATACAGCCGTTTGGATAACAAGGAAATTGATGATAGAGAACATGGGTTTTTAGATCAACCATGAGACAGTTCATTTTTTTACGTAAAACAGTCTGGTTTTGAAGTAATCTAAGCGATAAGTTGCTGCAAAATTGTAACAGATAAAAACACTAAATCAAGAAACTAGAGACTAATAGATTTAAAGCTTTCGCAATCTGGGATTGAAAAAGATTTATCGTTGTCATAGGAAGTACATAGTAACAGGACAGGTCGTTGAAACTACATCAAATGAAGCATGAATTATCCACTTAGAATTCAGCTAGAATATGCTAACAGAAAGAAGAATCGCAGAAAAAAGAATGAGCCAAACAAAGGAAGACTGACTATTATTTCATAGACTTCTATAATAAACTACAACTGTCAATATCACATTTCATATGCACCATTTGATGTTGGTGGTTGAAGGGAAATAAAAGCATGGATGCTACAAATGCATTTCCTCTTAGTGCAATTAGTTGTTTGGTGCTCAGTGCAACAGAACCCAGCACATGGGTAGAATGCGAACGGCTTTGACTGCTAGTTGAAGGCACATAATTTAAAGTTGAAGTGTTCTGAAGGTAGATTTCTGCATATAATTCGGGTTGTTTCGAGAATGTTTGAAATGAATATATGTAAAAAATGCAAGGTCAGGTGAAAGTGACAAATTTAAAGTGACAAAACCTTATGAATTACTACACAAAGTTAGTAAGCAGACAGAAAGAAAGTCTGTGGAAAAAACTAGAAATACCCTTACCCTTACCAAAGCACACGATAAGTTAAATACTTTTAAAGCACATACCTGGATAAATGTTATCAGGTACAATGGAAAATCGAATATTTGGGTTCTCTTGCTTAATTCTTGCTGCTTCCTTGGGGTGATTGAAGCGAAAATAGTTGTTCTTGCCAAGACAAATCATTGAACCTAAAATTTAAACGGTAATAAAACTGGCATCAAAATACTATTAAAACTTCTAACAGGGGCTACTAAGGGCGATAAACATTACTTTCAAGAATAGGAAAATTAGGTTTTCTTATTCTCTATTCATAGTTTCAAAAGAATTCAGCATTTAAAGATTTTTTAAAAAAATCAAGCGTAGTTCAAGACATCCATGATGATTCTACGACCGCCGAAAAATAAACCCACATCAAATTTCAAAATCAAGCTAAATTTCCCTAAATTACTGTTTGGAAAACATCCAACCTTGAAGGTGAGTCACAATATACTCACCTGATTTTCGAAACGCCTTTTGAGATATAACTTATATCATTTAATTACTTATATTTATATTTAATAACTTATATTATATCATTATAACTTATAAGCACAAGTCATTGCTTACTGACTTGGAACCTCAATGCTCTACATGCAAATTTTAGTTGCGAGTTGAGAAACGGGCGAGAGTATAAAGGTGCCTGTCTTTCAGGAGTTGTTTAAAGAGCTAAGTGTTGGAGACCTTTCAGTACAAAAGGTAATCCTGGCAACCTTATGAATATAATAGCAGTGATATTGGCTGGTTTGTTGATAATGGAACTTATAATGCTAGAACTTATAAAACAATTACTAAGGTGCATTTTATTCGAATTTTTCAAAATTGCATTTTGAAAGCTCATATTACATTGGAAAATCAAAGAGTGATATAAAGAATGGGCACTACAGGTGATGGGGTGTCAGATTTCTATCGCAGGTATTCTATGATGTTATACAGTGGGCATTTAGCGCTATGTCTGGCAATATGATGCTAGGCACAAAAGGTATTAGCAGTTACCTTGTGGCAGTCTTGTTGCTTCTGTAATTGGTATTCCATCCACTGAAACATGACCATTGCCGGGGTGCAATACAACGACATCTCCATCATACTCGACCATACAATGATTGCTGTGGATGGGTCAATATTATCATTAAAATGTACAAACTCTATTGAAATAGCGTTTGCTAAAGGCGCCTGGCTTCCATAACGCAGAAAAATGGTTAAGGTAAAGGAACATATCGAATTTCTGATTTCAAATCTATAGTCTTCTATAGGCATAAGATATAGTCTTCTGTATTATTTCTTTAACATTTACTCAATATGGATGAATGCAAATCTGGATAACATAAGGCAAGGTTGGTGTTAAGTAAAAATCCTCGGTCAAGTGTGGAAGAATCCACCATCGAATGAATAGTGTGGCTTTACTAATTTTTCCTTAGGTTCTATGGGAATAAACGAAAGTTAGCGCGCATTCTGTTGACTCCGCGCGTGCGTTGACAAGTAAATAATCTGGGATTGCCCAAGACCAAAATCGAATCCACTTTCAGTACTGGAGGGGGATTCCATCTTGTACTGAAATGTACTGAAGTAACCCATGACGAGCCCGGGTTGGTTATTACCATTTCCATTGGCTAATCCTGATAGTGATTATTACGAAGTGTAGAAATTAGTCCGTGTCACATGTAGAGGGTTTAGATTTCAAGGAAAAAAGTAGATTGAACCATACTCATATTAAAACCGACTCTAAGAAAAGTCTGCTAATTCGAAAAAGACATCGCTGGAAATTCAGAAATGGTAGCTTCATAGAAAATTGAATATGGATTCTTAAGACATATACCTTTCTGTGGTGTATCAACAGATTCGAAAAAGTTGGGCCCCAACAAAAAGGCTGTAATGACGATTATACTTTGGTGTTCTGCTTTCAGTAAAAAACGTTTAAAAATATCATTTTTCTTTAAAAATTTTGTCTTTCAAACAGATAATGATTTAGTGAAATTTGAGTGTGGTCAACGAGACAATTCCTACTACCCACAGTTCTAGCAACAGATTGATAATCAAATCAGTACCTCCTGACGTTATCATAACATTTTGTATGGCAACAGACACATAGGATTCAGCATTCTTATAATGAAACTAATCAGATGAATAAATCAACCACTGGACGACAAAACAGCCCATAGAGGTTGGTTTATCTATACGGAGTATTCAGGTATTTGAACAGATGAATAATTTCAAAGATAAATCTTCAGTCGAATTTGTACATGATGTCCAACCACCCTTGTGTAAGGACTTAAAAATCCAATTGATATCAGAGATTATGAAACACTGTACAGTCTCACGTTGACATTATTGCGTGGATGAATTTGCATTTAGGTCAGTTACAGATCTAAAGTTTTGGTGTTCATGTCATCAATCTTAAAAGACGTGCTCTTTTTAAAAATCAAAGATCAACAGCCATACTATAGTTTAAGATAAAGATGCATTTCAGTTTTTCTCTTAAGCATTTCACCGAACACGGGTAGTCAAATGGAAGTTTCCTGTCCCTCAGCTTAAAGGACTTCACCACCCCTTAGCATTACAGAAGACGTTATCTTCAATAACACAGCAAGGGCGACGTTGAGACAACGTAGTCTACTTGAGATAAGATAAGGACTTGGGTTTATTGAATATTGGGCGTAGAAAGTGTTATCGCAACAACATGGGCATAATTAAGCCTCCAAAAAGCATGTAGAACAGCTAAACTCAAGCAAGACAAATAAGGTAGGGGAAATGGAGAATGTTGCGCAAACACTAAAAATATTTACGTTCTTTCACACTCGATATAGAATTATCGAAACAGATGGTCTTTGGTATTAGGCTAAGTTCCAGGTGAACAAATCAAAATAAATGTTAAATTTCAAAAATGCATAAAAAAGAGAGAACACAGCCATATTATAAATTCTCATTGAATGTAAAGCAGGCTTTCAAAGAGTATTCGATAGCACAAGTCTGGAACAGAACTTGGTGTGTAGTATAGGGCAATTCTACATAAGTTAGAACCATAATGTACTACATACATAGCAGTAGGAAGCATTTCGAAAGTGGGAGGGGGGTACGTGTAGTCAAAATAAGGGTGCTTCTGTAAGTTGCAAGTAGGTACTTCACCAATGTTTCTGAAAAGTGCCACTCCCCGAATTCCTACGTCTATTACTACACATCAAAACACGTAACTAATCACTACATAGCAAGACAAAGAAAAGTATACCTCACGACACCATTGCCTTGCACTTCCAAATCTGGCTTGCAAACCTCATCTGAGAGACCCACGACTGTGTTACCTATTAACCAAATGGCAATTAATGTAAACATAAAACAGGGAAACAACAATGTCAAGGAATCTACTACTGTTCAGCCCTCTGCTGCAAAGAAACGAGCAAAAGACTTTTTACTTTCACCACATAAAAAATTGACGTGTAAAAAGTTTATATCCCTTGTTTTATGGATCTAATTTTGAAAAAATGTTCACGTTATCCTAAAAAATATTGTTTGCTTTGATTGCAACAAGAATTTACATTTAGAAATAAATTTGCTCCGGATCACCAACTGTTCGCTGTGCTAAACAACTTCACGGGAAAAGCATTTCAGGAATTTATGGAATAGCTTTATCGTAATGAAGAACTGGAGGGTTGTCGCAGAAGAGAGAAACATTCGGTTTTCTGCTTCAACAACGAGCAGGAGAGCAAGAAGCGAAAAATGCTAATTGAAAAGTATATGTAGAGCTGGCTTTGCAGTTTTTTAAGCGATCTGCAGTATGACGTACTAAAGTTAGATGCACTGCGTTGAAGCGCACTACAATAAGGCGAATTGCAGTAAGACAAGCTGCAGTTGAGTGCACTGCAGTAAGACAAGCTGCTGTAAAACATTCTGCGGGTAAGACACGTTGCAGTAAGGTGCACTCGGGTAAGGCTCACTGTGATAAAACGTTCAATGGTAAGAAGTATTATGTAGAAAACCTGGCAGCAAGACATAATCATGACAGAAAGGTAGACTGAAGCTAGATGTACTGCGGTGAGACAATCTTTGGTAAGATTCAACACTCTCAAGGCTAGTTGTGGCTGCATTAACGTGTACAGTGCAGATATAAACTATCTGGTAAGGGTTTAAAATTGCATTAAGAAGTGAATTGTAGCAAATGGTATTTTTTATTGGTAAATCTTTGTTGGTAAAAGTAGCACGTTGTTATGGTAAAAAAATGTTGCGATACTGAAATACGGAATTTCTGGTATTTCTCATCTTACAAAAACAGTCAATGAATTCATAATATATCAACGTATAGGTTAATATAGGGTTTGAGAATAGAAACCAAAGAAATCATCGGGGAACTTTTCTCCTTTACTTTTTTCCTCACAAAATGTCATTTTTATATTCCTGTGCCTCCTCAGGGCACACTCAGCTGGCCTAACCACTAAATTCCCCTTTGTAGAGGAAATTTTTATTCTTTCTTCTTCAAACAATTTTCAGTGCAATAGAGTGAAGATAGGTCGAACAATTACACAAAATGGAATAATCAGAGCTATTTGGGGAAGCCAATGAAAGATTGGTCAGTATTTTCAGAGACATTAAAACTTCTGCAGTGGCAAATGATAATTGCAAATGGCAAAGGGTGTTAGAATGATAACTGCTTGTAAGTCAATGCTGCTAGGCAAGTGAACTGGCATCTACAAGCCAATGATGGCTCAGTGTTAATGATCACCTGTGCAGAGGGTAGCTTGAGCATAATACCAGCTGCTCTTTTTACATACCTATTATAATTATAATGACGAGCAAAAAGTAAAAATTGAGTACACAAATAGCTCACCTTTTTTAATCGGGATGATACTAACACCAACACTGAGTCTTCCACCTCCAAGGCTTACGAAATGTGGTTGTTTTGTTTCAAGTTTTACAGCAGACCCCAGATCTGTCACATCCAGTGACTTTTCCTGCAATCATAGATTCATGTGACCTTTATGTAAAATACGTAAATGATTGGAATTCAATATATTTCTCTTGGTCATATGATTCCCCAAAAGAAATAACTTTCTTTCTTTCATTTTATCTAAGCAGTACAGCAGATATCTTTTTCTCTAACAAGAGGCCCTTTTGGTTCTCTGTAACCAGAGATTGGCGCTTTCTATATGCCAAGTGACCACAAATGTTCAACTTAACTATCAACAATGCACGGCGGTTTGTTATTTCGTGTTTTTCAACTCAACTACGTGGACGAAAATATTACATTTAATAGCTTAAGCGATAAGAAAAGGGTTGAGTACTGAATAATAACAGCTCTTTACCCGAATAAGATGAATTAAGAAGGTGCAATGACTTCTTCCAAACCAATGTGAACGATAAGCTTACTGGCGGCGCAAAATAAAATTTTAAGGCTACGCCATTTTTAACGCCAGAAAACGCCCCTTTTCCAACAAGGAACGCCAATTTTACACCTTGCAAACGCCCAAGACTTGCTTTTGATTACGCAAAGGAAATTTCAAAATCATAGGATTACATTAAAAAAATGGAGGGGGGGGGGACAAGTCACCCCAGTCCACCCCGTGGCGCTACTATTGCTGGCTAGCAAGACATTCTCGGAAAAACACTGACATTAATGAAGGCTTCAACAGGAACATATAACTGACCATTTTCCTTAGCCCATTACCTGGTAAGATAACATTATTCAGTTTAGGCCTGTTCTAGAGTTTGACCATAATTAATTGACGATAATCATGATGATTATGATGACACTGATAAAGATGATGACACTGATAAAGATGGTGACAATGATGGATGATGATAGTGGCTTTTGTATACTTGTAACCAAACTGCTGTTTCTAACCTCCATCAGCTTCTGTGCCTTGCTCCATTTTTCTTCCCATATTCCCGTCAGCCTCTGCATCAGTTCAGTGTCTCTTTGTAGTTTCTTTTGCGCTTCGGTCATTGGTCCATTTGAGACCTGCAAAAAAATGCGAATTACGAACCGAAATTAAAAAATAACAACTTAGGAGGGGGAGGGGGGAGGGGGTGTTATGGTAGTCAACGAGAGGTGACCTTGTAAGTTATGTCTCACAAATGCTTTAAAGCTTTGAAGCTTTGAAGTATATACTTTATAAGTTCTCGCTACACTCTTGGACTATATTCAGCTCAAAATGAAAATTTCTTAAGAATATTGAGGCTGGACAAAATCTATATTATTCTTTTAAAAAAGGGTGTATGTTGGGCTTGATACGCCTTGATAGAATCAAACAAATAACCTTGCTGCAAGGGAGCCTCAAATAGACAGATTTTATTTTTCAGACATAACAATGGGATAAAGGACTAAAGGGATAAAGGGGTAAAGAGGTATAAGGGGCAAAGGGGCATCTCAAAATAGTGAACCTAGTGTTTTTTGGGCAGACAAAACTTTGCCGAAATGTATCAACGGGTTAAAGCTTGGATATTGTCTGAATGACTGTAAATTCCGCACTTACATTTTGATAAGGCCAAGTTGATAGTTTTATTGCAAGTAATTGTGGGATTTAGAAGCCATCTGCACAAAATGTCACACTAGTAAGTTCACTTCCAATAGTTTTTAACTGCTCAGCGTAGCTCAGCATAACTGCTCGGCTAAAGCACAGTTAAAGGCTGAAGCACGGTTCAAGGGTTTAAGATCTGAAACAGTGAATTTACACAGCACCTTCCTGCAGTTTTTCAGAACACAAAATTTCAATTTCAATTTAATTTTGGAGTCACTTGAAAGCTCTTCGTAGATTCTTTCGCAATTACTTCCTTTTAGAGGGTAGAATGCGCGATAACATGCGGAATTCATTACAAAAACAAGAGAATTACAACCTGATCCTACACCTTACATTAAAACAGGTGGGATCCAATATTCCAACTTCGAATTCGACCTTATCAGAACTTATTTGGGGTAAAAATATAAGAATTTACTTTAAAGGATATGGGGTAAAAAAAATAAGAATAAATCAGAACAAGTCTTCCTATAACGTTTCATTCCAAACGTTTTCTTAATCCATTTGCTATAAATTACGAAAACTGACCTTTGATTTTGCTTGTTCTTTCAATGCGTCGATCTCTGCTTTCAGCTCTCTGATAAGTTTCACATTTGAGTCCTAAAGCATAAATAAAAATCTTGGTTTTTGTGGGGATGAATGAAGATATGATAAACAAATAATTGCCTTATAGCAACGACTAGAAATATACTACAGAAAACCTTTATTCCAAGCTTTATTGAAGATAATTTCTGTTGAACAAGAGTGCAGCGACTCAAGAATGAGAGGAATCTCTGCTGTTTGGGTCACAAGGGGCAAAGTTCGGAATGTGAACAGCTGAAATTGTGTCAGTATCAAATTAAAACTGCGTTCTCAAGTAACATTGTGACATTGCGTTGATTAGGTAAGAGGGGTTTGATATTTTGACGGTTATTTCAATTTTTCGGTAAGTTTAAAAAAGACAGTGGAGACCTTAGGACTACCGAATATTTTGAATATTTCAAACAAAAGGGAAACGAATAATCAAATTTCGCAAAACGATTATTGTTGTATTGCCCTTTAAAAACACGCAAAACAAGTTTAGCAAACTCAGTTGTCAGGACCTCGGGCTCCCTTATTTGATGATACGGAGGGTCAATAACATCATCATAACGAGGCTTTGATAAACTATCTTAAGTTGGGTAAGGATGATAACAGGCGCGGTTAGCCTTTCTGCATCCATTTAACCTCAAGAAGACAGAGAGGCCTAATCTGTGAACAGTTGAAGTGGTAATATAAAAGCTAATTATCGCTGTGGCATTGGGAATTGAAAGAACAAGATTTTAGCGAACAGCATGTGAAGAAAAGAGTTTCGGTTATCATTACAACATTACAATAGCATTTGGTAAAGTTGGCCTAACATCGTCCCCTAAGTTATTGGCAGCTGCTAAATAAGTCCCTTTCTACTTCCCTATGTTGATTTGGACTTTTCACTTTCCGATTTCTATATGAAAGACCTCATGGGGTAAATTCCGATTTCGATTAAATACGGTTAAAACTACATTGTTTTTGTCGCTAACGTTAACCAGAACTTAGACTATAACAACATAGTATGCTAGCGATTCCCAAACTTTTTCCAAATTGTAATAGTAGGAGAATTCAGTGGAAGAGGAACTTCACAAAAAAACCATCTGACTGTTCGTTGCAATAGAAAATTTGGCATGAAAAAGCAATCTGTGATAAAAAAGTATTAAGGGCTTGGCAGAGGTGTCATATACATACAATTTCAAAACTGGTTGTACTTGGAAAAAATTAATGTTAAAAAGTTACTTTTGATGTCTCAACTGTCATAACAACACTGCAATTGTTGGAAAGACAATTAAATTGTTGGAAAGACCCTGATACAAAGCATTTCCCTGTTACCGAGAATAGATTTACAGCACATAACTTGCTCCACATTCCAGTCAACGACTCAAAAAAGATTGACAGAAAGGTCAAGAAGAATTTAACAGAGATAAAATAAAAACAGCGTGTAAATAAAAACTAGAAGAAGGACAGAAAATAAGTGTTTTCCATTTTGCTGGCGAAGTTACCAAACCATCGGTCAGAATTTTAGTCCAGATAAATCACAATCGGACTGAAATCTGGCACATAATCAGGCTGGAAAGCGGAAAAATGAAGTTAAAGCAGCTCGATGAAAAGCACCGAATACAGTAACTACCAAACCTACATTCAAACATAGGTGGGGGTTTTCTTTGCACCAATTTGATGCAGAATAAATGCGAGTTATCAATTACGGTTAAATTCTTAGTTTTAAGCACCTTGTACAGAGAATATAACAAAACAAAAAAACTTATGTACAATGACCCATGCACTTAGCAACGGGCAAATACAAGGTCAGAGAAGATACCCCCAAGCACTGCTGATCATAAACTACAAGCCAAGTCATGCAAAAACATAGGGAAAGTTTACTTACTTCGTTTATGACTGGTTTGTTGATTATATTCCTCACCATGCTACCATACTTTAGGCAATTCACGGTTTCTTGGACTGTCTTTTCACACGCAGAAATGCAGCATAACATGAGACTCTCGCTATTTCCACCCAAAGTTTCTTTCATCATCCATGTAAGAACCTGTTTGAAAAACGATTCAAATTTACGAGAAAAAAATGTAAAATTCGTCATAAAAAAAGCAAAAAAATACATTTTGAATCCCACCCAAGTTTACCTTACAGAATTCTTTTTTAAAAAGTATACTTTTGGAATGGGGTATCAAGGTGGCCAGGAAGTTTGAAACTTTCATAGAATAACTAAAATATCTTTTATGTCTAAAAGACATATTGTTGAGCAGCAACACATAAAAAGAATGTTTTAGAAGTATAGTGTACACCCTTTTTTATAAGAAACCCAGCTCAGGGCATACAATCTTTGCCAAAATTCTTCGAACACTTGCGCAAAGCTGAAGCTTTTTTTGAAAAATCCCCCCTCCCCCATTCACTGCACATCAAGTGTCATAAAAATAATACAGAAACGGGAAAAACATAAATATTGTCATGTATAGTGAAATCTCACTTTCGGTGTTTTGACTACAATAAGCCTTAACACTTAATAGAGAGAGGGGCGAGACAGCATATGCGGAAACTACTCAATGAAGCCCTTGAAACTACTCAATGAAGCAGCAAACATCCTATGCGAGTATTGGCTGCAAATGAATGGAACCGGCTTTTTAGTTCTTGATGCTTGCAGTTATAAAAAAAAATTAAAATCGAAGAGTTCAGTAGGGATTTCGTTTTTAGTATAAGTTCTTTAAATATTTCGGCCTTCTACATGCAGGTTCCTTATAAAGTGGTTCCTTATAAAAAAGCGTGTATTAGTGTACCTATAAATTTCAATAAGATCGTAATGTTAACTCAAAGGTTTCTGCAAGCTTTGTGGTCTTGGAAAGGAAAAGCTCGGTTATCTTTTTGAACATGAAAATAAAAACAAGCTGATAGAAATGAATATCTAACTTACAGAATCGCGATAGGGAACCACTGGGTTTCCCCATTTGCTCATCGATGAGTTAAAATTGGCGTAATTCTGCGATGCAAGTGATGTTATGACGTCATTTAAAACTTCTAGGCCACCTTTAACTTCCTCTTCCTCAATGACATCACTGACGTGGCCATTCATCGGATGTCCATTGGTCAACTAAAATGACGGTATGTTTCTATTTACAGGCAGCAGTTACAGGTATGTTCCGATTTTCGATGAATTTTCAATGAATTAAATTTGAATTGATCGCAGACATTTCTCGTGGCATGTAATTTGAGACTATGGCCCCGGGGTAGTCATAGTCTTTTGCTCCTCGGGGTATCGTCCGAGTAGTATTGTAAAGTAAATTTGTAAGTAGCGTATCTTGTATTTATTTATTGTAACTTTTTAATGGATATAAATAAAAAAAACAATTTCAATGCGCCATAGCCAATTGTTAGCGTGAATGCTGCCCTGCTATACCGAAAATAGATCCCTTCGAAATTTTTGGCACTTAATCTCAATTTTAATTACAGAAAACAGTCACTGCCGGGAAAAAGGTGCCGCAAAACTTTCATTTCGCAATTTTAAATCAGCGATTGAAACACACGAATCTCGAGGTTGCAACTGCAGGATCTGCAAAGAATTTTACCGAGGAATTGGCTTTTTATATTTTATCGGGAATTAATGTTTTAGTAGCCTTTATTGAAATATTCTTGCAGTCATTATATGTGAGTAGTTGGACAAATGCCCCTTTAATTCTTGAGATAAACCTCGCACCTAAAAAATCCCAGCTACGGGTCTTAATGTTACATCGACCCCTTGAATAACACCATATTGAACGAGCGGGAAAGGGACTGTTTGCATTAATTGTCGACCATCTCAAAGTCCAGATACAGCTGTTTTAAATCATAGAAAACTATTTGGTTGAAATCTATCGGAAGTATCGAGACACAAAATGTAGCACCCAGGAAATTTGAATTTAGCCTGCTTAAAAATATCGCTTGTGGCTGGGCGTGAACGGAAAGCTACCTTTAACTTTGCGTTGCAAATATGTTTAACTGTTAAACTTTAACATGACTGATAAAACCTGCAAAGCACTGCTTACAAATACGCATACAATTTCCTATTTAACAAGAAGATGGAACATGTCATATATGTACTTACTTGTTCCATACTTTGCTATTCTATTAGTCAGACTCGATGCGCATATGCAAGATCAATCTTGATTTTTTGAGCATATAGAAAAATAAACCAACTCGAAAAACATTTAGTTTTAATGGTCAGCTATCATAACACGCTTGAACAGATGTTCCATATCTAAGGAGCCCTGTAAAAATATACTATGTGGGTCTGAATAACTTTGGTCGAATGTAATTATTTCTCTCATTAGACACGTCGAAAATGCTTTTCCAAAACCTAGGAAAACGGCTTTTGATAGTCAGCGAAAAGGCATCGTTCAGCTGATGTCGTAGTAATCCTTCAATAAAATCTGGCATTCTGGAGCCATGAGATTTTCAATAAATGTTTTTCGATACTTTCAGAGAATAATAATTTAAGGAAAGGCATGGTAAGTAGCAAAAAATGATTCTATAGCGTTTCAAAACTTCTGGCAGGTACCGTTTCACCAAAAAGCGACAAGCACTTCTGTTCCAGCGGGCTCTTCGCTTGCATCAATCTTGCAAATCGCTTGTTTTGGAATAAGCAAGAATAGCAAAAAGAAACGGGGCTGTTACAGCAAAAACCAAAAACCTTACAAATGTACTTACGTTCTTATCCCTGCTTGAAAGATCGATAATTGTTATCTTACTGATAAGCTCCAGAGGAAGTTCATCTTCTATTCGTGCCTTGAAAATATGAAAATTATTAGAAAAAGTAAAATTCATTTTCTCTAATTATATGCTATAATAATATATATTATATTAATACGAGGGTTTAAAGACATAATTTGACACTAAGTCATACAGCTTCACGACATTCGATATCATCTCACATCAATATCAAATCATTTCATAGCATACCAAACATATCATAACAATCGTATCACATTGCTGTCATATCGTCTTTCATAACATCATTAAACTTTCATACAGTTTCAACGTTGTGATAAAATAATCACAAAATATCCCCATATCAGGTTTCAGGATAAAACATTATCCAAAGTAATCGTGACGTAGTTATGTTATAAAACTTAGATTGCGAAATTTTAACAACAGAAAATAAATAGCATTGAAATTCGACAAATTTGAAAGCCTCGAAGGTGCAGCAAAGATGAAGTAGTTTCTTCATTCTTACTGCACCTGGGCTCATTATACGCCCTTTTCTTTTCTATCGTGTTTTTGCCCCCTTTTGTATGCATCCTGTTCTCATAAAGAAAGTCAAATGGTTTGTTTACCTTGAGATCTACAAAATGGTCTGGAGGAGAAGTTTCCATTTACGGAGATATTAAGGGAATGGTTTGGTAAATTCGATACCAGTTCAAACTAGAGAAGTCTGGAAGTGAATGAAGCTACCCCGTTATTTATTAAGGTCAATGAGCATGCGCATTGAATGTTATCATCAGTCCGCATGCTCTCTGACCCTAAGAACGGGGGTTGAAACACTTTCCCTTTTCACCTCTTCTGCGAAATAAAACAACTAAAGGAATTCCCCCCCCCCCCCTCCCTAAGTGCTTGGCATAAAGCCCACTGACGGTTGTTCACAGCCAAAAAAACTCCTTCATAATAATTGGAAAAAGCAAAATAAAAAACTGACCAGAAAAAGGACACCAAGAATAGGATATTAGAAGGAGGGCTTGGAGCCACATCCTTTTGGGGATTATTAGACCAAATAAATCTCACTTAGAGAATTTTCATATTCCGGTTATTGCCTAAATCCTACAAGACGTTCACGTGGGTTAATCTGTTGCATATTAATGTGTATGAATGGAATCCTGCATCGTTCAGTCGATTAGATACAAAAACGAACCTACGTTGAACAACACCAATAGACGGTGACACATTGAGGCGAAATATCAGTAAGACAACGGACGTGTTTTACTTAATCTTTTGACGTAGTTTTTCGGTTTGTTAAAAAAGAAGTTAATATGGGATTTGCCAAAAGGAATTTAAAACAATCCCATTATGTGGAATTGCGTTTGCCGTGATTCAGACAGAAAATTCGGCGATAAGTAGATTAGTTATAACAGAATAAAAGTGGTCGTTCTGTTTATTCTTTATCAAGCAGAAAGACGCAGGAAAGAATTTGCAAATACGACAGCGCTTCAAGAGAACTGTCAAATATTTTAAAACAGATTTGAAAACTGAACATGGAACCATCTAAGCGTTCCGTCAAACTTATTTTGAATCCGCAAATGATTTAAATTGGCAAAAGGGGTTTCTTGCATTTTCCAAAATCCTCCAAGGAGCCGGCTCCTTAAGCCTTTGCATTTCTGGTCATCCTCTCGGCTAATATGGCAAACCTTCAGCAATACTATTATTATCAGGACCTTAATAAGAACGATCTTTTGCATTGCAATAGGCTATTTTTACTAAACATCTGACTATTATTATTTCAATAAACAGCGTAGTTGGCTTCACTAAAGTTACAACTTGGATTTTTAATCATTGTATGAAGCCGGGTTCAAGTTCAAATTCCCAACAGCCGAGTTTTTCGACAGGTAGCACCAGACCCACCAAGAGCTTTCCTGGGGCATGGAGCTTAACCCTATCCAGACTAGGGGGGGGGCACAAAGTGCCCCCCTAGTTGGTTTTTCTTTCATAACTTCAGGAGTTTCAAAGCAATACCCCTCAGACCTCCTGACTTTTAGTTTTAACCTATCTGACATATGTTCATATAAAAAGATAATTTTTTTATTATTAATCAGGGGGTTGTGTAAGGGCGTTTTCAAAACTAGTCAAGTAAAAAATAGTTTAATCTGCCATGGATTCGCAACAAAAGTAGATATATTGATGAAAATTAGTATCTAGGCATTAATTTGTCCTCTCTTCATGATTCTGACCAAAAAATTCAAATTCAACATCCTTTTCTATGATTTTTCTGCTGCGCATGCGCACACATTTGTTGACATATTTATAGGTATTACATTAATAAAACTGCAAGTTTAGAATAATTTGTCTGCTAAGGCATTAAAAATGAACTCAAACATGACATTTGGTTGTATCGATCATTTAATTACATAGAAAAAACTATAGCCAATTACAAAATATGTTGAGTTCTTTTGTTAGGAACGTTAATAATTTTGAGAAGTAACATTAAAATTGTGTCAATCTTCTTGTTTCTATTAGAAAATGCATCAAATTTGCTTATTTTAATATCTTAGCCCGATGCTTTGGAATTAATGAATATTTTGAGATTTTCTAAAATTTTCTAAATTTTTGCTTCACCCGGCCAACATTATGATGACGTCATCGTAAAACCACGTGACTTAAAAATTGAACAATAATACTAAAATGTGGAGACAAGGCAAGAGTACCATCCAAACAAAGTTCATTGTCCTAGCTAGAGGGACAAAGAAATTACGGAGGGGGGGCACTTTGTGCCCCCCCCTAGTCTCCCGAAAGTTTCAAAAAGCCTAGTCTGGATAGGGTTAAAGAAAGATGGGATCCGTTATGACGTCATTAAAACTATGATCATTGTTGTTGTTGTTGTTGGCCCCCTGTCCTATGCTCTTTCGGCGGGCCTTTGGAGCACTTCGTTTCGCTTAGCTTAGATGCATTCACACAATTACCATATCAGTTATATCTCTGAGCTTATACGCTGACATTTCAGTGAATTTTCTAGAAAATGTATAGGTTTGAAACAAATGGCGCTTCACTGGATATAAAAACAATCTAAAACCTGTCTAGTTTCTTTATAGAATGAAATTAATTTCTGACAAAGTATGGTATCAAGAACGTTGTAACGTTGTCTTTTGGATTGTTTGATAGATAAAATCTCCAGCCATAGATTATTAGTGCAGCTTTAACAAACTTAAGATAATGTCGTTTTGCACGTGAAGACGATAGATAAGACTGGTCTATGGTTGTTTTTTGGCATTCTTATCTCATAAGCAGTCCACACCTTAAATTTTTCGAAGGACCCCGAAAAATCTTTTACCTGACATGTAATTGAAAGGAATTCCTTGAACAAACTTCATCTTTCAATCAGGTTTTTCACTAAGAAAACTGCAATCAAAGCTAAACAAAAAATTCCAACAAAAAGAGCAGAAAATGCACCGTTCTTTGTAAAGACCTGTGTTGTGCAATACTCTGTTTCCAGACGACATAACGGAGCTTAATGTCCTTTCTTAGATGAAAAATTGCAATAGATCATGACAGTCTTCCATTAGATCTAGCGACTTAAGCTGCTTTAGAAGAGTTCGCTTCAATTAAAATCACTGTCATTTGAAAAAATCACTGTCACTTTTCCTTATGCTATTCAATATCTCCAGACCCTTTTCAGCCTTTAAAAATGGTAAATTCGAGGTAAAGATAAAACGAGCAAAAGCAAAGTGTCTTACCTGTGTCAAAACAATTCTGAAAATAGCATGAGAATTGCCACGTGATGAAGGATCTAGAGCTGCCAGTCTGCGCCTGTAAAGAGTGAGAATTAAGTGTCTTCAATAACGTACTGCCCTTCTTGTGGTGAAAAAGTCTTCCCCAGATTCAAAAACATTGTTTCAAGCTATATTTCATATATGTTTCTCTATCTGTTTATTTCGTTCAATTCTATTTCTACACCTTTCTTGTTCCTTTTCCTACTTCCCTTTAAACCTTTCCTATCTTTCCAATTCGTGCTTTGCTTCTTCTATTCCTCCGTCCCTCAATCTTACATGTACGTTTCTCACACAGTAGCCAGAACGAGCAATAACATTAAATTTAGGATTTAATTAACGTGATATAGATAAAAAGCTGGTTGAGAGATAAAAGCTTGTCAGTTTCCAAATAGATTTCTAAACTGGAACAATATTGAAAATCTTGAAAATTAGGTAGGAGCGAAAATTGACAGAGCTTGAAAACGATTGGCATGACAAAATTTTTCCTTTTTTCTTAAAACCTACTATTTTTTATAGATAAATATTTCAAAAACACATAACCATAAGATATTCTGCACCCCAAAAAGTAAACAAATATTGAGCTATGAAATTATAAACTTGTGAACAAAACCTAAATAATCTACAAAGGTACACCCAGACCTGTACTTAAACTCAAAAACATGTCTAGTTGCTGACATACTATGTACCATTTAGAAGGCAGATCTGTCAACTCTCAATGTATTGCTAGGGTTTTGCTTGCTTTCTTCTGGTCTCCCAGTTTTCTAAAATAATTTCCCTGCTTCTTCCTTTTTTACCATTGGCAAGAAATTTACTAATCTACATTTTTTTACTAATGTCTAACACAGGCACTTTTCAGATTTTTTGTTGATCTCCCTGTTTTAGCCAAACTTCCCTGTTTTTCTTGAGAAAAAAAACTGAATTCTCCAGGTTTTGAAAAGTTTAGGTTCACAGGTCTGAGAAGAAATCCCAATCAATTATATGGAAGGGGTGCATCAAGCTGGAGTTTTGCCTGGAGTTTTGAGGATTTAATTAAGCCCCCAAAAATTAACTCTCAATTCATCCCTCATTATATGAATACCTTAACTTCCTATTTATTTAGAACACTGTTAAACTGTATTAGATGTAACAAAATCTTTGACTAAGTCTTTAAATAAATTTAAGTAAACTAGTACAAAAGTAGCCTCCAGCCTCTGATGTTTCTTTTCATTAGGAGCCTAGTGGCTGCACACAGGCTAGTTCAAAAGGTAATTATGTTTCTTTGCTTAATCACTAGACAAATCTGAGCTTAATCAGATTCTAAATCAAGTCTTATAACAACAGAGCTTACAGAACATACCTTCGCTTTATCGCTTTCTCCATAAGAGATTTGGCTTCATTTGCATCAGTTACAATATGCTTACTGAGCTTTTCAATGTAAACTCCCATATCTGGATGCTCCCGTACTAAAATATTGGTTTATATGGAAATTACAGCAGAGAAAAGATACATGAATACATAATTTACACAATAACAAAGAAACAAGAGAAGACTGTCTAATTTGGAAAATTTGAAGCAAGTAGTCAGTTAGCAAATTGTTAGAGAAACTTTGCACCCTCCGACATAGAGTAGTGCTAGAAACAATGTTGTACGTATCTACATTCACAAATGAAAATGAAGGATTGAGAAGACACAAAAAACTTTAATGATGAGAGCCCTATACAAATACAAGATAGTCAAAAAAAAAGTAAAAGCACAATTAAAAGACATATAAAGCATGACCTACAATTCTAACAACACAAAAAAGATTATCACATAGTAATTAATATAATAGATTTCCAAAAACCTTTTAACTTCTGAGATCCTTCTGAGGATTTCACTGAGCTTCTTTCTGATATCAAATCAGTAATATCATTTCCACATACTTCAAGAAAACTGTAAAGAAAACTTCAAAAGTCAGGCAGCTAGCTTGAGACTTCCAGAAAATTAACTTTTTCTTTGGAAAAAAGTAAAGATACTGCAAAATGTCTTACAATGGATGAAGACCATGACAACTTTTGTGCACTAGAAATCCCAATTTTAATTAAATTGCTGGAATCATCAGGTACAGAATGGTCATATCAGGCACTGAGACATCATCTCAAAACAAATTCATTTTACTCACAGTATACAGCTCTACTGAAGAGAAGTGAGACCTTAGACCACAAGAACTCAATTACTAACTCTAATGGAACACAGTGAAAATTCTGAGCATTAAGGATTATGGTAAAACACAAATTTACATGTGGAACAACATTAAAATTCCTGCCAACCAACCTTAGCTCTGTTCTAAATGTTGTTGATTCATCATAAGCTGATGCCTTATCATAAACAGATTCCATAACTTTGTGAATTAGGCCGTGTTTCCGACTGTCTCCAAACAATATCCATGATTTTCCTGTGTCTTTAGCACCATAAGTGAACACAGAGGTATTGTAACCTTGGAAGGCATTTTTTATGATAAACTGTGACACTGAATCATGCACCTAGTAGAAGAAAAATATCACATAAGTGCATCAATTTTAGACACCAAGTTTGAAGCATTAGAACTAGCTAGAAAAAAATTTAAGAAAATATTTCAAAGATATACTTGAAACTATAAAAAGCACTGACAGTCTGAAAACTAGGTTGTTATGTCTTAATACCAGGCTTAAGCATTTATGTATACTTACAAATTAAAAAGGACGCAGAAAAGATCTATAATAATTGTACATTAATTCAATTTTCTAATTTCTCAGGGGTTGTATAAAAGGCAAAAGCCATGGAAGCTAAAAAATTGGTTACATAGTCAACCATCACAACTATTTGATCTGAATCAATTAGACAAAATTTAATCTTGAATATATAATTGAACAAAATTGGTTGAAGGTGGACAAGGAGAGGGGAGGATAACGTGCAAAAATTTAATGCAGTGACCCAAAGCTTTGAAACAGTTCTCAAAGGGGGAAGGTAGGAGTTTAAATGGGGTCAGAAATAAATTGGAAGGTGATACTTGGAGCACTGAATGCCCTTAACTATTTTAACCTTGTGTCCCAGCCATTAGTTAGATTCTAGGGCAAATACAAAAAACTCTTGTGATTTAGAGCCTCATTCTGGTGAATATATACTTTAAATTTCAAGAATTTTATTTTTGTTTCTTTAAAACAATGATCATGGAGCTTATGGGAAATTTTTGTAAACTGTTTGAGAAAGCAGTCAGTAGACAAACCTGCTGAGCAGAGCTTCCATCATTTTGACTTTTATCATCAGCAAGGACAAATGGCTAAAAACAAGAGCAACAACATGGAAATAGAAACTTGCTGTGACATATTTCAATCTACTTAATTTCTTCCTATCAACATATTTCACATCAAGTTGTACTTTAGTTCAGTAAAATATTTCATATTTTAAAATTTCTCCACACGTACGTTCTTGCTACAACACTGATTACATAGCAATGTTTTGATATTGGGATCTTACTATAATAAAACATTTCGTTTAGCCATAAAAAATATATTTTTATAATAAAATTATCTGAGAAATTATTTTACTCGTATCATTGGGAAAGGGGCAGGATGATATCTCCACAGTCTGTGGGGGGGGAGGGTTCTTTTCAATCCGTCCCCGAAACATTTTTTAACAATCTTATTAATTTCTGGTTACTGCTAAATTGGGTTAGGGCCCTAAGGAGATAAATTTAATTGAACCATCTTCAAAGCTAGCCAAAAATCAACAGAAATGAATCCATGGGTAGTCTATATGCCGAAATGAAAAGTCCAATACAGGCACAGCTGCTTGCGACCTACGATGTTCATTTGACAGTGATGAATGGGATAGCAGATGGCTTCATTTACGAACAAATTTGGATTAGAATGGCTTTAAGAAGTTTATTTACTTCAAAAACAATTTAAAAGAAAAGAATAGAACTGGTGTCGAATGACGAATCGACGGACATAAATTGATTTTTTTCATCTGAGATACCATCCCAGGCTTGTTTACATTTCGTAGTAAACTGGGTACCTTGCATCAAAAATGGCCTACCGATGTTCCTCAAACTTGTCTCTGTATTAAAAGGCTCTCTTAATGTAGATAAAATTCGAACAACATTTCACACTTTAAGCCAATGTACCAATTTATCTAAAATCGACTAAGTCAAACCCATTGAAAGTTAAAACAAGATACAAACCCCGTAGTCCCAAGTGAAAGTTTTCTCTCTTCCATCGCCAAAGCGAATCTTTAGTTGATTTCCGTCCACTCTAGTCGCATTTTTCAAGTTCTTTGATTTCTCGTCTTTTGTCAAAGATCGGATACAAACACCAACTTTTACAGCTTCCATTAAACGTGCTTCTCTTGTTTTTCTCTAGAGCAAACAATTTTTTTCTGAACTTTGTTGAGATCCGATGCTTGATCAAAAGCACAAACGTCCCTTTCTCAGCTGTCCGGCCTAAGTACAAGCCTCTTCTAATTACCAATAAACCGAAAATTACAAGACCGAGCCCCTTATTATTAATAGCAACAGAATTTTTCCTTAATTTTCATCAATTAACGACCTTTTACCTCCCCTCACTTCTGCAAACATTTCACCAACTGGCAACAATCCATTTTCGAAAGTAAATTCTTGTTATTCACTCAGGCGTAGAGATGCCCTGTTTTCAAGAGGCGCCATTTCCTTCCCTGTGGTTTACCACATTAAATATTTGTGGATATTTATCAAAAATTAAAAAGCTGTCTGACAAAAACATATCTTGCAGGAAAATAAAGCAAAAGAGAAAAAAATAAATTTGCTAATCTACTTACATACTCTCTTGTCAATAAACCTTTAGAATACTTTTTGAAGTTCCGTAATGACTGCCTCGATATACATTCTGTAGTTAACTAGAGTAAAAGACAAAATAGACAGAAAATTAATTTTTCCTCTTCCAAGAAAAGAACTCTCGGATCAAAATTTACTCTCAACGTAAAAATAGCATGTATTTGTCAAACAATTCAATTAGCGCTTCTATTTATTAGAAATGTACCTAAGAAAAAATTATTTAAATCAAACAAAACTACAGGTAGTATTGACAAAGACGATCAGAGTATTGACTAGTATCTCACCACACACTGAATTAGAGTTGTCTTATTATAGGCGCTTTTAACACTTACCGGCTATTCTTGTCGCTTCACCTAATTTACAGCAAGGTGGCAATATTAACACTTTGCCCTTTTTTGCCTTCGTGTGTCAAATTAAGATACAATGCGCGCCGTTGATCTTCGCAGAATATTTGTCCTTGCATTTCAATGCGATAAAATTGATGGATTAATAATCAATAGCAAGAGCTCTTTTTTCAGTAGCCTTGTCACGCAATAACGAAATATAAAGATCGAAGAGACGATTATGTAAGCGAATCTGACGCAAGGCCGTCGGAACCGGGGGTGGGGGGGCTGGATCCCCCAATAACCATCAATATGAATTTCGTTCAGACCAGGCACCGCACAGCCATTGGGCTAGCAGGGGCTATAGCCCCCCTCACTTTTTTGCAATGATAGGTTAGAAAGTTTTAGAAAGTTCACTCTAACACAACTTTGGAAAACTTACTCTTCGGATCCCAAATAGTAGTAGCAGTTTGTCTTGAGTAGGAACCCATTGTTGTTCATTTTCTTGGTGTCTTATCTTGTTAAATCTATCTTTATAGTAATTGTTATCTTCTCTGAAATAGACTGTTTATAAAAAATAAGTGGAAAGAGGCAGGTATCTTCTAAAAGGGGCGTTTTCTGGCGTTCTAAAGGACGTAACATCAAAAAATTCTCGGCCGCGCCCTTTTCAGCCCACCAACTTTTAGAATGGTGCGCGGTGCCTTGTTCAGAAAGCACCAAAAGCTATTATAACTGCTCACTATCTTCCACAGGACTACAAAGCTGATTAGCAATTGGATCGCACAGGTAATTTGGAGGCTGGAGGCAGAGGGCTGGAGGCAGAGGGCTGGTTACAGGAAAACATTTGAAGGGTGCTCATTTTGGGGCAGGTTGGTTGACACCGCATCCTTTTGAAGTCTTTGAGGCCGCACCCTCAAGCGCGCAGATTATACTTACGTCCTGTAGTCACTTAACCAGTGGAAAGTTCAACAAAACTGCAAATAAATGGTAATACATTTCCAGTTAAAAGCATTGCCATTCCTTTAATCTAAAAATTCTAAAAAAGGATTCCGTCACTGTTGTAGGGAACACTCCTGGCTATATAATTACTACACCCTGGAATGAGAAAATCGATTGAAAATTTACAGCCTTGACATTTGGTTGATTCAAACGTGATCAAAAAGACGAAAACTGTTTCACCTTTGAAAACTCTCTGACATTCAGTGAAAGTGATAATCAGGAAATACTCTGAGGCATTTCGACACTTGATTACCGGGGTTCTTTTCAATAAGAAGAAAATGCATAGCGATCTCAAGGATGGTGTCAAAGGGCAGATCATTTTAGACGACGTTTCTGCCCTCTGACGTTGCAACAGCGGTTGCGGCTTGGCAAATTGGGTGCGAAACGGGGCACTTTTTTAGAATATTTCGTCATCATCTAAGATTGTTTTTTATCCCTTTTCCTGTAGCATGACCCCCTGTACGAAACAGACAAGTGGTTGACGACGCCTCATTCCTGTGAATCACAGACAAGATGTGGGCCCTTTTGACTACGCTGCCTTTTTGGCTCCTGATACTAAGCAAAGCAGTAAATTTGATTATTATTTTATCTTTATAACCTATAATTTAAAACCTTTAGTCAATGGTATCAAGGGATAATGCAGAGTATTGTATGGGGAGCAGCTGATGCCTCAGTCCTTCTCTCCTCTGCGAAGTTTCTATTCAAAAAAAGGAAGAGAAGGAAAGGAAACTTTCTCTCTTCCTTTTCTCTCCCTTTTCAAAATTACAGACCGTGGAGCGATAGACAACAGAAGTACTGAACTTATAATAGGAAAACAACTTTTTCAACGAAACATCACAGCGGAGAATACGAGGGGCGATTCACTCTTGCAAACAGCGTACGAGATTTTGCCTAAAACAAAAAGGTTTCTGGAGATTTTCAGATAAAACAATAGGATTTTCACAGAAGGTGTATGAGATTTGCCCCTCGGGAGAATACCTCAGTCCATTGTTTTGAAGAACATTTCTTCCTAGTTTTCTATTTCTGAATGGAAAATTCTCCATATCTAGGACATGGAAATTTAATAGACAGAGCTTTGGATTGAATATCAGAGGTAAGAAATAGCGGCTTTCCTGCAACAGATTATAAAAAACCATAGGCAATTTCATATAACAAGTTATTTGGATTACACAGCAGGTAAATTGAGTATTCATATTGCAGTAAGTTTAATTTAAAATGTTTTGATGCAAAAATTTCCAAATGAAGTTTATCAAATGCTGACAGTTTACCAAAATGCAACACAAAATCAGTTTTGTGATATTTTTACAAACTGTCTTATCAGGAGACTAAATTTTTCTGTTTAGTTGAATTGTTTGCCATTCGCCCTTCGCCGAGAAAAACGCCAATTGATGGCAACACATATGCTTGTGACGTTTCGACGAATTGGGAAAGCCTAGTGAAAATGGGTTCTTTTGGTGCAGATGATATTTCTCTGTTGATAAGATTGAGGGCAAAGACGCTGACGAGTAGCTACTTTAGTAGAGTCCATAAACATTAGATAAAACATATCGCTGTCTGCTCTAAACTCTTCATACGAAATTTCCGAAATGAAATAAGGATACAAGTTTATTAAAAAGATATCAAACGTAAGATTAACAATAAACATAAGTTAATGTGTTTTTATTTTGTATTCATAAGTGCAAATTAAGGTAACTTCAGTATGTACATTGTCAAGACGCACATCACCCAACAAAGGACAATAAAACGTAGATAAAAGAAGCACCTTTTTGAGGAAAAATCTATTCATGTTTGCTATCGCATATTTGTATCCATGCACCCTATCAATCATCTTAATTAATATACTGTTTTTGTCAATATCTCTTCTTAACAGAAAATTTAAAACCCTTAAATCTTATTTGGGGCGACCTCTTTGGCTTTTCAGGTAATCAATGAAAAACTAGGAAAAACTGACCCATTTCGCCAACATTAAGAGACAAGATATTTTCTAAATTCCCAGTGTGACAGGCCCCCAATTGGAATACCCAGCAAGTTGCGTTGCATTTTATGTTTTTCATTCCTTTTCCGAAAAAAAGCTATTACCCCCCCCCCCCTAAAACACTGTAGATAATATCATTAAAAACTGCAAGAAAGTGTTTCCTAAAATCGCAACCCATTTCATAGTAAACCAACATTGTTCCGTGGGGGAGAGGGGGATGTCAGTGTTCCAAGACTTTTGGCAGGCATTGTAATTCTATACACCCATTATGGTAGGCCTAAAAATTTTATCAGATAGTTTCAAATGTATTACGTTCTCTCTAAAAGTAGTGGATGCAGCTAAAAAGCGACTACGTTCAACGAATTGCTCAATGCAGTTTGTGCAACAAAGGCCAAGTAGAAGTATTACATACCATATATTATATACAGCCAATAAAACGGAAAGATTTACAGTCAAAGATCCTGAAGCAACTATAAATATATTTCGAATATGGTCAAACGTGCTAACTATAATACGCCTTGAAGGGATACTGTTAAATTCACAAACATTTACACTCAGGAAAAAAGATCTACCGGTAATCAAAAGCAAATTATTTAAGAATGAAAGAATCGCGATATTGCTTATGAAGACCTTCCAGCGAAAATCTGCGGGGTCAAAGAATGAGCTGTCGGGCATATTAACATATTCTCCAAAGATGATGGTTAAAATGTCTTCTACCAATATTGACAACCACTCTTTTTGAGAAAATGCCTCTTTTGGAAAAAGCGATCCTTTCTGGGAAAAGTGCCCCTTGCTAGGAAAAGTAAACACAAATGGTTTTTAACTCTGTAAAAATGGTTCAAAGAACCCAAGAACACAATCCATAGGCTATCATCTAGAGTAACTTTTCCCCTGCTTTTTCAGCATTATGTACATGCGTGAGGTGCGTGTGTGACCAAATGATTCAAACGATGCAAGCAATTCCGAGTGCATTAGGAATTAATAACAAAATGCAGCGTATCACTACACAGTGCACAGTGCAAATAAATGGAAATTCCAATAAAAAGATTCGCATTTTCCACGCGTCGTCTACTACTTGTGCTTGCACATAAATGGTTGTGATACATAAATGCTTAATTTAAAAAGGAGACGACCTTTAGAACCGACATTTAGAGAAAATCCATGCAACTAGCAGAAAAAATGTAGGAAAACATTCAAAACAGTTGATCACAAAGGTCACAAAGGATTCGTGAATGAAAATAAGGCTACATCCCTCAATTGTGAACCTTTCTAATAACACAATTTTATCATCGTGGGTTATGAAAACAGCTTTGAAAAATTAATCCAAGCTAGGAAATCCGATGAGAACAAGCTAGAGTCCAATTGTAAAAACGTGAACCAATTAGACTGCTTGTTCCACTCACACAGTTAAGAAAACTCTACACAAGGCTTTGTAGCAAAGTGGAACCAAAAATGTGTAACTACAAACGTGCGCTTCCCAAAACTTACAGATAACAAGGTGTGCTGCTTTGGGTTTCCATAGAAGCTTACTTAAACAATTCACTTCTACTCGCTGTAAACCTGAAATTAATTTAATCGTAAGTTTGTTCAAACCAATTCAATTCCAAGTAGTTTTCTGAGGAACTAATATTTACACGTATGTAAGCAATAAACAGATTATCTTCTAATTTATTGTCAAAGAGGTTTCTTTGCTACGTATCTAAATGTTCTTAAATCTTTAACGACTTAAACGTGCAAATACGGGCAAAACCAACACCATAGTGAACTCGTACCATGCGGCGTTTGCACAGAAGCTCTGCTGTTCATTTATCAACCAGTGGAGGAATCGAATTTAGCTTGCTTCTGTTCTTTTGTTGGAGAGAAGAATCGTGTATATCCATAAAAAAGTGGCGATAGGAAATATTTGTTTACAGAAGCTAAAGCCACTGCTCTTTTAGTAGGCTGGAGGTCGTTGCGATGCCTAAAACGATACAATATCGTTCCTAAAATCCACGATCAGTTGAACGTACAACATCAAGCAAAAGACTGCAAATTTTGAGCGCAGGATTTTTAAAGCAAAATTCATCAATGTCCCGTGTATCAGTCGAAGGAAGGATAAACATTAGTTACTCTACTTTTGCAACAAAACCTGCCTCATGTTTGCTACAGTTAGAAGACACAATACAGTTAGAAGCTCTTTACCCAAAAGAAAGTTCACTCCAACCGAGCTAGAATCTTGATAAGATAAAACGTAACCAACAGTTGACTGCGAATTTAGTAAAAGGAGAGTAAATATAAGCCAATAGGAAACAAGGTGGAAGAGTGTTTTCGGCTTTCTTTTGAAGCTCATGCCTTCAAACTCTTCATTGTACTAGGGAAAAATATATTTGGAAAAAGGGTATGTTACTAGGCCATCCACTAAATAAACTTTCTGCTAAAAGCCTTGAGAGACAACTTTTTGCATATCTTTTAATATTCAGGTCCGTGAATTTTATTCATCATAAAAATTCTAACTATGAAACTTCGGGGTTCATCGTTTCTTAACAAACTGTTAGATCTATTAATATTCTTATTATTTTAAATTTAAATGTTGAAAATTGAAAACCTAATAAGACGTTTATCTAATTTCTATTAGACGCAGTCTTACATTTTAAATTAAATTCTTTCATTGCGCATTCAATGTGGTATTGTTTTATCGTAATTAAGCTAAGGGCCACCTCGGGCAGGATACAATTTTAAAAAAAGGATTTAATTAGGAGCCCTCTGACAAAATCTATGACAATGCTTCACAGAAACAGCATGTATTCTGATCATAGATGAACTGCAAGTATGACATGCACACAAATCCAAGCCCAATTGCCAAAAGATCACTTAAGTTGCCAATAAGATAAAAAATGTACTCTTTCTAGGCTATTTCAGTAGATGATAAAACAGCTTTGAGACTTTCAATTTCATAAAGTTGCAAATGCAAAACAGATTGAGAATCCTAATTAAAACTCTCTGCCAGTTGTTTGATGAAGCATTTTATGCAATACTTATATTCAGCAGACAAATACTCCATCATTTAACATGTTCCAAAAAAGAACAATTTTGAAGCCCTGGAGCATACTGCAACCGCCTTGTCTAGTGAATTTCTAGCCTCGCTGCTAGCCTACAAACATGACATGCTAGGAAAATAGAATTTTCAAATAAAAGTAAAGCTCACTTGGAATAGATTAAAATTTGGTTGGATGGCATGATCTGAAGGTGAGCTGTTTGTACTCGACGTCGTGCTACTGGCTGTCCCGTTCAGCAAAGTCTGTCCATTTTGAGATGCACTGCCGTTGTTTGTATTAGGAATGTGGCCAAACGTTACCTAAAATAGCATCATTTTATGCAAGTAAATACAAAAACTGCAGCGTTTCACTTGCAGTTCCACACAAAGAATCTTGTTTGTGTTCATCTTGTTTATCACACAAACAATGAACAGAAACGGCAAATTATATAAAGATAACTGCTCCGAGCAAAAATGAATTCATAATGATACTAAAATTAGCACAAAAAGAAAGGGCAAGTGCCTTTTTGCTAGAGCTCGAGAGCAATGGCGACAACTGATTCATTAATCAACGGGACATCTCGCCCTTGGGGTAACTTTATAGCACTATCAACACATCAAAAAATGAACAAAGAGAGCCCCTTGCAAAAACAAACTTTGAATGAGAATTCCAATTATTGTGAATAAGCCCAACAGAATTTCTATTTACTTAAAAGCAATAAAATGGGTTAATCATCAACAGAATTTGCTCATTACTATAATAGCAAAGATCGTATTAAACTGCAGGTACGGCAAGATTGTCTTGGTTAGGTGCCGTCGTGTTACAAAGAGGAGCAGACACATATGGGAAAATATGCATCGATCAAAAGTGGCTTTTTTTCACTTGTTTTTTGCAAAACTGCCAACAACAAGTTTAGAAACATTCACTATTACCAATTGATCTTAAAATAACACATATCACGTCTGTGCAGCAAAATTATTCTGATACTTTCATTTTTTCATTTGAAACCTTACTACTATTTTTTAACAATCATTAATCGTATTAAACCTTAAATATCATATAAGATACATATTTTATTTAATCTGAAAAAGCACACCCAGGTGAAATTTGAATCTTGAAAGATTGATCCAGATCTAGATATTTTGGTGTGAAAACTTCACTAAAATCTAAAATCTTTCACTAAAATCGACCATTTTCACTAAAATCTTCTTGACATAAAAGCTTGAAAATCATCAAATAAAACTGTCCTATTTGATGCTTTGAAATAATTTTTTCTTCTGACCCACAACTGTTGTGTTTGTCATTCAAAGAGATGTCTCCAAAAAATCATTCGATTTCACTTTTTTTGGAAATTATTTTGTTCAATAATTTTATAGCTTTGTTTTATCTTGAAAATATTCCGTTTGATCTTCGAGTTTGTGAAATCAATCTGAGGTATTGTAGAGCAGCCTTAAAACTTATTTTCTCTGTTAGTTTCTTCATAGAATTAAGTCCGTCTAGCCACAAAAATAACCTAAGAGGTATCGAAATGAGAATTTATCTTCCTGGGGCCCAAAAGAATATATCAAACATACACGTAACAAAAAGCACACCTGTTCGTTGCTTTTGGTGCTAAACATGGCTGCAATATCAGAGAACGGTCGCCCGTTAGAATCGAGAGAGCCTTCAGCAGATGGAGCATACTGATGCTTTGCAAAATTTTCCGCACTGTCACTGTTTATAACGCCAATCTGTTAAAAATAAGTGAAAACCAACAATTATTTAAAAATGCTGTAGAAAATCGCTCCAGTTCTGCAAGAGATTTTCGGAGATACTTGAATCGAAATTCAAAATGGTTAAAAATGAGTGTTTTTGAAATAGAGCTGCCAGATATTCTTTTTAGTGCTGGTTAGCCAAAGGAATTACAAGTTAAAAACGTAAAACAAAAACAGTTGCTTTGCAATGTTGCGGGTGGATAACGCCAATCTGAACATTGATTTATAGGAATTTTGGTTGTTGAATCTACGACAGACTGCTCTCGTGTTGTAAAATGCTAAGAAACGGGGCCGCAAAATGTTAGCAGACAGGCCAGTAATCGCATGAATAGCTATTCTGGCAACATAAGCCATCAATGGGGAATATTCTTGGTACTCTCGAAAATAGTTAAAACATTAAACAATATCAAAGTTGCGAATCAACAAACGATTGACGGAAAACAACCCATACCAGATGAGTGTGAGCAATAAGGAATAATCTCAAATGTGTTTTCGTATAACATGGAAAACTTTTCAGTAATTGCGATCTTCAGTCGAAATATCATTCGGGAGATAAAAATAAATATGTAGAGGTATTTGTTGAGCGGTCAAACCTTTTTTCGACATCGAATTAGAAAGAATTGCGAATGGATATCATTACGGAGCAGACATATCGTCCATAAATTGCAAGAAGCAAATCAAGGTTAAATTAGAGGCAGATAATATCATGTAGCACTTACCTGGGAGGTCCGCACATGATATGGAAAATTCGTATTTGCAGCAGAGGGCCTAGTCAGTATCTGCAAGGAAAGCAAATAGCATTTAATATTTTCTTTAAGATTCTTTACGCAGTATTAAGGTCATCACAAGAACATCCTACTGTAATTAACTATGTTTTGTAAATTTGAATAGATTGAAATTTGTGATCTTTGAGAAAATGCCATTAGAAATTATCAGGACATCATTATCCAGGTGAAACAAGCAAAAATGTCCACGAACATTTCTTTGGGGGCTAAAAGAAAGTAGGACTATTAAAGAACAGAGAGGCTTATGGTCCTTCACGAGGTAGTGTAGACAACAATAACACTTACCAAAAAGAAAAAATAGGCACAGAACGCAACAGCCCTGTTGATACCGTTGATTACTTTTGCTCTGTTGGTAGAAAGACATAATAAAATCTCAAATGACGTCACTTAAAATATGGATAAAGAAGGTTCCTCACGGATTGGTAAATATGACTGAAGGGCAAGTTGCTGACAAAAGTACCAACAAGGGTAATTAAGATAGAAACCGTAAATGGGGGTTTGAACCCTCTTTACCGGAGTTCAGCATTGTGTGGATCATGACCCCTTTATCAATGAAACTATTTCGGTTAAAAACAGACTGCTTGGCTTGGAAACGAGGTAAGGGCATAATTGGTGACTCGACTCACCTAGCAATTACCTTAAAAGAAATTTTCGACACCAAAACTTTCTATCCTTTCGCTCTTTATCAGAGAGCCTAACATTTCCCCCAAATCGCCATTACTCACTCTTCATTTACATTTACAGGTTAATCAGCAACCTCAATATTGAGGGCTCCGCTGATTGGCCACTGCATGTACAGCTGTTTGACAAAACTTTATTGGGTTGAAATACAAGAGAAAAAGGGGGAGTTGGTGGTTACTGAGCTCACATGAAGGGGCCTAAAGTATTTATAAAAAGAAGGAAAAATGTGATAAATCAACAAAAAGGAATTAGTTTAAAGTATTACTATACTGTTGAAATCTAAAAATGGTATATTAATCCATCAACACACCTGGTTACCTTTTCAATTTATTTACGAAAAATCATTCAAGGGACAATATTAAATTATGAAATTCAAATACTAAAAATATATACTGAATTTATGAAGACAAGAAATGGTCAGTAAGCTTTTTTGTATCGCGGTGCTCACATGCGGAATCATTCGAAACCTGCACTGAAACGAGTGCCTTCCCTTCAATTTAAGCGAAAAATGAGTTTTTAACTAAAAAATTATAAAAACTTGTTTGCCTTTACTTTCTTTCACCTTTTTACTTTAGTTTGCGCATTAATTGTAAGTAGTTTTAAGAATTTGATCAATTTGCGAGTCACCCTAAATCCCCGAATTAGCCCCCTGGGGGCTTAATTATTTTTGACATTTTTGGATTGGGGGGTTATTTGAGAGGGGCTAATACGAGGGGGGCTTATTAAATAGCTTATTGAATTATCTGAAACATGCCTAGATATTTGGTGACACGACTGCTAGAAAAACAAAATCTTCTGGAACTCGCTTGACATAATCAAGAAGACATTAGGAATTTATTTATGAACATGTTTTAATTATTGCCAAAAGTATGAATTTTGTTGTAGTTCAATAAAACTCCAAAAGCAACCATTCGAGGATTTACGGTATGTACTTTATTTATCTGTAAGTTTTTGTCACGACCCATTCAAAAGAAATCTGCTTAGATTGACTGGATTTCCATGAACAAAGAATTTAAAATGAAATGGAAAAAATTTGAAAATATAATTTCCTATTGCAATTAAGATTAATTTGTTGGCTTTCGGGGACAAATTTCCACTTCTATAAAGAATTGTTGCAAAAGATTGTAGTCTTGAGCCTCAGATTATCCGCAAGCTTCAACTACATCATTTATACCAACGAGAAGACTTTTCCTATGTTCTCTAAAAGCGTTTCAAACCTGCGAAAGTGTTCCATATCATCTCTGCCTTCATGACCTGGTCACATTGGGTTGATTCTGTCTTTAATGTAAAGTTTGAATAAAAATTCTGCAACATTACTCACCTAACCCACGGGTCAAGTACATAGGTAGCAATGAGGACAAATACTGGGCCACTTAGAAACCTGAAATAAAAAAGAAAGACATAGGTTACCCTGAAGGGTGTTCTGTTGTATGAAAAACAGAGCAGTTAGAGTTTAATAAAATGCAGATGAAATAATAGTAGTGAGAATAATAGTGAGACTTATAACATTTTTGGAAAGCGACCTAAAAATCGGGTTGACATTAAAAAGCAAAAAATTTATACAAGAGAATAAACGCCCTAATAATCACACTTTGACTAAAACGAATAAATGATTGATTTATTACTGGTAATTGTCGTTTCTTAGTTAAGTCCAGCTTTAGTGTTGACAACTGATAATTCTTAGCTATGTCCAGCTTATACAGCAGCAAGGATATTGAAAACCAAATGACTTACCAAAAAGTATAAAAGAACCAGAAAGGGTAGTAAAATGCGCTTTTATTAGGGTAATGCTTCAACGTGAAGAAAGTTCCGTAGCAGAACCAAATCCATGCCTAAAACGCAGAATAGGACATCTTCAGATTGAAAAGGACAGCAAATTTTGCGATAATTATAAAACGTTGTAACAGATTGTGGAAAAGAGTGACAACCATTTTGAAAGCAAGTGAAAAAGAACAATCTGGCACTTGGATAGAGAGAACAATAGAAACATTGAGTGAAACGACAGTGTACTGAAATTATGTACAAACTACATATCAATGGCAAATCAAGTATGCCTCAAGAGAAGTTTATAATACGATGAAAAATTCACTTGTTCCCATCAACAGAATGTTTTGTTAAAACCCGAAGAAACATTTGGCTATCAACGCGGATTGAAAAGAAAAACTATTTTCTATAAACACATACGATAAGGCGCATGACACATAGACCAACACCAGCTGGGCTTTCGTAAAGATACAGCACTTCACCGGGGTCAAACGCCTGCAAAATGATTATTTTATTAATTAATCCACTGTTTGGAAAATGCTGCAACTACTTGGAGAGAATATCATAAATTCTACACCATGTCAGCCAATAATGTCATAGGGTGGAAAATCCTTAACTATTATACTGTTTTTGCACCGAAGTTGCTCAATTCACAATATATAAGGCATTACATACTCCAAGAATAAAAGAAAGAATCCAATGGTCACATGGCATCAAACTATTCATGCTGTAAGCAACTTCAGAATATCTTGAGTGCAAAAATACAAAAAGATTCGAAACACTTACAAAATCGCTGGGAAAACAGGTAAGAAAGAGAAGAAGGTTTGACAAATGATGTAATTCGTTGCTTTAGAATAATATATTCGCAAACGCCAATTTTCAATTAAATTAAAATCGATCATTCCCTTTTTCAAACAATCAGGATATACAACCGTATATTTCCAAAATCATTACCCTTTTATTGGGTTGGATAGATATTCTTCTTAAAACAGCACAAGTGACTTACGCAATGTTCTTGCGACCTTTCTCGCAGACTTTACTTGCTATATTTGAACGATATCAACTCACCTTGGCTTCATAAATATACAAAGCAGCATAAGTAATCGAATAGAGCGTGAAAAACACGCCGAGTTTCACTTGTCCAGACGAGCTTATTCTTCCTCTACAAAATAAAAAAAATGCTGTCAGCAAATTTTAATGATAAAATCTTATTCCTAAATTGAATATCCACTAAAGGGAAATTGATGGCTTTGATCGACTTCTACCTTTTTTTACCTTACGAAACATAATTGCATAAATTTTAAAATCTGGGACACAATTTTCAAACATTTGGTGATAGGCACAAAACTGTTACTGTACCGGTCTTCAATATCAAATAAAGATATAATTTATACCAATTTTGACCAATATCCATAACCTAATTTCGCCCTTGAAGTTTCAGATTTTAACTGACAAAATCAGAACAGCAAATCACTCTATGGTGGGAATCGGTAAATCCTGAGAAATCATTTTGTTTTGTGGAAATCTAGTATTTTCTTTACAAAAGTGAAATGCCTCTCGAATTTACGGTAAGTACTTTAGTCCAAGTAATTTATGTTGCCAAGAGCTTGAGAATTACCCACAGCTCAAGTTTGAGAATTTTCCGACAAAAAAATGATTTTTCTGAAAATCCATCAAATTTTGAGAGCAGAGGGGGCCACGGCCCGTCTGCCCCCCCCCCCCCCGGCCACGACGCCCCTGCTTAGCTTTCAGAAAAGTTATGGCTCTATCAACATATAAAGAATAATATAATTGATTTCAAACAGTCTCCTTCCATTATAAACAATACACTCAAACTTGAAGAATATTTTGAAACAAAATATAAAATCAATTCAGCCTGTACAATAACAACCGATCATACACATACTGTTTAAAGTTGAACGAAATTTTGTTTATTCGTCACTAACAAGACTTTGAATTAAACGAGGAAGTATGAATCAAGTTTTATATATATATACATAAAATATTGAAGGATTTCATCGCCCGTCGCTTCTCGGAGTAAGAAGTAGTTTATCTCCACTATAACTATTACATTCACAGTCAGTGACAAGACACATCACATGGAACTCGCATGTTTTCATATACTAAAACGCATAATTATAGAAATACATCATTGTAGGAGGAACTAAAGAGAGCTTTATTGTGAATTTTTGTAAAGCAACAAGTATAAGGGTCTTTTAGACGCTGTATTTAATCCTGCAGACAGGCTCTCACTGCAAAATTTGCTGTTTTCAAGGAAAATCATTTGGAATATATTTTTTCCGCTCATCAGTGCAAGGAGAAAGACGAAGTGATTATGAAAAGGCCATCTGCTGTTATCAGTGATCAAAGCTAATCCCTAGACATCTATTTAAATTATGATGGTGAAAATATAAATGATCTGCTATAATACTGTAAAAATGACTCGCCTTGTCACAGTCCATCCTTTGGCTAAGAGTATCAAGAACAGCAGAAGAGCCATATCACCAACTGAGTGGCAGCCTTGCTCTAAATAAATAAGCCAAGAATAAACATCTTCTACAGCTGGCCAGAAAATATAAATCTTCCTTTATGTCCACAAAATGATACGATAAAAAGATCTTAACACCAAAGGATCCCCAATGGCAATACGACTGTCCAAATCCCTGTTTATGGTCAAAATGGTAATTATAATGAAACGCAATAAAAAGGGTTTGGATAAGCATTATGTGTAGAATCTACAGGCAACACCATTTTCAACATAAAATTTTGAAAGTCTTTAAAGCTTTACAGGATCTTGCATAACCGACATGCTTTGCAAAGATATTTTCAAAGCTGGCCTAATATCGTACTGAATGAAAATACCAAATACAATCAATTTCTCCTCGCGTAAGAAAACAGCTACCGCAAAGCATGCCGGTTGCGCAAGAGCCTTTCTACTTTAGTTTACTCAAATATTTGCTTTTTTCAAAGCCATTTCCTTTTACTTTATGCAACAACCTTTATACTTAAATGGAAATAGAAAACGACTTCATTGTTCGATATCAACTGTGATAATGCCAATGATAATGCTAATATATTAATGCTGTTAATCAAATCAAGTGGAAAATATATAATTATTAGACCGTAGTTTTGGAGGCACTGGTTGTAGCGCTTGCAAGAGAGAGGCGTTTAATAAAGGGGGTGTTTAATAGTGGGCAGCTTTTGATAGAGAAAGAAGCGCAGAAAGTAACCTGCAGTATAGAAATATAATGGAAATGGAAAAGATAATGGACAAGATAATGGAAGATCCATTAGGCACTGATTTTGAGGGATTCTTTTTCAGGTGGGGAACCAGGATATAGCTTTAAAGAAAAATCATCTATTTGATTTCAAAATTTAGTAATTTAAACAAAGAAGCTTTATTAAGAATTGATAAATATAATTGGACATTGTGTTCACTGAGGAGCAAACAAATGAAGATTTGATTTTAGTTTGGTGTGGGCAGAATTTCGGAATTGGATTAAGAAATCTGACAACTTACCAATAACTTTGTAGGCTCTATTTGGTATTCCAGTTTTCCCATACTCAACGTAGTAAATTAGATCAAACATCAAAGATACCACTGTGTAAATAATTTGAAAACTTATCATTTTTTTAATAGAAATTGTTCCCATTCTGAACAAATTTGAAGGGAAGATAGATCGCATCAAGGTAGGTTAGGGAAAGGTAGTTAGAGACAGAAACTTCCTATGCAACCACAATGTGAAATATTCAAAAGGATATTGGTTTACATAATATCACGTTTGGTTGGCATAAACTGCTAAGTTCGGATGAATGCAAAGGAACTATATTTATAGTCACAAAGAAATTTTCACGAAAAACGTGACCAGTTTATAAGTTACGCAACTAGTTATGCTTGATGCATGTAAAATAAAATTGTCTCTTCTCCCCCAGATTAATTGACCTAATATGAACTCTCGCAAACAAAGGCTGACATTATCCCACTGTTTTTACAGTAACCTCACTAAAATACTTTTCTCCTAACACAAAGGGGGGCAAATTCTTACTCGCTGAAACGATGCCATGCAAAAATGCAGAAAAATTTACACGTTTAGAGAAGGTTCCATAAAGTGTTAGAAGCTAGGTAAAACTGACAAAGCTACACTTACACTCGAGAAAAAGAGACACCATGAACATTTTGTATGTATAATGAAACAGCTGTCTCGTTTTGAGGACACCTTAAAAACAGAAAGGACATTAGCAATTAAAAGTGCAGACTTTCATCGCTGACTCATAGCTGGAACAAATTTTGAAGGACTATTTCAACACGATATTCAACACATCTAAAAACAGATACTGAAAAATATTGTCTAATTATATCATACTTTGGAAAGGAGAATGATTAAACTTGATTAACTTTTATCGGTCAATTAGATCAATAAATACTTTCAATTACTGATAGGCGCAAAAAACAGGGTCTTCGGCAGCAGATGTTTAACACTTAAGTCTTTATCAATATTTTATTACAATGTTCGTTGGTTAATCAGCTTTATTCTGCTTAACCTAAAACTGATTGCTGAGAGTCGGGTTTTCACAATTTTTACCGAAGACTTAAAAGATCTAAAGTTCAGATGGACACGGCGCATTTTACTGTTGGAAAAAATTAAACCTTTGCCAAGACGTCACTTAGTGGTAGTTACGGAGGCTTTGTGAAAAATAGACATTGAACTTTTCAAAATTGATGTTAAGCTTGCAGTTTATAAGGATATTATCGAAGAGAATGACTATCAACAGTATCAGTTAAAACTGTTTCTATCCCCGAATAGATGAAAAAACGAGCAGCTAGAAATCGTACAACCAGAAGGCAAGGTATCCCTTAGGCATGCTTTATATTCAACACACTACAATCATTGCCAAAAGTACTTGGAACACCCAACAATTTGCGTTGTGTTTTTATATTTTTTAATTCTTTTCCCGAATACACCTATTTCCGCACTCCCTTCCACTTTAAACAATTTCGATAATTTAGAAAAGTATCATAGAAGTCACAGAAAAAAAGTGTACTTCCTTAATTCCCTACGTCATTTGTAGTAAACCAACATTGTTCAAAGGGAGGAAGGGGAATGGCTGAAATTGTCCTTGGAAACTGATGTTAGTGCACCAAGATTTTTGGCCAGCATTGTAGTTCAAATTTCTCAATGCAATCTCATGTTGAGCAATAAAACAACCACTTGCATGTCATGGTTACAAAGAGATGGTTATATCAATGCACAGGTACCAGCAATACCAATTATATCAAATATAATGCTTCATCACATACTCACAGCTGAAGTGAAGCAGATGTCAAATACAATTGATAACAAAGATGACACTTTAGAAAAGTTTCGCTTTTCTAAGACGAACCACTTGACCTTACCGTCCTTAACTTAGCTCTGATAAATAATTGTAGTCAATTCAACTGACTCAACGACAAACCCAATATTGAAAAAATGGGGTTTAATTTTTGTAATGTTGATTGGTGTTTTACAGGATTCGAATTAACGGAGTACAAAATCGACTTAAGATGCAGCTAATATTTTCAAGTTTCTTTCCAAGAACACTGGTAAATTTCAATTTTCTGAATACATATGATGAGCAGACTTTTTTAATAACACATGGTATAATAAATTCCAGTACATAGATCAGCACATGAATGAAAACCTCCTTACATTCTAGCTTAACCATGTACTGCTAACCACAGAAGAACTAGTCACAATGCTCATCATTGTGGCACAAAATCAAACCTGCCTTTTATAGGTGAAAACTTTAAAAACTTGTCCTCCAATTAAATTAACTATAGCGATATAAAAACTACCCTAACTCTGCAACCCTAGATGGGTGGACTTGAAACTTTGAGCCTCCCTTCCTCCACACATCAACGTTAATATATCTGCTATTTAAATACATAACTTATAAATCTCGAATGAGAGTTGATGTTTTATATATGCATGCTAGCCATGGTGTGCTTTGTTTTGTTAATACGATTTCCAAATACTAATATCTAACAAAACCAATACTACAAACGCCAATGGTTGGACTAATGACGGTGCTTCGTTTGGACAATAGAATTTTCACTAAACAAGCTGAGTGTACGTGTGCAATTGAAAGAGGGATAACTACAAGCCCTGTTGGACTGCCAGTTCTACATTTACAACAAGCGATATCAGTCAGTTTTTGAACTTAGATATGTGTAGACCATAAAAATTAATGGCAGTATTTGCTGTCATTGCTATATAAAACATATTTTTTAATATGTCATTGCTCTATAAGACAATAAGTTTAAATATGTATTACTCAAATATCCTACTTAATATTAGCAAGAAAGTTGCAGTCACAAAACATTTCAAGCCCGCCTCACACTGTTGAATTTATTTGACAAATCAAAGACAGAAAAATTAGATGCATAAATTTATATAGTTCATGTATTGTAAGAATTCGCCTCGACAGATTAAGGTTCTGTACTGCAAGATCGATAGACACAAGATTACGGTTCCATATCATTAAAAAAAGCATTTAAACCGAAGCTTCATCTACGCACATATGTGCAGAGTATCTAAGCACTGTGTCAAATGCAAGTATAACTGTTTTTTAAATAATTGCAGAACAAGTTCATTCATTCTAATTCCGTGTTTCACATGGTGCGCAGTGGCAAAGCGAATGAAGTTATAGAAAGCTGTCTTTAAAGACAAAAGTGACATTGAAGGTCAAATTTCTATTAATTTTAAATTTGTCTGCAAGCACGCCAGTTATTAAGTTGCACTGACCTTACTATACACTTTGCCAAAATGTTTAAAAACAAATGAGATATCCTGATCATACATGAAAGAAATTGGTTCATTCAAAAATAAAACTCCAAAGATTAATCCATACATACTTGCTAAGATGACACTACAAAGGAACATGCAGAAGGTCATCAAAAAGAAGGCGATGTTTGGCTCTAGAATAACTGGAAAGAAGGAAAAGCAGTAATTAAAGCTTTGTGGAAATATGAACAAGCATGCAAAATTTTACAAAACCCTTGCAGTTCTTTGTGAAAGAAAGATCTTTGAGAAAGGATACAACGGTGCTTGTTTTTTAAGCAATTTTTTTTTCAAAATTGTCAGTGTATCAATTTTTGGTGTGCATCTACCATCCTGGAACAAGGTTAAACCTTTTTCGGTTACGCAAAACTGATTAGACATTGTAAAACTCTATGGTTGAGATTAACCCATCTTAAAAGAGGTTTAGATAAAGGACAGAATGCACTTTATCAGTGAAGATGCATTCAAGGCATCGGTATAATGACATAAACTGACCAAGATAGTCCTGGGTTTTTTACAAGTTTAAAAAGATTTGCAAGCACAAAGAAGAGATGCAAGGTACAAATAAAGCTTCCATATTTAGCCCTACTGTATGTAACTGGTTACTGTTAAGCAGCTGCTGTTCTTCTTCGGTGATAAATTGGGCGCCTCCGGAACACATCAATGTTCTAGATAAACTTACTTAGCACATTCTTAAAATATGAAATCTGACGAACTCTAATAAAGAAGTATTGAAATTGACGTAAGTTCGGCATACCTTGCTCATCTGCCGAGAAATGCTTGGTCCAAAATGTATTTCCATTTGTTAGTTCCATCCTGTACTTCATTTGCACACCCTACCGCAAAAAATTTGTGATATTGCAAAAATTTTGTAGATTCAAAACACTCGATCTAATAAACCGAAAAGGTATTTAATTGTAAACTTCTTTCCAGTACTTACATTTTACACCCAATACATAAGCTAAATGAGTTGAAATATGTGGATTATGCAATCGAGATATCAAGGTAGGAAGATTCAGCTCATCATTCTACTAATTAGGCTACTCAGTGCTAAGGGAAGAAGCTTATTACTGGCTGAGTATAATTTTGTTCAGTGATATCATCGTCAAGGATGGGGAACGTTGAGAGAGCTACGATTTTTCACTTTAGCCATCTCCCAACAGTAAACCTTAATCCAATTCATCAATTATAGTCCAAGAATAACATGGTATTGAATTTATTCAAAAGTTGACCACACCTTTTTTTTTATCTTACAGAAAATGTGTTCATATACACTCAGTTGCATAGATCCCCGTTTAAACGGCTGGTGAAAATCTGGCATAAAGTGAGCCGTTATGTGATTTGATTGGCTAACGCAAAGTTACTTGCACATTAATTTGTTCAGAACAGAATACGCCCCGAGAAAGCATTTTTCTTGTGCGTATAAATCGCTGTTAGCAATATAATTCTAGACAATGAATTAAAAACAATTGAAGCCGCAGTGCAAGCAACCTACTCTAAAATTCTGGGTAAAAATAAAATATTTAACACACACAACTCTCCTTGCTATAGAAAAACCACAAAAAGAACTTTGCCATGACTGGCTAACGACCTTAATCAGATCACCGAATTGACGAGATTAGAGCTTTCAATGCAACCAAACACAGTCAATTCCTTTATGCATAGAAAAGAGCGTTTTATCCAACAGGTCAGCAAAGAGCTCGTAAAAGAAACACACAAATGTTCCAAGACGAACACATACAAATTTTTGTTTTGTCTATGCAAAAATTACATTCTCAAAAACAAATATCTTGAAAAAAAGTTATGTAAATCCCTTAATAGTTGGTTGTGGCTTAAAGTCAGCTTGCAGTAGTATAAAACGATGGCTCAAGCATCGTGTAGTAATAACTCAATCATGAGGAAATAACTAGGAGAGCTGTTTACTGCTCCACTGTTAAAAGTCTTATGTCCAGGCCTGATAGCTCCCTTACTCCTAAGAGAAATATTGCTGTAATCCTTTTTAGCGCATAAAACGATAGTTCCTTCTCTGTGGAATAAACCCGGTAACGAAAAGACAAGCAAGTTGTGAAGGAGAGGGATATAGATGCCCTCCCTTGAATACCAAACAGCATATGCAGTTGTTATGTGACTTACTGCGGATGAGTTGCAATGAGACAACACAATATACCACCATCTAGCTCTTGATGAGATAAATTTCCTTGAGCCTAGAGATAAAGGCAGATCTTGTAGTTATGTTCTTTATATATCAGAAGTGCAGCATCATTGTACAGAATTGCTCTTAACTGTTACTGCAAAGCTACTTCATACTTTATATAAATATATAAAAATGCAGTTCCTTGAAAGACATTGAAATATGCTACATTAGGTTACAATGAACAAATTCAATGATGAGAAATTTTCTGTAGACACCTCTGAACATCTTTAATAAAACTTTTGAAGTGTTAGCTAAAATGCTATATCAGGTTCCAATGCTTTATTCAAATGCCATATTGTATTATAAAGAGCCAAATTCTTGGCCTAAATTATAGTGTCAATATATGCCAAAAAGGATACTTTATTCAGTGCAATGTATATCATTCTTATTTTCTTATATCAATTACCTTTAGATCAAAATAAAAGCTATAATTGCCAAAATCCATGTTGAACAAAAGCATAATTCTGCCTAAAGTCAATTTCATCATATTTGGTTGAGAGAAAAGTATTAATCTATGCTGTTCAAAACACAGCAAACAGCTTTTTGCCTTTGAAATATAAACCAATCATGTTTTACATCATCGATGTAGTGTAGACAAAATCCACAGAAAAGATTTTCTGAGTTACAACAGATAGAAACAGCATTTCCATTTATAGAAAGCAACAACAAAAAGGTTCACCTTTTAAACAAAGTATGGAAAAAATTACAAGAGAATAATTGTATATCACAACACACTTTTATTTTGAAGAAAACTACAAAACCAGGCCAACATACTACAAGAGATTGTTTTCAAGTTGAGGAAGAGATAATCAAGCTTTGTTACCTTTGCAAACTACATACTGATTCCCTTCTCTTATGACTGAATCACACTGCCCATAGGGTTCTAGTCTCAAGATTTGGTTGTTCCCTGGTACTGTTCTGTCGACCTTTGATTGGCATGGCTAGGGAAGAATGTAAAGCAAAGATTTAAGATATAACAAATGCATAAATAATATCACAATAAAATATTTAAGTGAACAAGTGTGGAAAGAATTCGAGTAAAACCTTACCATGTCTGACTTTGGGTAAACATCTTTCCACTGAGTGTCATAATAAAGAATAGCTAATTGTGGATTGGAACAGCATAATGTCTATAAAAGAAAAAGTTTTATTTAAACTTAAAAATGACATGATATATGTCAGCAAACTTGATACACTCATATAAAGGAAGATATTCAATGATAGAAGAACTTCTGTGCTAGTTCTCTACATGAAAAGTTAGCAAGAGAGAGATACATTATAAAAACTTCACCATATTTCATTCTAAAAAGGAAAGATTAAGACTAAGAAACAAGGAAGTTAGGAAAGATGCTTTCAACTTCCCTGTAAAATAATGCAAAATAAGACTGATTGATGATTAGAAATGATTGCTGCAAGAAATTGAAGAAATTTGGAACTACATCGTTAAGTGTTCAATAGCCATTTCTAACAAGCATTGCCTAAGATTCAATGTCTTATTTGTCTTTTTGAATACCATCATATCGATTTACTTTTAAATTTTCAACTAGCTAGCATGGTAATCCTTTTAACTAATTCAGTCATTGTGTTTTGTTTTGCTGTGTTTTGCTGTGTTGTGTGTTGTGTTGTATACTATTCTATAATACTATTACTATATTTAATATATATATATATATACCTATATATATATAAATACTATCAAAAGCTCATGCACCGAGTGTAATAAAAATAATGTACATATTCAGAAAAAACACTATCGCTTAAACGTTTCCACCAAAGTCTTCATCAGTAATAAGAACAACAACCCTTCTGTTATAGAATAGCTGCTTTTGTTTGTATGGCATATAATGATATACACATGATGTTAAACTTACCATTGGGTATTCAAAATAAAAATCAACTGCACCATGATTATCATCTGAAAAATGCTTGTAACAGAACCTTGCGACAAATACCCATTGCTAAAAGTCAGAAATAAAACATGTGCTTAAATAACATTTCATAGCAAAACAATATAAAGAAATGCAATAGAACACTGGTTACTACATACTGCATAACAATAAAATATCACAATTTTAATTGGTAAGACAAGCCTCAATACCGATTCATACAAATATTAGCAATTGTAAATAAGTAACAGGCTTCATTAATCTGCCCCAGTGCGAAAGCGATGCTCACAGACACAAAAGCCCATTCTCAGGAATTTCTACAGGCACATTTCTGAATCAATTTTTTTCTACTTTTATTGTATTGCAGTCAGGCTTTCTCTAAACATCTCCCTTGGTATTGAAATTGAACAGTCAAATAGAGTTAAAAGGTAATAGTTGCAAGTTTAACCCATGAATGAAAATCTTTTGATTATCAGTTTGATTTTCAATATCAAGTTGGCTGTTTGGCTCTTTCCCTCTATTTTCTCCTGATGAGAGAGATCACTAGCAATAATTCTATCGCTTGTTTCCCTGAAAATTATGGTATGACTTGCCAAATAGTAGGCTGAAGAAAACATGCTTGTTTAAGTTAAGGCCATCAAGCATTTTGAATCTGGTAGCTATCGATGTCTGACCTATTGGAGCAAAATTACAAGGTACACCTCCGAAGAAATCATCAAAAACAAAAATTTCGACAATTAATGACAACACAAATAAGCCTATACTTCTTTAATTTTTAGAATGAAAACATTTTCAAATCAAAACAGTCAAAACTTCCAAGCATGATAAACTCAAAGCTAAAAAACAGAGTATCAAGTTACTATGTTGACAATAAAATTTTCAACGGAAGTTACTGGGAATAGAATCTTTCGTTGCAAATAATAATATATTTGAAATGAGAAAAACCCAGTGTAATGTCGAAATTCTTGCAACCTTTGCCAATGGAGTGAAAGCAAAATCCTTAAAAATACAAATCTTGAAGGAAGATGTTGTAAACAGAAGAGGCACTCAATTTATCAGCATTTCACTATAAATTGCAACCCATTTCACTTGCAGGCACATTTTTACTCAGCTTTGTGCTCGCAGACACAAAATATTTTTTAATGAGTCCTGATAAGTAAAATGTCACACATCAACAGGTTGTTTTGGTGGCTGCTCACAGATACCAGGAAAGATACAAGAAAATTGCTCTGACTATAGATTACTTTCCACTTTTTATGTCTGCTACTCTTTACATCATAACTTAATGCATAAACCTTCATTTTCCATCCAGATATTACCATCATTTCTTACCTTCATTTCTGCTTGAAATGTATTTTTTAATGTGTTTGTTTTGATTAATATCAAATTTTTGCATTTTCCATATTGATATTTACATATGCCTGTTGTTTAGCAGATGAGTTAATTGGTTAGCAGGGTCGTCACTAGCTATTGTGCTCATTGGGGGGGGGGGCACCAATCTAATTTGTTGAGAAAGTTGGTAAACCATCCTTCATTTGTCAACAAATCTGAAAATCTGATAAAAACACCCCAAGGTGGTAAAAACATCCTGTTTTACACTGACATTTTCTTCAAGGGGGTGCACACCCCAAACCCCACATACTCCAGTGATGGCAGCCCTGTTGGTTAGTCATAAATTCTACTAATTCTGTTAATTCTAAAAAAATATTGATACTTTGAATGAAAGATGTCCACCATTGCAGTTTTGTAGAAAAGGTTCTAAATAGATTTAAATTTCTTTGAAACCATATGAAATGTTTTTCCTTTCCACATTCAAATTTGCAAGTGTGCTGGCTAACCTGTGAGTTTATTGTTTAGTAATTAATTTTATTAATTCTGTACATTCTGACAAAAAATTTAAATTTTGAATAAAAGATGCTCTTCACAGTTATTTTGGAAAAACTTTTGTAAATAGATTTAGTTTTGATTGGTGGTTCTTTCAATGAACCTTTGCAAACAGTGCTGTTTTTTGTTATGTGGTGTTGATATTGAGCCATATGTTTATATTGTGTTTTATTCTACATTTGTTTCCAATCAAATAAATTAACAAAAATAAACATCTCATTTCTTTTATGTTTTAATTGACTGTTTATGATTAAAAACCTAAGGACAAGACACCAAAACACCTACTCAGGGTATTGTCACAATTTATACTCTCAGATATATGAACAAAAAAAATCTGCATAGGATTATCATTTTATTTTAACTAGTCTGTGGTTGAACAAGATTTAAAATTAAAAGCATGTTTCTGAAATTTATTGCAAAAAAAGGTGTCAGTTTATCACTTGAAAAAGTGTTAAAACTTTCAAGAATGTTATTGCTTCACATCAAGTAATGCCATTTAATTTAAGGATGCCTAGAAGTGCAAGTATCTGTAAAAACTTTCCTGGGTGGCACTTTTCATTAAACCACTAATGGAAAGGCATCAACTGTGATAACTCAAATAATTTTTCTCAGAATTTTTTCTTACATCATTCATAAGATGGGTTTCAAATATTTTGTACATCCATTTGTCACATGCTGCAGACTTAAGTGTGATACTTCAAATTAAAAGCAAAAAGCAGTAATTTGAGTTAGGTAATTACAAATTCACATTAAACCAGATACATATAGCCATAGAATAAACAGCACATGCTGTTGACAAAGTCTTTCTATTACTCAACTCATCAATCAGTCCTATTTTTAGCTAATTTTGTAGCTTGCTGTTTGTTTGCTAACTGTGACAAGTGAGCAAAGACATGATAGCAGGTTTGTCAAGAGCAGGTAAAAGAAACCTCTTATTCTAGCTTTTCTAACAGTCTAGCTCTTGGCATGCTCTGCTCTGCTAAATTCAACATGCTCTGCAAACTGGCATATTATTTAAAAACATGCAATTAAAATATAAATGATTGCTTTCTTTTCAAAAAACTATACTTAGCTTAGGTATTAACTGTCACTGAAAAAGCTGCTATGTCAAAAATGTCTTGCCTTGCAAGAAGTGGTGCCCAAGTTTGATCAAGTGCCTCCACATGCACTAGAATGTTCTATAAGCTCAGTTGTTCAAGCACCAAAAAATGTTTCTGCTGCCTGAAACTGCATTCAACAAACTTAATTTGTTATTGGACCAATTGGTAGAGGTAGGCCAAAGAAGACATGGGCTGAAGTGATGAGAAATGATTTGAGTCAAAGAAGGATCAGAAAAGCCCGGGCCGAAGACGATTTCCAAGCTGGAAAACTTGCATATGCACGTAGCAACATTAGACTTCTTGTGCTTGCAAATAGCACCTCCACTGACCCAAAATATCGAAGAATTCATATATTATATTATACTAAAGTTATTACATAATGTATATATGGGAGTCGTTGCTTGCAGCTCAAATGGTTCAGCTTGAAGGTCACAGCTGATAATTTGCTGTTGGTCGCAATGACGTGTCTGCAAAATCATACATGTTTTCCAACCTGGGGTAATTTTGGAAGTCATTTACAACACAACTAAACCCTGCCCAACACATGCTAGCATGTAAAACGGACATTAAACGAACAATACGGTGATGATGATGATTATTATTATTGATGATTTGTTATAATAATTGGAAACATAATTGCTTTTGAAATTCTGTAAACTGAACTGCAAACAGCCTTTGAATGATAGCATCTGATATTTAGCTGTATATAGGCTGTATTTTACAAACTGTAAACTGTAATAGGACCAACAATCATTGCTAAAAGTACTTGGAACACCCAGCAATTGCGCTGCATGTTTTTATTTTTTTTTCGATTCTTTTTCTGAATACTCCTCGTTGATAACTTGGAAAAATATCATAGAAGTCGCAGAAAAAATCGTACTTCCTTATCCCGTACGTCGTTTAAAAAAGTCAGTTCGTCAAGTGCCTGATTTTTTGCTCCTCACATGCCTGGTGTCTAAAACTTAAAATAGTATTGGTTTTAGGCTTCCAAGTCGTTTGGAGATCTGAAAAGCTTCCATGACGTAATGACGATGAGAACTTAGCAGATTCGTTTTATAATAAGTACTGGATTCAATTTCATTTTGATCATATTCGAAAGAATTTAGTGAAATCCTAAACTTATAAAAATAAAAATTTGATGGCAAGCTTAGATTTCCACAAGCTTACTGAGGTTTTAGCATTAACGAGTTCCTCTTCATTATGACTGACCGGCTCAATTATGAAGCAGTGCAACATCAACGTTCTTTGAAAATGGCCTAATCCTACTTTGCTTTGTCATAACAACGATAAACAAACGTAAAATATATTACCTCTTTCGTAGAAATTGTCCCCTCGACAATAAGACTTTCGGATCTTTTAATGAAAAGTAACGAGAAGCCAAAAAACAGTAAATATCTTGTTAAGAAAACTCCTAACGTTTTCGCTGACATCTTGAACTTAGACCGGCGGAAAGTCGCGGGACGCGTGAAATTCCGGGGGGTACCGAGAATACCATTTTTATGGATTCGAACAGGAAAGTTTTGTTGTAACAAGTGTTAGGCAACATTGCAATCGTAAACTCAAGTAATCTGTGGCATCCATATTTAAGTTCAAATTTGAAATAAAGCTGACAATGATGCATCTATTATAATACTAAATTTTTCTTAAGTTCTGTAAATCTTGAATGAGCATCTCAAGAGGTAAGCCAAAACAGCATTGGTCAATTAACTTCAATACTTAAAAACTTAAAAAGAAAATTCATCGGTGTATTGTGGCAAGGGAATCAATCATTTCGGAGCTGAAGGTAATGGGCAACTCTATTTAGCGCTGAACGTTACAAAAATACAGGTAGGTTCGTAGCAAAAGTGAGTCCACACTGAAATCTACAAAGTACAAATGTATTCGAAAACCTGTCTAATAAAAAACTAAGGATAGCTGTGTTAAATTTAAACGTTCATGTTTAACTTTTTGATATACAAATTTTTGGTCATTATTCGTGTAAAATTCATGTTTAGCAACAATCAAGCAAAAAACTCATTAGCAAGACCCCCTGGCAAGAAGGAAGCTGTTACCATTGGTAATGCTGAGACGAATGAAAACGAGATAAGCAGCTAACTTCGATTCTATTCAATCCGACATAGGACCTGTAAATCAACAGAAATGAATTCGTTGCACAATGATCCTTAATTTTTAATAAATTGACAACACATTTTGTTAAGTAGTATATTCTGTTGAATTCTTTGCTGCATGTTATTTCGATAAAATCAGTTCTTTCCTGTTATTGAGCCTCTCAACGAAACGGCGGGTGCCTCTTTCCACCAGCCCGCTCCGTAAAGGAGAACTACAGAGAGACAAGTCCATTGCAGACTTGGGGTGGGGGGGCTTGAGCCTTCCCTGAAAAAGATCTGATAGCACACTTGGGAACTAGTTAAATGTGTTATCAATTTATAAGGCTTAATTTTCCGCGCATAAAATTGTCTTTCGCGACGTGCTGTCCTAAGAATTTTCAGTGTCATACATAGAACTTAGTGTTAAAGGTTATCTAGCCTGCGTCACAGACCATCACCACTCTCCTCCTTGGTGGTGATGTTATCGTGAAGTCCGGGTCAAATATAGTAGTTTAAGACCAATCCACAGGGGGGAAGGGGGGAGGGGACCTCAGAAAAAAGTAACGGCCAGTAAGGTGCGCTCTTCGCTAACGGCTATAGATAGACGTGTGATAAATTATATATTTAATTATAAAAAGATGTAAAAATTATAAGTTGCAGAAGAAATGTAGATGATTCAACAAGGGTATGTGGAAGATTCTGTAAAATGTTGCTTAAATCGATTCTCAGGACCTTTTAAAAGGCAGAGGATGGCCAATAAATGATGCGCCGTAAATCGGTTAAATCTTTCCTTCTTTTCTTTCGATAAAATCGTCCCGGCAGCTACATAACTTGCATGCTAACAAAGGCAAAATAATTTATGCGTGCCATGGGCATAATCTTTCACAAGAACTATCCCAGAGGTCTCTCAAAACTGATATATCTCCTATAAATATCTCAAAACGACTAAGAGCAAAACGAAGGGTATAATAGGGGCTCCTATATATTCTGAAAACAATAGACATACGTAAATGAAACGGTGAAAGGAAGTAATTGCCCGCAACTCGCGCGCGATAGCGCGCGAGTGAAGGGCTTATAGTCTGCCCCGCGTATAAGTAGCATATGGAAGCTTCAGTTCATGTTGTCAGCACTTTGTCAGCAGATTTTGTCATTTTTTTGCTGCCATGACAACTGTCAATCAATTTCATTGTCAATCAATCGGCTTTGTCGAGGAGGTCGTTAACCGCCACCTCTTTGTGCGGAATTATCTTCGGAGCGTTGCTCTGCCAAGACTCTGTTAAAGGCCTTCGGTATTTTGGCACGAAAACGGTGCTGCATCACAGCTCGGTTCTCCGCAATGGATGGAAGTTTTGATTCGAAGTTTTGGGAATCAAAACCAGTCGAATGCCACACCTTTCTCCCAAAAACTCGACACCGTACGAGCAAAAGTTATGATTTCGCTGTACGAATCCTTTATCGCAATCTATTTTAGCTGTACCCGTTCTATCACGTGTCCATTTTCGTACGTCTTTGCTTCACGAAAACGAAAAATAAATGTCAAACCCTAGAAAAACTTCATGATTTTCAAAAGGGCGTTGGACTTAAATCAAAGGCAAACTGAACACCAAAAATTCTTGATAAAAAGAATAGTTTAGCATCAACTAGAGCAGCTGTTTTTATAAAATTGTGAAAACCCAAAATGGTGTCTCCTTCGAATATCCTGACCTAAATTTTCAAAACAATCATTATCAAGGAACTAATTGTTTGCGGGCAGTACTAGCAAGAGCTATTTCTAGTTTACTTAGTAACGAGCGGGGTAGGGTAGCGTGATATCCTTAAATACTGGGTTGCTATGGCGATCTCCTTAACATGCTGATAATTGACGTAGGTATGAATTTAGTTATAGTAATACAAAGATTATCCTGATACACGTGATAGAAAAATGCGGAACGACCAAGGAACATTAAAGGTAAACAAGAGTGATTAGGTAAGGAAAATCAAACGAATGGACTAGAGAGAAAGGCCTAAAATTAGCAGTATTACAATTCGGAAGGAGATATCGGGGCCCATTTGAGCTGTGGTAGGCCAAAAGATAAGGCAATTGATGAGAAAAATTCCAAGAAAGTTGGAGAAAACATACATGGTTATGGTAATGACGGTAAAAGGCAGCGGGTGTTTTGTCATGTTTGCTTTAGTGCCCGTGCTGCATTAACCACAAGACACACTGGGGACTGTGCCCACGACCCAAAGAAGGGCCCAAAATTTTCTGAAATGGTCAGATTTTTATGAAAAGTATATAACGACACATGATCAAAATCCAATTTTTGGCAAACTTATTTATTTCTTGCCCATCTGCAGCCATTATCACTGGGGTCGAGGCAAGAATTCAAAAAATGAAGAAATGTACACACTATATCTCATGTGCCGCCTATTCGATCAATTTGATTGGTAACCGAGAGCTGAATGCTGCCTCAAGTTGTTGCTTCTTCTTTTCATTGGTTGAGAAAGTGTTTGTTTATTTTTCTGCTTGCACATAATGCTGGAGTATTCTTAAGAAACGTTATATGCAAAAGCAGTTAGTTAAAATGCTAAAAATTGTTCGAGATAAGGCAAATGAAAGATTGTTAACCGATTGGCTTGTTCATAAGCCATGGACACAGATCAAATAACCAAACTGAGAAAGAGTCTGTACTAACGTGACCAAAAGCAGCCAATTTTAAACACGTTTAACAGATTTCGCACATTTACACGTTTTTTACGACGCTCGTTTTCAAGACACGGCCCAAGAGGCGTTTTCGATTTTAAAAATCAAAACTTGCTGGTTAAATGCTTCACTAGAAAGGAAACTAAAGAGATAGCTCAACTACAAAGGAAAAGAATGGACCAATAAGTATTTACCTTCAAAAAGCAAAATATTTGAAAGAGTCAAGTATACAAAAAACCTTCACTTACATGAAAAATATACTATTTCCTCTACTATGTAGAGGGAAATAGTACCCAACATGCACTTCTGCGTCTTGTTGAGGATCGAAAAGCGTGCCTTGGTGAGAAACTGATTGCTGGTACTATTAAGATGGGCTTTTGACCCACGGGTTGAGGGGAATAGGAGGGGGACTAGTCCTCCCCCCACTTTTTTAGAAAGTTGGTCCTTGAGTTTCCTGCAAACCCGATGAGAAGTTTTTTATTAGTAGCACTTGATTATAGGTCTTTTCATGATTTTTACACACGTAAAATTTCTAATATCAAAACTCTGAAAATAAGTTTCAGGAAAAAGTGTTCATTGCCAACGGTAAATTAAATGCCAGTTCTTGGAAGACAAGAGGTGTTTCCTGAGGAAAAAATGCTTCTCGCGGGAAAAGGGGGTGCCAAAAAAGGCCCCCTTTTGCCCCTTTCGAACCGAACCCCCTTTTGCCCCTCCCACATATCCCGGGCTGGAGCCACCACTAATTGACTGCTTACCACATCAGCAAGTAAGTGCAAAATTACATGCATATGTTACCTTCAAGGCAGGGCTCAAAGAGTAAAATTCTAACTACAGTTAATGGAAAGATATAAACAAAGGAGTCCAACAGTGATCCGTTTTAGGGTCATTGTTTTTCAATATTTTCCAAAATGATATCATTCTATTTATAAACAAAAGTGAAATATGTAATTATACTCATGGCAACACAATCTGATGACAACATAATATGAATAAAAGGGCAAACAATTAGTGCTATCACCCAACTACGTAAATTCTGAGGTAATACTCTAAACAGCTGGTTCAGAGATTACGGCTTGCTTCTTGAAAAAGAAAAATGGAAAGATGTGATTAAAGAGCCTTGAAAGGCAGCGTTTGGAGAGAGTGAACGAGGATCGTTTAATCAGATAAACTGATTAAGAAGAATTAATTGGCGTAGTACTTGACAATCATCTAAAGTTTGATCATCACATGAAAAAGATTTTGTAATGAAGCGGGAAAGAAGATAAGTGCCTTTTCAAGAATATCACCTTCAGATGAAGAGAAATTAAAACTATTAACGAAATCGTTTATCACTACCTATGTTGATTACTGTGCCATTGTTTGAATGTTTTGTAGCCAAAAAATGAACAATATAATCAACAATTTTCACAAAAGAGCCCTGAGGATTGCAAATAATGACTATGGTTCTACTTTTGGAGCTCTTCTTATTAAAGATAATACATCAACAAAACCTGGAGAGACTAGCCATTGAAATGTATAAAACTAAAAGTAACCAAGACCCAGTTTTTGAATGGTATTTTCCCTATATAGTTAATACGTCCCTATATAGCCTAAAAAATGAGCCACTCGCTACTAAGAAGGCTCAAACAGTTTTTTACGGAATTGAAAAACAGTGTCTTACAATTATAATCAGATTTGGAATAACATTACAGCTGCCTATACCAAAAGCAACAGATGGAGAACAACTCAAGAAACGTGATTCTATTCAATTGCGCGTTCGTACTTCTCTTCATGCGTCATTACAAGGGGCGTAGCTAGCAGGGGGGTGTAAGGTGTGTGACATCCTTCTTTCTTCGTGAGTTTATCAGTAATTCTTCAGTTGGGCTACAAAATCCTGAGTTTGTCAGGAAAATCGTCTATTGGTAGGTGAAATAGCACCTTAATTGTTCTTCATCTATTTCTTCTTCGGTAAAATCTTACTTTTGATAGCCCTCCACCCCCTTAGTCTGTATTGTTAAGCTTCGCTGACTCATTTGTCATACATATTTGTTGATAGTTGTGCACCAAATCAATTCTACACTTCCCTTGAACTCTAAAAGAGCATTGACATAAAATGTGGGCGATGTTGCGTATAAAGCTGATTTTGCTTTGCACATACACAAGGACAAAGAGCTAGATTTGGAGGCAAATCCGTTTTTTCCTTTTTCATTGTTCTATTCACTGAACAACACCTCCTTTTACGTATTTGCCTGATGTAAGAGAGCTAGGCCTAGAACAACAGGTGTTACCAGAAGACCATCAATGTTAAACTAAACAGTCGTAAATTACTTTCTGTGTGATGAATAGCTTCATTATGTAGGCGGCAGGATTGCAATGTGGCCCCGATTAATGTTTACTAGTTTAGGCCAATTACTTCCTTCCAGTTACCTCCATAACATTATTTAAGCCTCCAATATCTCGACGATCAGTCAACCACATCTTTGCTTTTTTCAATGGCTTTTTAACGCTTCTTCTGGGATATATGTCATATTCTCAACAAGGTTCGGATATTAACTTTCGTCGCTAGAATCGAAAGTATCCTCCATCCTTTTCACTTCCTGTACCCAGGGTAAAAATAATTTACCTTTCTTAGGTAATCTTAAAAATAAATTGAAAAAAGTTTTCTGGTGGATATTGAATATGAGAGCCCCTAGCAAGAACCATTGTGGAACACCAATGGTAGTGTTTCTTCGTTAATTCAGTGTGTTGTTGAAATAGACGCAATTGTTTCATCTGATTAAATATCAATGCTTTGGGAAAAGCAGTTCTGTCGAATCCAAGAGGCTTCAGCATGGCCACAAAAAGCCTTCGGAAAGGAATGGCTTTGGCGATTCCTAATTCCAAAAAATATCCATTCCGGTTTCCTCGAAAAACATATGGGGCGTGTGACAGCTCACTTAGAAAATATTTCATTGCAAAAACGAGGAACTTCTTGCCATGTAAGGATGCCATGTTGGCAGAATTTTAGGTGTGTGAGAGTCATGGTTCAGGGGTTATTCTAAGAAAAATTAACAACACCACATTGGTCATTTTTTAAGCTTTTCAACGCCACTGTTGATAAAATACCAAAAACAACGGTAGTATAAGAACCAGTGTCCTAAGAAAATTAGTCTTTCTTTTGTCTTCAATGTTAGCATTGGCGTTGTAGACTTTAAATTTTGACGGGATATAGAAGGTGGTGTGGTTTTACCCAATAAGGATGAAAATACTCAAAAAGCAGTAGCACTTGACCCGGATAGCGGAGCACAACCCCCTAGAATCTATGCACATGAGTGGTAGGAAATTGAGAAACCCTAAAAACCTTGTTAGACAAATAGACAGGCAGCAAAGGGCACCAAAAATGCCTGTATCAGAGACATATCAAAGTGCGTGATAGAATATGCTCAGATTTGGACATTACGGAACTGGCATTTTAGCATCAAGAAGTGGTCAATTTTACGGATGTCATAATGAAAAACATGAAACTGGCATAAGTGTATATCCGTACCTTACGCAAGCGTTGGCTAGGATGCTAGCAGCAGAGCCGCACTCCTGTAATGTTAGATGGCTAATGAGTGCAAACATCCATGTGAAGTAGAAGAGCCCTTATCCGGGGGGGGGGGGGGCTTTACCTTGGAGAAAAATCACGGGGATTTGCCTTGCGCAATAATTTTTTTGAACCTGTCCATGAAAAAAATTCTGTAGACATGAAATCTATCATGGAATAATAGCTTTTATTCCAAATCAGAGCTTTAAGAGAATAACGCTATAGAGTGGACAACACTTCTATTTTCATGACAAATCTGACCTCTCCTGGAAAAAGTATCTTTGATAGGCATACCTCTGCTAGAAAAAAGACAGCCCTGTCCCAGAATTTTCATCCAAAAATGAGACTGTTTTAGAAAGGGACATCCCGGTAGTCAGTGTATTACGTAAATTCCCTGCGCCCTCGTCTAAGTGTCACTTTTTTCTGTGATGGATGGCTACAATTGAAGGAGAGAAGGCAAAAACTTAGAAAGAAAGAGAAACGTCAGCGTTGATTTCAAGAAGTGTACACGGAGGCATAAAGTTACCCTAGACAACCACACGAAAAAGGTATATAGCCAAGATCAAAAGTAAAATGTTTTAAGATTCAGGACTGGCTGACTATTAACTATAATTTTTCTGCTGTGTTAAGTTTTTGTTTTAATTTTAAATTCTTACAGTTTTACGAACGAGTCCTTATATTTTACGAACAATTTTCCAGAGGGTCGATTTTTTACAACACCACAAAATTGAAAACACAACACCACAAATTAAATTTACAACACCACAAAACGGTAACAAAACCACGTTAGAATGACCCCTGTCATGATTTCTCTCATAGTTGAGAGTCCTCTTTGTATACAGTACTTAATGGTTAAGGCTTAGGGGCCTGGTTTTGCAGGTTGCCGCATTTGAGAGTGTTCGATGTCGATGTTGATGTGACCACCTCCAGATTCGATATTCAGTAAGGTTTTGAAATACTCCCTCTACCTTTTTTTACCCCTTCTTCTTTGGTCAACGGTTTTTTGGCTATCCAAAATGAAACTCATTGCTCCTCCATCCATTTTCGTCTTTGCTCTCTTCTCGCAATTCTTGGCGTTCTCTACTTTCCACCTTTGTATGTTACTCCTTTCTTATACCAGTCCTTTGTTGTACCATACTTTGATTTCGCAACAACAGGTTACATACCCCCGGCGTGTAAGATGCCCGCCAATTTTTTATTCGAGGAGAATGGCAGGTAGACATGGCAGGGGACAGACAAATTTGTCTTGGACTGGCAGAAGATGGGTACAATATGCAATCAAAATGGCAGTGCTCGGGGTCAAAATGGGTAAATTAGTTTGTAACTCGAAAAAATCTCTCGTATTGTTTATGTTGAGCCCAAAAGGGATCTTGAGACAGAACGGGGACAGCCAATCTCAGCTTGCAAGGGACGCAAGGAGATGAAAAAAGGGCCCAGGTAGTACGATTTCTCATCTGGGACTGTTTTCATCGAGCTTGTTGCAATGGGTGTTGAGTTGCTTTCCTATCAATTGTGTTTTGGTGGTCCAAAATTTAAAGAGATATTGTACCCAGTTGTATTCAGAAACTCGAGCACACAAAACATATGCTATAAGCCAGATTTTTCTTGAACTTTATGTTCTAGATCGTCCTATTTCCATAAAACTGAGAAAGTTGAGTGAATGATTCTTGTAAATCTAAGCCCTGAAAGGGAAAAATCTATTTCTGTGAAAAAATCAATCAGAAAGCAATATTGAAGCACAGAGATGAACAGACACCATAAGCCTTTAGCTGTTCCTATGACAAATTATTCTGCTTTGCTTTGTTTTCTATGTTGGAGAGGTGCCAAGAAACGCTTAAAGCAAGAAGTGTACTTGCTGTGAGGAAAAGTAGCATTTGTGGTTAAAAGCGCGTTTGTGACCCTGCTACACTGTGAGACTACGTAGGCTTCAACTTCCCCCATCCCATTGACTGTGCGCCACTCTTGTTGAAAAATTTAAGAAAGCAAATGAATGGTTTGCAACATAAAGTTATCAAATCGAAGGACTCTAGATAAATTTGACAGCGAAAGTTGGGGGGAAAAAGTACACAGTACTAGATAAGAACATTTGTAGATAGGAAATATGAAGATTTGAATGAATGAAGATTTTGCAGCGACAAGCTCTTCAAAAGGCGTTGTTGGTGATATACCCTTGGTGCTAAAGTCTTCATTATTTAGCCTCAAAAATATAGTTTGAAATGTTTGGAACTCATCAGAGAAATGTTTAGTTAACAACCCCGGTTTCTTGAGCTCTGGTACCCAGGAAATTGATGATATTGAAAGCTGAACAAAGAGAAGAGAGTGGTCGAAAAAGGGCCTTCACTTCGTAAAGCCACTTCTGCTTACGGCACGTTTTTAAAATTGAAATTTAAGAACAATCCATCGAACAATACTTAAGATGAGAACCCATGTGATCGCCGACCTTTTTAAACTTTATTTATTGTCCATATATAAACATTTATACCTTTTTTTAGTTGCTTATAGTGAATGTGCTCTTACAGCATGTTGCTTTACGCAATACGTTACATATGTCGGTCAACTGATAAGGACCCATTGATATTTTTCTGTGATAATGCTCCAATCTTAACTGCATAAAGAAGATGAAATAATTACTTAATCGTACTTTTGCAACAAAACAGTAAACTGCATCTGTTCAACGCTTTGTCGTTGGTTTGCCTTGTCTGATCTGTACACTTGTTTGTCGATTCATTTATATCACAGTATCCTGCATGATATATTCTATTCAATACCCACAAATATTTATAAGACAAAATTCTTTGCCCTTCCTCTCCCCCGGTATCAAGCAAAAGAAGGTCCCTCTACCCTGAAATTACCCCTAAAACAAATAAATAACAAAGAATAACGATGGTAACAATATTTAATGTATTGAATTGAAACACAAATGTCACAAAGTACAGCTCTTATATATAATTAGAAGTTATGGCTTACAGAAAACCGTTAATGGTTGAAAACAAAAAAACAAAAAAGAAGAAAACTCGAAAGTAAATCAAGTCCAAACTATAAAGCTAGAAAATGTATATTTGACTACAATTTACACTGCTGTGTGGTCGTTGTTTCGAATAGCTAACGAAACGTTTAAATAACAAAATCAACAGAAGAATATTTTATTGTGTTTTATGCAAAGGTCTGAATGCCTGTCTAGAAGACAGAACGATTTTTTGGTGACTGACCAGGAATCTCTTGTCTATTAATCTATTTGGTTTACATTTTCAAAGGCAAAGTTGACAGATGTACCAGAACAAAATATTTGGCTGTTGTCAAGGTTCTCATCCTTTGCAGTCGTTGGCCAATGTACTGCTTGGGTTCATAAAATAGGATTTAAGGCCTCGAACAAACATCGGAAGGTTTGTCACATTAATGTACGTATAACGTTAACCTTAAAGGGAAAAGCAACGCTCTCTGTCCCGAATATAATCGCTTTGGTTCTCAGAACTTTTGATAAGATTTAAGGGCTATGAAAGGCTGATGAGGGGGCACCAGAAGTCAGGAATCATTCTAGGCGGCTGCATTTGTTAATTCCTCATGCAAAAAACACAACAAGGTTCGAAATAGATTACACACTACTTTGCTAAATACATACTATGCTAAAATTAGTTCTTAAAAAGCAATTAAAATTTGCTTTGAAAAACTGGTTGATGACGATGAAAACCACTAAAAAATTTTGTTTTCTCTTGGCAAACCTTTATTGTCATCAAGAAAAGTTGCTATCAGGATTATTTCATTGCCCAAATCAAGATTCCAATCTTTGGTAGATCTTCCGCGCGTTAATTGTGCCTAGCGTATACCTACACAAAATTCCATGAGCGGCACGAGATTGCCATAATGCCACATCTTCTGAACTGTACCCAATGCAGATAAATTCGAAAACGGCTCAAAAGTGCAGATTTCAAGAATCAAAAGAAATTGTTGGTCTTCTGTGTTGAGATGTCAACAGACATAGTATCCACTTTTGGAGATGAAGGTGGTTGATGGGGTTTAAATAAAAATTGAAAGTCAAAGCAACAAAACAAATGCCTGATTATTTTGCTACATGCATCAAAATTTGTCTGAAATAAGGATCAGTTATTGGTTATTTCGGAAATACTTGATTTCAACTTCGTAATACTTGCCGACTATAAATACATTTCCTAATATTCGTCTGCAGTCGTTAAGAGGTTCCTTCATACATTGGGTTTTTGAAATGAGAAGTCGCTTGCTTGTACAAAGGATTCTCTCCCTAGAAATACGTAAACATTAATTAATACCAGAAGTTACTTGCATACAAGAATGCAGCATATAACAAGCAGCAAAACAATTAGCAATCATCTTTAAAATGTCTTCCGGCCAACAGTCTATAGTTAAGTACCCAATACTATATATTCAGTAAACAATGTTGAGCCAAATGTCTGGTTGCACCCCAAGCACCTCTGAAAAGTTGTTCTGGGGGGGGGGGGGGGTTGGTGTGATCAAATGCTACCATAATAATTTAACTGTCAACAACAAATCTTTGGAAGAACATTTTATCTTTTTGAAAAAAAAGTTGAAGCGTTCAAAAAGAGCAGAACTTCATCATTTTAGAGGCCTAAATTCATGTCAAAAATTTTTATTTTGGGATGTTCACGTGTTTGATACTAAAACAGAAACATTTTAAGGGGATGAGACTTTCATAATGGATACTTGTGCTGGAAGAAAATCTTTTAGACGTGTTCATGAAATTTCATTTTTCTTAATAAATGTAAACTTCAATTGATATGAACCTTGTTCAGTTCTGAACTGGGATCAAAGAAGGATCATAAATGAAACAATACCAAACATAAAAAACGATCTGGGTTTGCGAAAATGGGTTTGCTGACTTTTATTTGACGTTTCAATGATAGAGACTTATTAAAAATAAGGTAAATTAGCATAGCAGAAATCTGCTGCACAATCTGTTCCTCACCGTATCAAATTTAACTTCCTTCAGATCTTTATTGAATCGGGCCAGCTCTCTGCGATCCTAAGAATGATTTAATTATTTTAGACAAAATTTCAAAAATATTTCTCGACACAAGTCATTCATACAGGCCGAAAGAAAAATATCTTTTTTACAAGAAAATCTGTTGGTTGTTAGATTTGGCAAATAAAAAAACTTTTCTTCGTAAAAGGGATACATGATCTGTAATACATCATCGCTCTTATTCTTAACAGATTGTTCAATAAATTTAAATGGAATGTTAGTCAATATTCATTATCGAGCAAAAATTTTTTTCCAAAGCTATAAAAACAAGGTTAAAAATACAGGGCAAAAAAGCAATGTTATTAATAAAATTTATGTTATCATTAAAATAAATGCTACCAACCTTCAAAGTTGCTAACAGTTTCCAAATAAGGAGCAAAGCCAATCCAACCCCAACAATACCAGCAATCACTCCAAGAATAATGGCAAGGATATCGGGTTCCGCTGGGCAAACTAAAGAAAGTATAAGTATAAGTATTATTATTATTTTATCATTTATAATTATTTGTTTCATTTGCTTTACGAATCGCCTAGTAATGATACCTTAAAGGAACCATTTAAATAAACGAGCCATACTTCTCTCCTTCTGCACCAGCAACTCGATTTCTTCTGTTACGTTGTCTTTCCGATAAGTAAAAACGAAGGAGCAATCATCTTTGTCCGCAGCGACGCATCTTTCGCCAGCACCTACAGAGAAAATGAAACATAAAAACATAAAACATAAAAATTACCATATTTCATCTATATATTGGTTAATTTTTTCAATAAATGAAATAACAAATATAGTGTAAGTCCTACTCAATCATTCGTTCACAAAAAGCAAAAACCGGTAGAAAATATCTGTACAAACGGCATATTTGACATATAAAACTTATTCTACAAAATTTCTTAGCGATATTATCGAGCATTTTCTGCAAATGTTCCAACTTCTGTTTCTAATAGCGAATAAAATCTTACTTCATTTGCTGTCCTTGCTTGAATTTTCTAAATAATGAATATAATCAACAGACAGATCAACTCCTCTATTGTAATTTCAAAATCGTAAAGCATATGATAACATAAACCAATCCAAAAGCTCCTTCTAAAACAATGAGGATAATTGAATCTTGCCGGCCTCTTATTTCCAGCGACTTGCATGAAGTAACTGAGCAAAATTGTCAAACCTGCTTGGACATAATCAACGGTTGTGATCTTTGTGATATTTCTTTTTCTGCATTCTGTCTCGCATTCCGGTGCCCCGAGCTCACTCGTTTTGAAAACTTTGCATCGCACACACTCTTTGTAGTCCACGCAAGGATCTGGGCAGTTCTAAGCGTCAAAATATCAAAATTTGGTTTACTTAGGTAGTGCTTCCTTGATGATCAAAGAAAACATCAGCGGTTCTAAATACAGTGAGATGTGAATCCAGATTTTTCATATATTCGGTGATAGATCATAATAAATAACTTTTCTTCAAAGTTTTCTAAGAAACCACCTAATCAAGAAGTAGTACCTAGCCTTTAACAAGCATTAGGGAATCACAGATTGGTCAATAGATGAGTGGTTTATACATAAGTCAAAACATATTAATCTTAGAAAACTCTATTAAAGAGTATGTATTTTTGTATAGGGCCAGTACTTCGGTGGGACAAAGTGAAGATGGAGATATTGGGATTTGCAGTCATAGAAGCATCTGCCATGAGTCGCAAATAATCAAAAATAGATATGAAGCCCAAACGTACAAATACATGCATAATTAATACTGACAATCGAGGGTCAGTTTTTTGAGTGAACATATTAAAAAGCATTGCCTGAGCAGGAAAATTACCTCTGCACACTGTTCACAGTAATCCCCAAAGTATCCTGTTTCGCAAGCCGAGCATCTGCCGCAAATACACGATCCTTTATTGTTGCAGATTTTCTGTATGCAAAGAGAGAGGTTAGCTTGATTATGAGAAAAAATCGAAATCCAACAACTGATTTTTTTGATCAGGTAAAACACCCTTCACTCAGGGGGTAAATGTAGCAAAGAGAAGGCACAATTAAAGGCATCATGTCCCGGTAGTCAACCGCCCAGAGTTAACAATAGGCTTTGAAGCACGTTTATGATCAAGAACATTGCAAAATAGCCTTACGCTGCTGACTGCATAGGCAACAATAGGTCTATTGTGTAGTCTAACCAATGGGAAATTTTAATGGCCAACGAATGCATTGGGACATAATGCTTTTAAGGTTAGTGACATACTGTAAACCTTTGCACACTGAAAAAACTGAAACAGGTTTATACTGATGGTATAGAGTACGTATGCAAATGGACTTTTTCACCAATATGTGACCTTTATTTCACTACCGGTTCGCATGATCAATGAAATAAATGGATAGTGTACTTTTTTTATAAAAAATCGCAAGAAAATCATCACGTCTTTGACAAAACCTACCCGCTTGTTGGTGAAAAATCATGCCAGACTCTGCCAAGAGAGGTCAAAGAGCCACAACCATTAGCGATTTTTAAAAAAAGTCCCTTCATTAATTCGCTTTCATGAAACACTACTTACATTGTTGTAAATGCAACCAGCTGTTGAATTAATGCATTCGTCTCCACATGTAGGCCCAGTCCAGTTTGATTTGCAGACACATTTGTTGCACTCACAAGATCCTCGCTCCTTTCCTAGAAAATAGTTGGATCGTATGGACAAACCTGAACTGAGCATTCGATAAAGATTCAGTGAAAAGATCTTTGGGCATAGCCTTCCAAAAAATCTTTCCCTCGTGAGACTTTTGAGAAGGATACCAAGGGGCACAAAAGGGCTTTTACAAGCAATGTACAAGCAATCAAGGATTTCCTTGTACATGTCGAAGTAATCCAATGAAATGTTTGCAAGGGTGTATCATTTATTGAGTTCAGCAATTTGATAAATATCAACTATCTCTCTGAATCAGATACATATAGTAATGCATCTAAAATATTCAGATCGTGCTTTACGAGGTTCCTCAAACCATTCTACCTGTGCTGTTTTTTCTAATATTGAAATCATATCAAGAACAATATAGATAAAAGACGGTCGATATGACAAAAAGCAAAAATGTTAACTGAAGGAAGTAAGAAAGGGTTCAACAAAGAAATAAATGGAGCAAAAGATAGCAAAGTTGAGATAGAGAGGTACTTTAAAATGGATTTTTTCTTAATTACAATGTTTTCAAGACAGAAGGATTTTTGACTTCATACCTCCACAAATCTGCCCAAATGATTTGGGACATGTTGCATTACTGCATTCGCAAAAGGCTCCGTATATGTGTTCTCCTGCATTCTGAAACAAATAGTTTGAAATCAAAACATAACTTAATAGTGATATCACTTAATACGCAACAGTGAGTCGAAAAACAAAATTACTTCGCCCCCTGTTCAACAGCAGGAACGAACTATCAACTTGTTCCCACAGACATTCAATGACATTGCTTTGCTAAGAATGAAATATAAATAAATAAATCAAACATGAAGCGCGAACTGGGCGTTGCAACTTAGAACAGTGTTGTTCCTTATACCAAAACGTGTACAGTTATTTAAATAATATATATGAGAGACCAAGTAATATAATATAATAATATATATACATCGAGTAAAGTATGAAAGACCGGTAAAACCAATGAAACATAGAGAAATGAATGCTTAAAAGCTTAAATGCTTAAAAATGTACACGAATTACTACACAGTGTGCTTCGAACTATCTAAATGAAGCTAAGTTGCTGCGTTGAAAGACTTACGGACAACGAGACATAAGTATGAAATAAGTCAGATTTACCAATGAAAACAAAATTCAGGTGTCATTCATAACAAAGAGGTACAAAACTATGACATATCATACACTGCTCGCAGATGTTCAGGTTAAACAAAAGGTAAATGAAAGGAACGCTCAATTACCGGACTCGTAAAACATTGTACACATTCTCCACATTCACAAATGCCTCGATCACTGCAAACCTTTCCGTTTATTCTGCAAAGTATCGAAAGTATTAAATCCAATAATTTCATCAAATTAACTGAGAGCATTTCTTATAATCAAGCATATAGTCCAGGTTACAATATTCATCAAATTAATCTTAGTCTTCCTGGAGCTATCTTTCAGGAAAACTCTCAGGGATTCTCCCTTAAGAGATAAGACATGCTGCCTTTTGTGTCTTTAGGCTTCTAAAGATTTAACTATCAATTATAAAAATGGAATTTTGAATATCAACAGTTTTTTGGCGGTACTAAACCTGAAAATGGCTTTGATAAAAGCAAACATTTTATAACATATTGGCTAAAAGCTTTTATCTGGGTATATATTGTTCATCGTGTTCTTTCGGACCCTTATTCTCACGTTTAATGCTCTGAGGAGTATCAGACGGAAAAGCTTTTAGCCAATATGTTAGTGACAGTGATAGTAGCACTCAAACAGAATAGCATTTCAGAGCTGCAATGGCAAAATTATGTAATATCCAGAATTAGTGCATGTAGTGGGGAAAGAGATCTTCGAAATGCTTAGAATCATTGGTTTTTGAACCTTCGTTTGTGATGTAAGTGGCGATCATAGTTGTAACCACGTTCATGGTTGTTAAAGACACAGTGGAACTTAGAAATAAAGTGGAACTGGCTTTCGCGTGATGATGGTGTTTGGCTGTGGAGTGTTGCAGGGGGAAGTGGTGTTGGTTAAAATCGTGATGACAGAAGTGTTCTAGTTCAGAGGACAGAGCCGGTGTATGTTGTTGCATCGGTACTTGTCATTATTGGTTCTGGTGGTTGCAGTGATGCGGTGCAATTGAATAAAAAACGATAGCTGAGAGTTATTCGGCGCTTGCAGAATGAGGTTAGACTTACTCCATGAGTCACTGTTTCTCTTTTGCCTCATTTTACGGACACCACAAGAGAATGTGCGTCTATCTATTCAATTCAATAGCGTACTCATGGAGAAAGTATGGAATGGTTTTTACATTGATAAACAGGTCGGTAATACAGGAGATCAAAGCGTCACCAAGTGATTCACTTCACAAACCTGCATTGGGTGTCGTCCTCGTTTGTGGTTTGATTACATTGGCAGAAGCGGCCTTTGTATGTCCTGAAAACAAATTGAGACAAACATTTTTAGACTCTGTTCTTTAGATGCAAAAACGATTTTGAAAAGAATCTCTATCATTCATCGAAAAGCTTAATGGTTGATACAATCATTGCCAAAAATACTTGGAACAACCAGCAATTTGCGTTGCATTTTATATCTTACATTCCATTTCCGTTGCCAGTTCTGCCCCCTTCCCCTTATAACAATGTTAATAGTATAAACAAGTATCATGAGCGAAACGCAGGAGGTTCTTCCTAAGGTACTTCCTAATTGCGTAACACGTTTTATGATAAACCAAGATTGTTCCGTGAGGAATGGGGATAGGTGAATTTGACCTTGCAAACTGACGTCAGTTTTCCAAGACTTTAGCAGGCATTGTTTGTTGCTTTTAGAAAGCTTTCAGACGAACCTTTGTTTGAGATTCTAAAACGACAGCAACTGCGGCTTAACTACAAATTGCAAGGCAAAAGTGATCCACAATCAGGGTTAATGCAGTAAAATAATGAGAATTCGGTTTCAATGTTCTTAAACTTACGGTTCGCAGGCACACTGTCCGCACTTTAAAGACCCTTTATTATTGCAAATTGGGCTGTCTTTAACCTACAAAGTGAAAGCATACTATCAACTACTTTCCTTATTTTTTGTTGAAGAGATTTAAACGGATAAAAAGGGAAGTAGGGGGGGGGGGGAGTTGGAAGCTACGATTTCAGTAGGACATCAAAATCCTACATCAAACATATCAAAAAGTGCTTGAATCTTCAAAAGATGTTAAAAAAGATCGGAATCTTCAAGAGATAAAGGAGCGTTAAACAATGCATTTGAAGAGACTTTGCGACTAATTAAAGAAGCAATTGTATGAAAAACACCAATATGTTCTTTTGCAAACTTTCTTTAAAGGAGCTAGTGAGAATGTTTGAAAAAATCCCATCAACGTTAACATAACTGTGAATCCTATCAATTCTTGCAAATAGCAAACATGCTGGAATTTAAAATCATAGACACCCACTGAGAGCAGCCGTCAAGAAACAGGGATAATGAGGGTAAACAGGGATAAAGTGGTCATTGACCGCAGTTATCGTGGGATTTTGACAGATACACTGCGAACATTAAATATGCAATGTGGAAACATCTTAAAATATGCAAATTTAAAAGCCAATTTTTTTGACTGCACGCAAAATACTAACAAAACTTACATCATAAATTGGATCATCACATTCACAATTGCAAACTAACTTGAGATTGACAAACACATCGTCGAAGCTTGTCCTTATCCGAAACCTAAACATGAAAAAAGAAAGCATGACAAGAAAGAACGCTTTATAGCATTTGCACGTCGATGCGTTGCGTTAAATTCAAGCATCCCAGTTCTTGCTGGGAAGAGGAGTCCCAGAAAACCATAGGCGTTAATTCAATTCCACAGAAAACGACTTCTGTTTCTTTTTTTCGAAAAGGTCTTTCTGATTTGGTTTACTTACACGAAAAAAGCATTTTGGTAGGATTATTTTCACAGTCTTAAACTCAGCGATGTCGCAAATGGCAAAGATCTTTTGCTAATGCAATGCATATTGTCTAAAATAATTTTAGTATTCATGAATTTCAGAGTGCCACCCTTCTTGTGGACGCGTGGTGTCATTCAGGGGTCATCCATAACAAAGAGATACCAAACCATGACACATCATACACTGCTCGCAGACCAGACAGTGGTCAATGTAATAACGGAAGGTGCCAATGCATGTGGACAATGATCGGGCCATCTTCCAGATAGATCAAGAAGGGAAAAATAGAGGAAGGGTTATAGCAAGTTATCTGGCAGGTTCTTTGCTATCAATTCTCGCTTCATGGTATTTTATGTTGCATTGAATTTACAATAGAACATTTAGGGGGTCTAAAAAAAGTTGGGGGGGGGGGCTAAAACCGTATAAAAAGAGGCTTTACTGGTAGTTTATTACTTAATATTTGGCCTTTTTGTCAAAAAGTCCACCCCCCTGCTCCCCCTGCTCCGCGGTGCCTGTTATTTCTTGTGACTATGATGCAATCAAGTGCACTTCAAGAGGTGAAGCCTATTATATCTTTCGAGCTTGCAGCAGCTACAGAGCTGTTTTGGTAGACTAATAGCTTCGTCATGACACTGCCAGTTAACAGCATTATTACATTAACCACTTAACAAAAAATTTTTGTAGTCAACAAAATTTGAAGTAGCATAGCATTGAAAAGTTGAAATCTCATATACCGATATATTCGGCAAGCGTTTAAACTATTTATAGCATTTACTAGTTTGATAATAATCTTTCATGCCTGGCTGGATGATGCTAGCTTGATAATTTTATTCGGTTACACGGGTTGGAGACAGATACAAGTTAACTCAGTAACATTTTTCAGCCCTAGAAACAATAGAATTCAAACGAACCCTCGGACTTCTTTTAATTGTTTGCTGCATTCACTTGCCTCCATTGAAACATTGAATTGAACCTGAAAAAAATATTACGTGAATCTATTCAACTGAAAAATGGACGAATGATGGTGTAAAGACCTTGTTTGCGAATGAATTAGGCGTAAAACTAAATAAATTTTAGAGCAAATGATGATGGGGAAATGAATTTCTAAATACAGATGAAAAGGGCAAACAAAAGGTCGTGGGGACTACGAAGAAGTGGATATAAAGATGGCATATCTTGCAAAACACGCAAAAGAAGGGTGGGGGGGGCACCTGGTGTTCAGGAAGTCATCTTAGGGAGAAGATTATAATATTCAAGTAACCCTTCTGGTTATGCCCTTACACCTCCATGTCCTGATTGGTAATAAAGTTGGGAAATCTTCAAAGTGAGTAAATCTACCCAGGGTGACATAAAAAGAAATACATTGCCTGGATGTACACATTGTCAGGTTTCAAATGGAAAGCATCTGTGCTGCAAACACATGAAAGATAATGAAAGATTTCTTGGGCTACTGAACAGTTTGAGGACAGAAGTGCGGTGGATCAACGATCAGCTGTGTAGCCTTAATTGGTTTGGAAATGATGCTAGTAGAAAGATTTATTTGGAAAGAATGGAGAGAAAACAACAAAATAGCAGATTTATAAAAACCAAATATAAAAAAGTAGCGACCATTGCTCAGTTTCGAAATAAATTTGATGTTCATGCTAGGAAGAGAAATTGTGAGATGAGTTTTTAATCAACATTGATGTCTAAAAACAATCTTCGTTGAGATAAATGGAACAAACCTCTTCTCCGAACTCAACTCCTGTACAACCTTCTTTGTTTTCCCAAGGCTTGTTTTCACTAGTTAGACAAAACAAAGTAATCCATAACTAACGTTGTTTTCAAAGTATTAAATGAAGTACCGTAACCTCGAGAAGGCCTGAATTTGCTTTCCAGACACATTCTTTTGTAGAGAATAGCATAATTAGAGAACTTTGAGTCATGTACACACGGGGAGAACACGCCTTCAATGACGCATTACTTGAATCAGCTGATCAAAAAGGGGATGTCTATGGCATTCCGTATTTCAGCCAATCTGATGCCTATTTCTAAAAGAGACATATTGACTGAGAGGCAAACTCAAGAGGATTAATCTAAACGTTTTCTGAACTTTCTGGGCCTACGTGGTGAAAAAATATACCCGATCAAAGGGAACACCCACTGAGGACCTATGAAGATTATAAGTTTTAAAAGGAACTATTAATTATGAGCTGTTTTTTATGGTCATATTTACATCAATAAAAAATGCATGTTCCAAACACGAGGTGTCATTACTACTTACCCGCATTTTGCCTTCAGCTTAACGTTAATCCCATTGACTTTCTGTGTACTAACCTTCACCGTCCTAGAGATTTTCTAAAAATGGAAAAAAATTACAAGTACATAAGAACAAATAAACGTTTACAACTTGATTTTACATGAAATCAGCATAACTTTAACATAACAGATGCAGCGATTCTTAAAGCCAATACCTCGTATGCTTCTCTGACTAGTGGCACAATGTTTGCCGAATTGCTGGCAAGTCTGGCCGCGACTGCTCCGGATGCTTTGCCAAAGAAATCTTGTACTCTCTAAAATTTTAAATTTTTTTACAAGTTCATGATTATTTGCTCATAATACAGGCAGATTCGACCAAAAAACTACAATGCATGAATAACTGATTAGTTTTGAAAATAGAAAATCGACTAAAAGCCTGCATAGTTTTCAGGATATCATAGAAAGTATAAAACTCATCATTTAACGTATTGAGAATAATCTTTACACCTTAACAGATTTAATATTACAAATTAAGTCAAATCTGTTTAGTTATTTTGGCAATTAGAAGAAAATGTAACAAAATATTTTTGCAACCTTGTCTAGCAGTTTGTGACTTTTTCAAATATAGAAAATGAAAATTTAAGAGTAAGATACCATAAATAACTCGAGGTTTCCAGTTGTTGCAAAAATAGGAACAATTTCTGCCTCCAGCATCTGCTCACGAAGAAAGGACAGAGAAGGGTAATCCATGGTAGATGAGGCAATGTAATCGCCTTTAGACATATGGCATTTTCCATCATTTGGCATAGCAACACCCCCAAGCTGAAACGAATATAAATCTTTTTTAGCAACCCGTAGGCAAGATTGCCTTTTTAATGTTTCCCATCGGTTGGAATTTAAACCAAAATCTTTCTAGTATGCAGCCACAGTTAATATTATTATCTGGTCAGCGTGATTTTTCATAAATAATGTAACAGTTAATTCCGTTCATTTATTTAGTTGTGCAAAGCAGCATGGCTGATTGGCAGGGAAACACAAAAAGTAAATATTGAACAATAGTTAAAAAATATCTAAGTTTTTCCACTGCTTTTTGTTGAATAATCAAAATCTTTATGGCTAAAAAACGGAAAATGCCACGATTAAATTCTTCTGAAAATTGCTTTGTTGGGAAGACGCTATAACTCTATCCGATTGTCTGAACCAACAAGAAAGTGCATCAGATGCATACGCGCATTAGGGCGACGGAATGCAGATCTCATGGTTCCATAGTTGCATCATATAAACCAGAGTTTTCTCCGTCTTTGATACGAGACTGGCTTCTTTCCATGAGAGCCACTAATGTTCCTACCAAACAGTACATTGCATTTAATGACAAAAAGTCATCAATTTTAACGGCGCATGTGCATATGATACGAAATTTGAAAGCCAACGGATCATCGAACAAATGCCGGTTCGTCTCCCCAACAATATTTTTTCCAGGTGTTAGGTAGCTTTTGCCTTATTATACTAGCACGCGCAACTCGCCACCAACAACATTGTGCTTTCCCGTATATGAGTTTTTTCTTATTTGATGCTTCCTCTTCAGTAAATATGATTTTAAACATATATTGACACAAATGAAACAGATCATGAAATCATGGATAATGATAATCATGCCATAAGCAGTTCTCATTACGCAAATGAGTAAGCTGGCCATAGGCTCCGACGCAAGGTGGAGAGTTGGGGGGAGGGGGCAAGTGCAAATTTAAGTCTCATGACTCTTTTGTTTTGCAAAAAAGTGGGGGCATAGCAACATTGGGGCCCTGCTGACTGACATCACATGAATTACAGACATGACAAGGACAGTTCTTATTACCCATGTCACGTTATAGAAAGTTCAACAAACGATCAAGCTGACTCAGCTGATACCGAACAACGTATGTTATTATACTTGAGAATAAAATTTTGTTTAAATTATCAAAGAATATGGAATTTCCATGTTACATTCATTTAGTTTTTAAAATTTTGTTGCTATCTGCTTCCAACTTTCAACTCATACCACTCTAGTGTCTTGGGGGGTTAGCAGTTTGATAATACTGTTGGGCAAATTATGTTTTGCAAAAAAAGTCCATGCTCTGTGTTGTTTAAAACAATTTCTAGACAAGTTTCTTTAAAGTTCTTTCAATTGTCTTTATGAATAAAGTTTCGTTTATGTGTCAGATGGATTCAATAAGTGTTTTGGACTTAGACACAGCATGAGCCATTAAGATGTATACCCAGAATTGGTGTTCCTACTGCTCAGGTCAGCATCGACAAATCACTATTGAATGATGTTGCAGGTGTTGTTGATCGTTGCTATGTGAAATGTTGAATTCGCTTGGCGAACTTAGCAACACTAGGCTCTATCACAGAAAAAAAATACTTATTTTCTGAAATACATAAGCGAAGCCAGTTGAGCTTTCATTATTTCAATAAACAACTGCTAAATGTGGATATTTAGAGGAATATCAACATATTGTCCCATGTGATGCTTACCCCGTCTGTTTATAGAGTACAGTAAACATAACAATGTAATTGTAAATAGGAATAACATAAATGGTGAAGAAAAAAATAGTTCAAACAACCTACCAATCCATCACCGGCATAGTGAAAGCTGCCATCCGTGGTTACAATAACAATTCTTCTCGCCTTTTTCTTATCTCTCCATCCTATTTCCTGAAACGATGTTTTTTGATATTGGTTCTTTTGCAACTAAGTAACAAGCACATAGATGATCTGAAATAATCTGAAAATATTTCTAATTGGCAAAATCCAAATAAATTCCTTTTGTCTTACCACCAGTGTATAAATACATAAATGCCCATTAGAAAACACCTAAAAGCAATGGAAATTCCTAAAAGCAATGGAAATTCCTATACACACCTACATGGTATAGAGCACTTTATGACAGAACGGTAAAACAGTAATTTTCGGTGAATCCTAAAATGTGTTCCAGTCAGATATCTAAACGTTCCAGGGATTTATCGCCCCAAGCAGAACAACATTCTAAGTCTTACAAGGCTAAAGGGTTTCTGACAGGGGCGGCTGGGAGTAAATTTTTTTTGGTATTACTTTTTCGAATGTATGGAAGATGCATGAAAAGGAAAATTAACAATTTCTTTATGAAGGAATTTTGAACCTCCTCAGCTGGAGGGGTATAGGGGTTTTACAACACTCCCCCCCCCCAAATTTGGCCCAGCCATACGTTGGGGAAATATGCATATCTTCAATTGACTCTAAACAACAAACAAAAAGTCACTAAAAGACATAAATTGGTCGGGTATACACGTTTTTGTAAGCAACTAAGAATCTGAGCGAATGCTGAAAGTTTAAGTTAATTGGCAATTTTAGTGCTGTATCTCCTAGAAAATAAATGCAGATACTTCCTTGCTCGCATATCAAAAACAAATCTATTGAGAGCCTGATTTCCTGTTGGTCTTTTTAAGGTTACGGTAAACGTTTGCTGGATGAAAACATCATTTTTTCGATTTTTTCACATTCAAGTAGCCGAACTTTCAAGGCACACAATGACACCCAATTTGAAACAGACAGAAATTTTGAAAGTGGAAAAAATCCCATGTAAACGAAGGTTTCCATAATTTCTTTATCAAAACTTTTAGTTGAGGCCTGAAAATCTCTTGACCTTTTAAGCCGATTATCGTTGCTTTGCGGTTGTAGTCGCATGTCTCATTTACAATATCGCATGGCACATCCATATACCCAATGTACGGCCGTGTTCATTTAAACAGGCTTATTGATCTTAAATCTTCAAGTGACTTGACCCGGATTACACTGTGGTTTACGAGTGTATCTTGCAAGTGCGATCAGTAAAATCCCGTTTTCTCCGGACTTGAAATTCCTCGACATGCAGGTACGAAAAAGCTATTATGTACCCAAGGAACCAATCGAATGGCTCGAAAATTTGCACACGGCCAGGGCAGACGTTGGGTAAACAAAGTGTGTCTCAAAATTTTTTTATTTTCTCTGGTCCGTCTTTTATACCCAAATACAGCTGCGGGAGGGTGGAACAATTATTTGCCAATTTTTGACAGGGTATAGTTTCAAGAAGAGGAGGAATTTAAAAAATCTGAGACACACTTTGGTAGCTTAGGACCAGCACTTCCTGCTGGTCTAAGTCAGATTTTGTTACCTCAAACGCAAGGGTACATAATAGCTTTTGAAGGTGGTACACTTTTTGACCAGTAAATTCGCATGGAAAATAACATTTAACATTATTTGCCAATACTTTTTATCTGGCTAGATACGCCATAATCTTGTGCATCGAATGATATATAGTTTATCTAGATTCCTTGAGCCGTTTGGCCTTTAGGAAGAAAAAACCAATTTTCGTGTTCAAAACGTTTACCGTAACCTTAAACAAACTGGAGGGCTGTAACATTTGTCAGAAGGGCTTGCGAGCGGTGATTAGTCGTGAAAAATATTTGGCGGCCACTTCCTCTGAGCCACCATGTGGGCCCGTTATTAGAAGCGCGATTGTAATAACGGAAACCACTGCGTGAAAGCCCTCTGAATACATTCAACGTTCAGTTCAGTTCATCATTCATTTCAAATGCCTTTACATAAGCAACTTGCAACATTTTGAATAGCTACAGTTTACAAATGTACAAAATAATTTTGAAAGGATGAAGGCTAAAAATTTATTATAGAAAAATACATGACGAGATATATCTGGCACGGCCTTTCAGTTTGAGACGTTGCTAGTGAGTTAATTCCACCCGTTTCAAAACAATTAGAGATACAAAATAAATTAATAACACTTTGAACACCCAGACCATGGTCATTCACTTGATCTTTCACAACACGATTCATTTTGAAACAGCTAACTTACAAGCAAAATCATAAAACAGCACTGGCAAAAGGTAAATGGCCGCGTTATTAGAATCCCAGAAGTAATAACGGGGCTGCTAGGCTCCTTTATTTCAAGGACCAAGAACAATTGAATTTTACGTCATCGGTGAGTCCCGTGACAAAGACTTTGCTGTTTCCGTTATTAGAAACGCGAAAGTAATAATGAGACCGGGAGCCTCGAACTAGCTTTGAACCATTTGAAATACCATTGAAAAACATAATAGGCTTCCTGTGGTTAAGGATTAGCAGGTAATTATCATCCCCTTCAGATGAATAGAGGACAGATACCATATTATTTCTACGTCATTGGTTGTGTCTAGCAGACGAATGCATCAAACTGATAAAGACTTTGGAAAAAGTGTTATTACAGTAATAGCGGTAATAACACTGCCCGCCGCCCCTGGTTTCTGATTGTAGATTTCGGTTTGTGTTAAATTATTGGGGGCAGATAGAAGCATTGCAAAGAGTCTATGAAAAGAGGTAAACGGCAAAATACGACGAGTCATAGAGCTTTGCATGCGAAGCATAAAGGTAGAAAAATGCTTGTTAACCGTCTTTGTCGAGCAAGGGGAAAGAAGGGAAACCAAAATGTTTGCCAATAGTAGAACTCTCGATCTCACTAAATCTTTGCAAACTTGATTTTGTTGTAGTTAAGTAGGAACAACGTGATTCATTCGAAAAAATAATAGATGTAAAATTCATTACCCTCAGTTGTGAATGGGTGGTACCTTTCAAATAAGACACTTACAAACACCAGTGATATTCATGACTACCATTAAGTCTCAACGTTATCAAGATTAAGCCCACCATCTATAATGGAATAAGCCCGACGGCAGCTGGATAAGATTGATCTTATGCAAGAAAAAGCATGTGTCCAAGCAAATTCAACTTAGGCAAAAATATTCAACTTACACAAGCAAATCCAAGCAAAAACAATTTATTATCAATTATGAAAAAGAAGCACCGTACTCAAAACAACCGGGTTGCGATACTAGTATCAAACAAAACATAATTTGACATTGGTGACGTCGAAATCTAGAGTGCACGAAGAAATCCACATAAAGGCTAGTTTGGGAGCCCGGCCAGTGCAAGATCTGGAGTTAAGATCTCGTCACATTTCATGGACCAAACCATCAACATTCTTCAGCTGTTGAAGTTCGTTATTCAACCTCGCGCATCCTTTCCACAACAAACACACTTAAAACACATACATATCACGTAAAATTATATCACGTGGAAACATAACTAAATGCCGACCCATTTACATATAAATTGCTATAATGTATTGTTATTATGCAGAACGACCATCTATAAAAGACGCCTAAAATCTCATCTTTTAATCAATAAGAAAACAATTGAAAAGCTACTTCTGTATAAAAGGTTGTATGCAAAAGTGAAAAGTGCGCAAACAATGCGAGAATTTGTTACCTTATCGCAGGCAACGACTTGCATCAATGCATCAAGCGACCCTTCCGGTGCATCAACGTTATATGAAATTTTTGTCTTCTTAACAACATCCTACGAAGGCAAACGTTTAGCTGTTGAATACGTGAAAGCTTACAAGCGATAGAAAGTCAAGAATACCCGAAGAAGGGTACTGCTTCAATACTTTGTCGTCGAAGAAAGTATCAAATCAAATTTTATTAAAAGCGGAATTATTATTGACGCTGCGTACAAGAATCACAAACAAACAGAATAACACAAAGAAAACAAGTTTATGTTACCCTGAATTTGCTTGTATTCAAATCCAATGGAAGATAATTACGAAAGCCAAATGTTTGCTGTAAACCTTGAAGTTCCCTTGACTTTATTCTACAGAAACAAAGATTTAATCAGGCGACCTGAAATGTTTTTACAAAGAAGATTTGTGTAACACTGCCAAAGTATCATTCTACACTATTGCTGAACATTTTCTTGAGATCTAAAAAAAAGTTGTGTAAATATTAAGTGCTAATGCTATTCCTATAACGAATTTATTATAATTGGACGAATTAACACGAAACATTCAATGGATTGCAAAATAATAAAGTTGATACGATTAGTACCCTTAAAAAAGGAACGATGAAAAACTGAACATATCCATACTGAGTTTATATCAGGGGGGATAAATTTAAGGGAGAGCCTCAAGAAACTTTTTTTATACTTTTTCTATAATAACTCCTCGTAAAGAATAACGTATACTTAGGAAGGTCTCTTTTTAAAGATGTAAATACGAATTGCTGGATTAAAGGTTGTTACATTAAACTCTCAACTAAAAGATGAAATTTGACAATGAACAACGTTCATGTCAACCAGCAACAGGAATGACTCGCGACAACAGATGGATCAAGGGATAATTCCCTTCAAAACAGAGATCATATGACGTGCACGCTAAAATAAAGTGCATAATCAAAAAAGGCAGTCTGTATAAAAGAACAACGGTGATGAACATAATCCAAGGGAAGCGCACACAATACGATGCTGAAATAGTAAACATGCTGTATATTACATTTTCAACTTCTTTTTTAAACTGTCTATAAAAATTCGAATAAAACATATCAACTAATTTTCAATTGTCTATAAACATTCGTGAAGAAAATCTAAAATTCTTTATAAACAAGACAAAGAAACCCTAGGTAGCATTTGTCAAGCTGGCATTTATTCAGAAATGGGAAAAAAGTATATCTTAATTGTATATCAAATTAGACTTTGTAGAAATTTATAAAAACTGATAGACTTACTCTTTCTCGAGTGTCAAAGTAAACGGACCAAGGTTTTTGTCAACAAAGCCGCCAAAACCAAGACGAAAATTGGAAGTGACATTTCGTAGTTGAATGCCTACAATTAAAAGCAGTTTTCGGATAACTACGATTCAAAGCTATTTTATTTCAAATTTGATGGTGAACATTTTCTACGATAAAGTGCAACAAACATTACCGGGTGTCTTTTTAGAGGGCTTTTTCAGAACAATCGACAGAAAGTTCGACCTAAAATTGCATTTTTTTAAACCTTATGGAAATAACATCTCCTTGAAACGGGCAGAAAGTAACTTTGGCCTAACATGTGCACGTTGATGGAAATTCTACTGCAGTGATTTTCAAGGCACAAGCTAATATCTGAAACATTTCAAGCTAATATTTTCAAGTCAAATTAGAATTCCATCATAAGTTTAGTTTTGAAAAGCGAAAAGATAAAACACTGAAGTTCCTTTCGCTCGACACTCTTCAGAGTATAAACGTTGGGTAATGACCAAAAGTACGCTGAAAATTCATATCCAAGTGGGTATCGAAAGTAACATGAGAGGAAGAAAGACAGGTTTGATTTCCGCTATTTCGTGCCATCTTCAAATAAATATATGTAATCTTGTAAGATAGCTTGTCTAGTAGAATACTTACTTAAAAGATCACCCAAGTTTGTGATTTGGCTCAAATCATCTTTCATGGTATACGTCAGGTCCATTAAGTAATAGAGATCGACTGGGAAATCGGCTGGGGTCTTAACCCGGACGTTGACTGTGGCTGGCCTGCCTGCGTAAGAAAATAAATGGCTTCAGACTAATATGCTCAATAATCATCGCCAGTTTCTATATCCAATCAACAATTTCAGGGATGATAAAACGAAGATAGTTATATAACAGACCTGTTGTAAACAAAAAAAACCCCTTTTAACTAATAGGTGCAGCAGAATATCCCAATTTTTTAGTAATAGCATCTATGAGTGGAATTTTAGGTCAATGTTTCCGTGTACCGCAAAAATGCACACTAGTTTTATTTATAAAAAATATCAGAAATCAAAAGTACATGAAACAACAGCTACTAGAATAGAGATATTCACAAAATAGGCTTTATAAAGTTCTATATGTTTGCCCTTGGTTTGCAGCAATATGATTGAAGTTCGGAAAAGCTAATCGGTCCTCTCTTTCGATAAGACCATATTTCGCTACACGCTGCTCGAATGCTTGGAATCCCTAAAAGCTGGTAAATCTACTTACTCTCAAGGCAATGTTTATGGGTATCAGGGCCCATTGTAAAAGAATGGCGACCTCAAAAAACTTCTCGTTGTTGATAGAACTACAAAAAGCTGGTAACTTTTCTCACTCTTAGGCCAGGGTTTCAGGGAGCATGGCCCTTGGAAATAACTTCTAACAACTACGCGCGTCGCTTAAAGCCACCTGTAAGGTCTTTGTTGAAGAGATTGGCTAAATTATGAGATTGCGAGAGAACACTTTTTAGACTTATTGGATTAAAATATTGGTAAAAAACACCATGATACGCCACGAAATTTTTAAATTCAATTAAATATGTTACAAATTGGTTGAGATCTGGCCACATCAGCACAGACTCTTAAACCCTCGATTCAATCAATTCTGTCTTGGCTCTTAACATTTCAAACTGGCTAAAACAACAGTAATTAATTAGCAGAAATTTATCTTCTACTGGCCGTTACGCGGACAGGAAAAAGAAGATTCACAAGTACCGTGTCGCATGAAACTTCAGTCACTGGAGATAATCAGTAATTATTAAAAAGTGATTCATTGTTATGTAGCAAAGTTTCCCGACATAAGAAACCAAGTTTTGGATAAAGCAGGGATTGGACCACAGTTACTGAGCTCAGCTGTCGCATGCCCTTCTAAGCTTTCATAACACCTACGCATAAAGCTCTGGTCAGATTGCCAAGTAGCTAACTGATCCTTTAATCAACCAAACAGAAAACATTGCAACACTAAGCTATTCTGCGATGTTACGTAGAAACAAAGCAAGTAGCCAAAAATTGCTAACTAAACTTCGTAAAACTAATCGCAAACCTGGTCTTAGGTACAGCGTGATATTCTGAGGGAACACTCTGTTTTCACCGCCAAGACCAACATTTCCCTGTAAGAAAGAAGATCATGGTTGCCAAAGATCGTCGCAATTTCCCAATAAAATCGGGTTACAATCAAGATTAAGCTTGAAAGGAATCACTAAATAGCAGCAGGGCACTCGGAATTATTTCGCTGCAGCAGTTACAGAAGATAGCATTGCTAATCCAATAAATAAACAGTTCTTTAAGAAACAACCTCAGAAATTCTTTTTGAAGTTTCAAACCCGGCTAAATAGAACAGTTTTTTGTCCTGCCGAGAGCAGAAAGCAAGACCATACTGTCGACGGGGGCAGGGTTTGTGTGTCCTTTTCTAACAAGCTTTTTAAGATTTCTGATTTTTTTACAAGTATACTAAAAACTTTTGTAACCATTTGTCACTTTTTATCTTATTTACACCTAAAAAAGTATGAAACTTACTCAATACCAAGCCTTCTTCTGTGGAAAAAATTAATTCTCAAGAAGGTTATGTTTTTCTATACGGAGCTACCACAAAATATCCTGGCAAGAATTTAGGGGGAAAAGACCATAGAGAATGTTTTTGGAACCATAGCAAATACTGTATCACTCTGCATAATGAAAATACCAACTAAATGAAAGGACCATAACAATCGATCATAAGTTATGATAATGAATTAATCGATCATAAATTATAGGGCTAACGAAAAAGCCCCTAGCCAAATCATTAAATCAATGTCCTTTACGCTGATTTGCCCTTCTAAATCTTACATATTGTCACTACAGCAATCATGAAAATCTAAATCATCTTTCCCCTTTATTAATTCACCAATAATATTTTTAAGCAAAAAAGGTCATGATAACATTTTTAAAGATAATTATCAAAACATAGATAAATGAAAAGACGAAAATATTGGTTAAGGTATGAAGGTCGTGTGACTAGCGCAACAGGAACAGCTGCCGCAATTTGCAACCGACACAATGGCAACGACCATTAGCAGCAACAGGATAGGTCACGCACAACCAAACCATCATAATAATCATCATCAACATCACCATCGCCCACCTATACTCGTAATTCATCCACTCATGTGTAAATCGAGCACAGCAAACAGTTTTTACAATATATTTCGCCGAATATTTGCGCAATGTGTTGTCAAATAGACGTATTTTTTAATGATTAACTGTAATAACAGATGCCGGTATATTGGATTGAAAAAACTTAATCCACATGGTTGATTTTTCAGAAGTCTTCAGACGAAGAACTTGGCTTTATTGTTTATGTTGTCTACATATATACATAGAGATATAATCGCAAAAAATTTTTGGTGGTACAAAATTCAACAATTGGTTTAAAAAAAGCAAACATTATAAGACATACTAAAGCTTCTTGCCTCACAATCTTACAAAACATCAACGAAACAAAACAAAAACGAATACAAAACATCAGACAAAACAACAGATTCTAAAATTGCTAGATGGAGCGACGTGGATACCTCAAAATGCCAAAAAGTGAAAACAAGTTTTTTAAGAAGAAATTAACTTCAATCATTTGGTACCTATATATTTAAAATTACCAAGTCATTTAGCTAAATAATCTATTACTCAAAAACATGAGGAAGAAAAAGAATAAATACACAGAAAGACATACCTTATTCAATGTGTAATTTGATGTCGGATCAGATATACTTTTGCATCCCCGCTGTTTGTGATTTTCCAAAAAATCGCATCGTGGAAAGTACGACCTGTCGCCTTTTCTGTATATCTGCAGAACGTTCAACAGGCAATTTACAAGTTAAAAATTGAATTCGCCAAGAAATTTCAATCAAATTTCTTCAAATTGAATCGTCAAAAATCTTGATAAGCAAGAAGTAGCTTTCAAGGTCAAGTATTGCTAACTGGAAATTTCAACACTTACCAGCGACGGCATTTAATAAAAGCATTGATGTAACTAGACAAAATCGCCTATCGACTTTAGATTTGGTCTGTGATGCAGGCTAAGAAATAACACCCTACAAAATATTTCTGGCCACGATTTACCGAGCGGCTCAAAATAGACTTTTATAAAGAAACTAAAGTTTGTAAGACCCTTTCGTGCAGCTTAGAAGCCATTCATTTTCAGGCTCTTGATTAACTTCCAAATGTTTCTTTTAAAAATTCAACCGGCATACGTACGGGGTCACGTAACTGACCATTTTGCGAAATCCTTGCGATAAAAAGATAAATGTAAAGATAATGATGATGATGATGATGACGATAATACATTTGAACATTCACTTTATACGTTAAAACAAAGCGGTGCATAACAACACATTGTAACACAATTGATTCTCAAACATACTAATGCACAATTACGAACCCAAAAACGTCAAGTATTATAAACCCCAAAATAAAACAACTCTAACTAGCATAGCCGATGCTTAGAAAGGGCGACTTTGCCTCAACAATTCTAGGATTGAAACTTGGCAAATATACTGAAATCAGAAATCATGAACAAGCTTTTTCTTATTCAAATGGTAAATTTCGTGACTCGTGTCTAATTGAAACCACCTTTTTATCGCGAGAATTTCGTAAAACTTTTATGTTCCGAAATAACTTTGCAGATATCCAGTAGAGTTTCGGTCAGGGCACGTCCTCCCTAATTCTCAACAGGATCGATTTGCTACTTCGTCTTTAAATTTGATGAGAATATGTTGGGGGGGGGGGCTAATATTTTAGCAAGTATTTTTCGTGATCTGTTGCTATGACCTTGAAAGTGCTTTTTCGTAACCAAAAATTAGTCAGGGACATTCCCTTTGTGTAAAACTGGGGTTCCTTGTTGGTAAAAGGATTATTCCTGGCAGTAAAGAGACGTGGCATGAAATTTTTGAAAAACTATTGAAAATTCTAAGCTAGGAAATATATTCACCCAGTTACAAATGCAATCAGAAAACTGTTAAGGGTGAAATATTATGAACAGACCTGTGTAAGATTTTTGTGGTACAAATGCAACCTATCCATATCAAACAAACACAGGCAAAGTGTTTTTTATTGTAAATGAAACCAATTCCATGAAAATTTAAATGCAATCAACTTAAAGAGTCTTAAAGAAACAACCGAGGATCATCTCAATTTCTAGTTTACTTTGCTTCTATGATTTGGTGTAGTGTGGCTAATTAACTCTGGTTGAACAAAGAAAGATTTTTCAAAGTTTAAACAAAACTAGAGAAGGATGACAGTGATATTTCAGCTGCCGCACTTCGCATAAAGGAGAAGAAATGCATAGAAAGAAATAGCGATTTAAACGTACTTCGTCCTTACACCAGGCACATCTTGGCCCTTTCTGGATGCACTTTTGGCAAGAGGTTTGCTGTGTACAATCAAAAACTGATTCTTGACCTAAAAATATGGTAAACTGTTACTAAATAATATAAAATATAACAATTTATAAATGTTTTCATACACTGATAAATTAAGGCTTTGGTGTATAGAACAGGAAATTTCTAAGTTGCAACTCTCAGTTTTAAATGATAAATGATTATCAGGCAAATTTTGATCATCATCAGACAGTCGCCTGATGATCAATCACATTTAAGCTGCACCTATTGGTTAACCAGGTTTTTTTTGTTTACAAAAGGTCTGTTATATAACTATCTTTGTTTTATCATCCCTGAAATTGTTAACTGGATATAGAAACTGGTGATAATTGTTAAACATATTAGTCTGAAGCCATTTATATTCTTACGCAGGCAGGCCAGCCACAGTCAACGTACAGCTTTCCTATTCTATACATCAAAGAGTGTACAGCTCTGTATAAACAGCATGGCAAACTTTATGACAGACTAGCAAAACAGCAACTTTCACTATTGATAAACTTATGCCCATAATGCAGAAAAAATGTTGCATGTCATCTCTTCAAAAAAACAATGTTACAATGAATTCAGGTTCAAGCTAAGAATTTGGTGAAAATCAAAACTCTTTTCTTTAAAGAAATATATGTGCAAAGGAACTTAAACCAGTACATAATATCCCCATTCAAGTTTATCCCAAAAGTGTCCATCGAAGACCAACAAACCATATGCAAAATAAATAGAAAATAAAGACTTCTGAAAGAGGAAAAAGATTTTACTGGAAACAGAAGATCAAAATTATAAAATACTTGCCATGTATGCAACTGAATAAAAGCACAGATCCCAGGATTAAAATTGATAAATGTAGAACTTGAAATGCCATTTCTGTTCCTACAAAGACAAAATCAAAATAAAATTAAATATATAACTTTTTATCTAAGAGGCGAGTAAGGCTGCCAGGCTAAGACTTGGACAAGACAAAAGCAGCTTTCAATACACTGAATTTCATTTTTAGTAATGTAAATAAAACTTTTTAAGAATTATTTACAAATCATTTGCTTCAAAGTCAAGAAATTCAATGCTAGGTGTGCTTTCTGGTTATATTTTTTGATTCAAAGCTTTCACGAATCAGATTGAATGGTACAGTGAGGGGCACATAGGCTTTTTCAATCTTAGTACAAGTCTTGAAAATGGCTAAACCAAAGCTTTTCGTCTGACACTCTTTAGAGTTTGAAAGGCCAGAACATAGACCGAAAACTCTATGCTAGGAAATATATAACTGGGTATATATATTTCCTAGCGTAGAGTTTTCTTTTTGTTCTTATGCAAATCCTTTAAACATGTGAGTTTTCCGTGTTTATATCTTGACAAGTTATGGTTTTGGGGGGTATGTATGATTGTGTCTTTGTGTGCTATAGTTGGTTATAATTTAGCATTGAACAAATCGGATCATTATTTAGTTTGCAAGTCTGTCAGTTTTTAGCCTTTAGGCCTGTCCTGTGCAGTGTTGAAAGAGTCTACACATGCTACACCTAACTCTGCATCTTTATACTAGTTACACATTTTACTTACATCTTTTTGGTAGCTCTACTAATAAAATAAAAATGTGAATATAATTTCAGAGAGCAAAGACTGTTGCATAGGAAGGCAACAAACTGTTCATGGTAGTTTCAATTGCAGCAGCAAATTTCTGTTTGAAACTAAAAATGCTTCTCTAATTGACAAAATACTCTTGAAATGCCTTTTTTGGAATTATGCCACAAAATTGAATAGGATCACCATATAGTCCAGAGGGTCAAGGGACTTTACCAGACCAACATTTTATAAACCAGCTTTTGGTGTAGAATTTAAATCTGGATGTTGATCAGGCAGGAAAGGGGCCTTTTCCGAAAAAGCATACAGGTAAAGTCAAACATTTCGCCCCTTCCCGAATTCAATATTCTAATATCATTGATATCAACATTGAACAGGGGGCGAGTGATGAAAAACCTCAACAATATATAGATACGTCTGCACAGGTTTGTAGCCTGCACCAAGGTTCATGGACAGCTGAATAAAGACTGGTCATGGCAATTGACGATTGGACAATAATTCGTGGTTGATTTATTTATCTTAAAAATATTCATAAATTCTAACTAATGCTTAAACTTATTTATCTTGACAATATTCATAAATTCTAAAATTCTTTTTGTCTGCTGAATCTGACAAAATACAGACTTCTTGTGCCTATAAACCACGTAATTTACTTCTGGGCTTCTGTTGAAATATGAACTTGGCCAAAAATATTCTTTCAACTACCACAAAATCACTTTTTCCCTAATACAACCACATATTAACTCTTTCTTACCACTTTTTCATTACCATAACATCGAACTAACTTCTAAATTGTTGACAACCATTAAATATAAATTGACGACTTGGCCTTCACTTTAGTATCAATAACATAGAAACATATCTATTGCAGTCGGGGCTGGCAACAGATGTGAGGAAAAAGTGAAAAGTACTACTAAAGTTGTGTAAATATAGACGAAAGCAATTTAGGCCAGAAAGGAAGCGGTAGAGTATTTTGGTCTCGCTAAATATCTCACGACAAGCCTCAGATGACTAGCGGCGAAGTTGTGGCAGGATAAGGCAAATCTTAGTTTGGTTACAGAGTAATTTGTTTTTCCTGAAATCTGATTTTAACCACAGCATAGGAAGACGAGATTTGCTTTTAAAACAATTTCAAGATTTTTCAATCTACGTAAGTATATTAAACGTAAAAAAAGAGAAAGAAAAAGCAAACTCTATTTTTGTTTTCTTCAAGAGCCGATTGCATAGAAAGAAAATGATTTCAGCAGTTAAATGCTCACAGTCAGTACATATTAAGTAAATACAGAAATGCATCAAGGTTAGGCCATATGAGAAAATAAAGCTGTGCACTTACCTCCAGGGCACAGAAGCTGACACTAGAAATAAAAATTACTTACCAATAAAAGCTAATTGCTATTACAAAGTAGCTCCCCTTGTCACCTTACTCGTGTTATATACATTTAAAGAGACAAAAGGGTAAACCAGTAAAACAGCTATCTAGCAGACACAAACATAACATACACGCCCGTTCAAGCAAGGCCCTGTTGATTCCACATGAGCCTTGACGCTCACCCCTGCCCATCACCCGCGACGACGCCAACCTCCGACCGTCGGGTCTCTCGGGGCAATTTCTAATCGATATAGTCAAGTTTTGTTCTAAACATGTGTGAACCGGCGGCCTTTCGGTATATAAACAGCGCCAAATGTTGAATCATTGATGAGAAAAAAAAGAAAAATAGATATAGTAAGTGAATCGATTGAATTTCAGACTCTATGGTCTCACTCCGAATTGGGGCATTTTCTTTTGTCGCTCCCAATAGCCGCCACTGTGTCGAAGTCACACGAAGTGTCAGAAAAAAACTATCGTAGACCCAACCAAATTGATAAGTTTTATAAAGCTTTTTGAAGGTAGGCTATTTTCGTAAATATTAATAATTCTTTTTATTTGAACTTGAAAATTAGTTTATCATGAAAAATATTCCAAGGTAAAGAGGACGCTTTCAGGGCCTTTCAGGTGTTTATAAAAACGCGGTCAAAGGCTACGGCTATGGGCAAAAGTTCCATCTCCGAAGGAAAATGGGAAGGGCGAGTATGTTCTAGCCAATCAGCGCGAGAGCGGGAAAATTGTACCTGAGTCATATCCTACAGTCATCTATAAAAGTTTTGGTAATCGAAGGGTAGCAAATGATTGCGAAAAATGATTCGAAATTTTTGGTGGTACAGAAATTTAAAATAGAGCAAATATTTTGAAAAGTACATATGTCGCATAAGCAGTTGGCTAAAAAATCAAAAGTGTTTGGAGTGGAATTCCATTGTTTTGTGACTTTTCAGTTCTTCTTAATAAATTTTTACTGCTGTAAAAATTCACCCTCAATTCCATGCTTTGTGCTAAACAAATAAGATAATTGTATTGCATTAGCCAATCATGTTCACGACACATGCCCTTTAGACATCAGAATATTAATCGAAAACTCTAAGCTAAGAAAAATAAAGAAAAATTTGGACTAATGGACACCGTAAAAATCAACAGATACTGTGAACATCGCTGCAAACAACAAAACTCTGAACGAAAACGTAGTTCAGCAAGGTCGATACCTCAGAGAACGAACAAACAAAATTATTTTCAGGATTTACTGATTTCAACCATGGAGTGATTTGCTCCTCAGATTTTGTCAGATAAAAGTCGAATCTTCAAGGGCCAAATTTGGTTTTAGAAATTGGTCAATATTGGTCATAAATTATTTCTTTATTTGATATTGAAGACCGGGACAGTGTCAATTTTGTGTCTATCACCAGACCAGAAAATATTGTCCTAGATTTGAAAATTTTTATGGTTATGTTGCATAAGGTAATGAATGAGATCTTATTACGCTAAAAAGAATTCAATTTCCGGCAAATTTGAATCATTAGATTATAAAAACGTTTTCTCTTCGGCGGCAACCATGGTGCCGCCTTAGGAAGTAGAATTATTCTACCCTGTGATAGCATGGGTTGCTGGCTGGGGAGACAACGGCTTTGACCGAGGTTTCTGGAACTTCACAGGCAATGATACCGCAAATCAACTACGAATCAAAATACCAGCATATCGAGTCCTTGGTTATTCGCTAGAAAAATAAAGCCTTGGATAAAGCTCACAGTCCATTCGAACGGTTGCATACAGTGACAAGAAAATGAATTCTACCACAATAAAATTCTATCAACAGTTGAAGGAGAAGTCATGTCTTTTTTATTCAAACTCACTCATTTAAGGGCCGATGGTGCTTTAATTGTTTTCCAAGAGCTACTCTGATCATGCAATGAGAGTGAATCGTGTTAACCCATATTTTAACTTCAATGTATACTTGTATATAACTGTATCGAAATAGTTCTGATGTTACTTTTGTCTCCGTATTGAACAATTTTTTGTCAAATTTAGGAATATGGCATACCAGTAATGCATGCACCTATTCTGTTAATCTCCAGATCTGAAAAAGCTGGATGTATCGTTTCCTTCTATTTTGATAACTGAAATATCGTCCGTAATTGTGATGATTGAGTGTTAGAGGTATCTACTAACGCTCGGCATGTAAATGATGCTTAATATTGCACTCTCTAGCAGCTGCTGTCACAAAATACAGTGAATGATAACATCTTTCATGTACATACTTGTATATTCTCTAACACTGGCATATTTTCATACCTGATCACATTTCAGAAAAGCTCTTCAAATTGCGAAAGTTGTCGAGCATGCTAACAGAAGCTCCACGTCAGTAGAGCCTTTTGAAGATTAATTGCTTCTAGAATGTTTTACTTTTGCTGGCATTTGTACTCAATCATCTCATTTCATTTTCATTTCATTTTATATTCTTTATACAGAAAAATCAGTGATGTGCCTACATCGAATAGAGAGAACTTGGGAATCAACAAACATGGCCAGGGTGTTAAAACCCCTAGCCCTTCCTCCCTTCACGATCATATTTCCAAAACTGGACACGTAGCTTCTGTTGAAGATTTTTCGATTCTCTCCAAAACAAACAACTCCTTTGATCTACTTATTCATAAAAGCCCCCTCATACACAGGGACAGACCTTCGCGCAATTCCCAACAGTCCTCTATTCCCATGATTTTGTTCTGACTTTCTTTCCCGCATTGTTTTCTTTGTTTGACCTTTATTCCTTGTTTATTTCTCTAGGTTGTTTATTCCTTGTGTTATCTCTTGCGTCCTTATTGCTCCTCCAGCGTACTTCTTTAACACATGATTTACGATCACCTTTGTTTAGCTCTTTCGTATTTAAGTTGATTTTTTCTCGCCTGTAATTATACTGAAGATGACTCTAGCCAGAGTCGAAACGTTTAATCTAATTTAATAGACTTGTCGAAATTGCCTAAATTGGAACTGTCTTAATGTCTTAATGGATTTGTCCTAATTGGAATTGTCCACGATGTAACAAGAAGCTGACGAACACATGATGTCTTTTTTTCATCGTCGTACTGGTTATTGATTTCATTATTAAGCTGCGTTTCCTGAAATCTCAATCTAAAAAATGTATCCAATGGCTTCATGTACCCAAATCAAGTACAAAAACTAAAGTTAGGCACTTTGCTCGATTGTTGTGGAAAATTCCCTACTCTACTTAAGTTTGCGATTTTCTGTGTCAGAACGATTTTCTGTGTCACGATTTTCTGTGCACATATTATATTTACCAATATCATTTACATCTGACCTGAAAAATATGTACGTGTCTATAATAGCCATGTTAAGAGCCTTGTCAAACATCTGTAAAAATTGGCATCCAGTTCTCAACGTTTAAGCAAAAGCTTTTGGATATAATGTCTAATAATTGTAGATCTTCGTTCACAAATCGATCTTCAGTATGTTAGATTAGATGCCATTGTCAAATATTGATACTATTTTGGACAAACAGTTTAAAATACACATCCTTCTGGTAAGCAACCTTTGATTAACAACTCTTATAAAGTACTACATGGAAGTCGCCCAGGCATCACTTGTTAAAATAGAACACAAAATCAGCAGGACCTTTATCTCAAACTAGCATTACCTCTTCATCATGATCAACTGTTTACTATCTAAAGATATTCTCTTGATGACTGAGATCAAAATCTGTCAAGATTTGAACAAGGCCCACTTGGTCTGCTAGCCATCCTTTAAATATGATGCCAGGCCAGACCACTATTATCCACGAAATTCGAACCAAATTAAAATTACATTAGATAAATCATTTACAGAATCATAATATAATTTCATTATGATTTCACTAGGCGCTTCCGTATCTTTCACAATTAAATGGAAATCTTACACTTCTTTTAATTCTGAACTTTCTCAAAAACTTTGCTTCCTCATCTCAAATTCTTCCTTCTCTAGACTACCGCTCTCATGTTTTAGATGGCTCTCATTTATCTTCTTTGTATCATGTGCCTCATCAACAACTCTAGCCCTTCAAAGTCTCTCCAACCACTCCCTCTTCGATGTTATGTTACTGACGCTGACCTTTCAATCTTTTACAGATACTACCGTGGATATTGTTCCCAGGGAACCAGAGTAATTATTCCTGGTCCTCTGGCACATTTCTGAAACACCAGAAGCCTTTTCCCGTCTTCACCCTTCTCGGGTACCCTTACCAAATCTACGAGCTATTTCCTACAGAAGAACAATTTATCATCTTTTTTCTGTTCGTGCTCTTTTAACTTTTCTTTCTATAAACAACCTTGATCTTTCTTTTAAACGAGTCCTAGAAAATTCACAAATTTAAAAAATTTTAGTGCGAAATATGATGTCAATTTGTGGAACAAGTCACAAAAGGGAAAATTTTCAACCCCAAGTAAGTCTCAACTCTACTGTATTGACTTCAATCATAAATCTTGTTCGCTTTAGGAATCTTAATGATAGCTAAACTGAAATATGTAGATGACTTTTTTGCTGGAAAAAGGTGATTTTTTAAGGGTTGGAAAATTTTCGTTAGAATTCCAAAACATGGTTGAGAGTTATTGTTAGCAGAATTTTCGAGTAACAAAATCAAAGACCTTATTGTCCTGTTAGGAAACTTACTACAAACCTACCCAGTTTTATGTTGACATCTCTGCTACAAAAAAGATGATTCTTAGAGCCTACAGTGCCCAAACAGATGGTGTTGAGATGACCATCCCACCCCCTAGTTAAATGTTGACACCTCTGCTACAAAAATACATACGCTCCAACTTCAAATGGTAGGGGTGGAGGGGTAGATTTTAGACAGTACATGGATGCTATCGCGGAGACTGTCTTAATAACTTTGTCCAAGGTTGTAGACTATCTTAGGTTGCGTTTACACGATACTAGATTACTCACGTATCGAATTACTTTTCATATCGGATAGGGTGTGCGTCTCCACGGCTCCATAATAATCAGAAAAGTCCCTTACAACTTTTGCGGAGTGAATTAACTGGTATGTCCGATACATACGTCCGGAGAATCTGGTACGCTTTGGCTCCAGAACCTCGAAGAAGTATGCTGCACATTGAATAGTGGAGCTTTGTCGTGTAAACAGAATAATAATAATAATAATAATAATAATAATAATAATATCATATTTATACAGGTTAACTTTGGTCAACATAAAATCATCATGAAGTCAATCCGGTCTGAACGCAGTCTAAGCAGTGAGCTTTCATATCGGATTGCTGAGACCAATCTGATATCCGGTATCGTCTAAACGCAGCCCACTGTTTCAATGGCGCTGTTTATTGAGTGACTTGGCGTGTATTAGTTTCGCTAGACAAAGTTTCACCAAAAGAAGAAAGACAAATAATACTTTCCCATTCATTCACACAATTTCTAAATACATTCTAATTAAAAAACATGATTAGAGAAAACCACTCTTGTCTACCTGACAAAATAGTCACTGTTATTATATTAAAAAAATAAACACTCGTTTGATATCTACGGAAAAAACCATAGAGAAGACAGAAAAATATACAGAACGTTTTTGACAATAGAGAAGACTACACAGAGCACGTCAAAAACCGTGGGTAAGGTAGAGGGAAAAAAATCGTATCTTACACTCAACTCCTAACTCTATTTTGAATGATATCATTGTTCGATTACATAAACCCGTAAACCGGTCTCAAATTAGCATCAAAATAATATGTAAATAGGCCACTGTCAATAAAATTATTACCCTTATCACAATTTATATACATCATTATACCATTTGGAAATCCCCGCAGGCAACTTTACGATAATAGATTGGTAATGTTCATGAAGCTATCCCTTCCAATGTCCTTTTTGCACTTCTGCTTATGTTTTAGCAAAAGAAATAATTACATCAAAAACTGGGATATAGTCGTGTTAGTAAAAAGAAGGAGCATATACCTCAAACTTTCACTATTCTGGCAAACTTTACATTCTAACCTTTTGCAACTCCTGCACCAAAATTTCGTCGCCATCTCTCATTCGGTAGTTGGAAAGCCATTGCCTAGACTGGTTCATCTCAACGGGTTGCCCACACGAAATGAAAAACATTCGGAATTCCTTCGGTTTGAGATCAACTTTTCGGCATATAATGCGCTTAAAATCCCTAACGTTCATAGAAAGATCCACCAAAAGTTTGGTGAGCTCCTGGTCTTCTTTAAACAACTTCACTTGCACATAATCTTTACGGCTTAAATCGACCTCTGCAAGCCTGTCAAGCTGGCCATGCATTTTTACAAGCTCGTGATAGCGTTCTGGTGGATTATCGCTATTCATATAATACCTGATGAACACTCTTTCAGCATCTTCCCGTTCGTTCTCATCGATTTTGCTTCCATTCAGCTTTTTTATATTCGGCAGCCTCGAAATAAATAACTGCCTCTTTTTTGCCTCTTCTTCGTCTTTTCCTAACGGAACCCCGACCAATCGCAAGTCCGTCAAAACAGGAAACTTACAAATTTCATCCAAGGACTCCCAGCCATTGATATCTGTTTTGCTAAGACTGAGTGTTTCAAGCTGCGGGAAAAATCTTGAGTCGTCTTCTAACTCCACTTCCTTTATGAAATTTTCACAGAGAATCAAAGTTCTAAGACTGGGGAAAATTTTTCCAATTCTCATAACATCCTGCCAGTCATCAAGATCATTGCTATTGAAGTGGAGTTTTGTAACCTTGGGAAATGTAGATGGCCATTCCACAACATGTCCGTAAGAATTTAGGCTCAGGTGGAGCTCTTCAATCCTGAAAATAAAGAGAATGGTCAACGATCTCGAAAAGAAAAAGTTATGGGAGCTAAGAAAAAAGTATATACTGTAGCTGCCAAAAAATGTGATCTATAAAAGTTGGACAGGAAGGATTTTGTGGACACTTAAAAAGTTTAAGGAAGAAAGTAGAGTAGTGGGGGAGGGGTGGGAGGGAGAGGGGGTGGGGTGCTAAAATAAATTGTAAAGAAGCTGGCTAAGCTGATCAAGTTGTGGCCAAAAAAAGTATTCGAAAGTTTGCTTTAAATATTGAAAATCAGCTACAATAAATCAGAAAAACTTAAATAAGTCCCACGTCTTATTCCTGGAATCTTACGTACTTCTCGCTGAATGGTTAACGTTTTCGTCATCATATCGCCTATTCTAGTCGACGTACCCAGAAAATTAAGAATTTGTATCGCAAGTAAGGCTCCCTTCCGTATCTTTCGGTAGCAACTTTCATTACTTAAAAGAATTTCTCCAAAATGGCCATTTAATGCAATCATCTGATCATGCAATGGAAAATTATTGAAGCAAAAAACACACGGAAACATTCGTAACATACGTACTCTGGGAAGAAAGACAGGATTTTGAAGATGATCTCGAAAGGCAGCTTTGTGTTGTTGAGAACCAGGTTCTTTAGTTTTGGGACTGGGTTATTTTGCGTGATACTCCTTATCCTTTCTTCATCAAAATAAAAATGAAATGGATTTGAGCTGAGGTTCAAAAATTTCAATTTAGGAAGCTGGCAAATTATTTTGAATACCTGAAAAGTAAAAACACGAACAAAATAACGTATAGAAAAATCAGGTTTTAAAGCAAAGACCTCAAAAGTACATTTTCATTCACAAGATTCTTTGAGAAGGACTTTGAACTTTAGCACGGTAAACTCCGTTTACAGTCAATCCGCTTAAAATTATACTACTGGTTACAGTCACAAAGATTTTCGGCCCAAATACTCAAAGCTGTTTAATAAACCTCCGTTTACAGTAACACTCCGCTTACAGTCACAGCCTTTCAAGCAACATTTTTTACGAGTTTACAAGATTATACGAGGTTGTTCAGAATGGCAGATATCTTTGGTAAAACTACAAATTGTTTATTACATTATTGGCAAAAAAGACTGCGACAGAAAATGTAAGGAAGGGTATCCATTTATAAGATAATTAAGAGTTTCTATCTATTGCATATACTATATCATTACGCAGCACAGGGAATTTCAAGACAGTCTTCTCTTCTGTAGACACAGTCTTTCAGCTATGGCAATAGATTTGTACAAACTGTGTCTTTTAAAGGTGGCAGGTGTGGCCAGAATTTACTTAATAAACATTGGACAAACCTGTTCCCAGCATTGAATAAAGTTCTTTGTCAAGTCTAGCTCAACCAGATTTGGGCAAATCTCAGAGATTTCTCCAGCCTCACCTGCACTACCAATTTTACAGCCATCAAGAGCAAGAATCTGTCTTTGGTGATGGCCTTGCTTGTTGATCAAGGCAGCTAATAAGAAAAATTTGCAAATGTCAATGTAACTCTATTGGAAATTCTATAAGCTATCTATTGGAAATTTTTAATGGGGGCCTCGCCACCTTGGCAGCTTTCTAACACAAAAAATTGATCTGGAAAACAATAAAAGAGTTTAATTTTCCATTTGGGATACTCTGTAAGCAATTGAGACCCCCTATCTATATCATCAAAATCAGAATTGGTCAATAAAGGCAATATTAAGATTTTCAATAATTTCAGTTTCAGTAAGCCAATGCAGTTAAGAGTAACTTCATCTTTGAATATATGATTTACAAACACACCCCACCCAAACTTTACCTGTAGGAGATATTCACTTTTAAGGATCAGGAAGAAAGGAGTACTCAGAATTAGGTTTTTTTGTACATATAGCGATGATGAAAAACTGAGTAAATAAGAAAATGACAGGGTTTCTGTAACAGACTGCTACATAAGGAATGCCAGTTTTTCTGCAATGGTCATATCATATTATTGTTGGTTGAAGCTACTAATTGTGGTTGACCAAGAGTAATATGCAATACAATTTCACAAATCTCCTTCCTGGCCTTTTGAATGATCTGCAGCATTAACAATTCAACAACTGTGTCCTAATAGAAGGGTAGAAATGGGTACTGTTTCATTTCAAAACAAATACATTTGATATCCTTGACAGTGTGAATAAGAATGCACCAGGTTTGAAGACAAAATGTTGAAACTAGGCTTGAGAAGAAGAAGAAGGGGTTTCAGGGCTTGCCACTGAAAATTCTCTAAGAAATTGTACCCAAAACATCTGAAAAACATAATTTCATAAAGACTGATTACAAAATCAACACTCATTAGTGCTGCTGGTCATTTACTTATGCTATTAAAATATCTGAAAATAACAGGAATATTCAGAAAATAATGGGTACCATCTTGGCTTACTATTTGCAGCTATCTGAAATTATTTAATGGAATGTTCCTGGGTTGGATGGAGAGCTGCTGTGACAGCCAATTGATGCCAGAAAACTAAAACCTTTCAATTTCCTGTCTTCATTTATCACATCTGACATCTTTTTCTCATGTTTCAAGGACATTTGTGTTTTGGCATGACAGTAAACTTTATTGCCAGCAGTTGCAAGAATTCAGATATCCTGCAACCTTTTGATTTTGAGAAACAATGTTATCAAGTAATAGGTTAAGCGTCAGCAAAAACTATCAGTGTCGTAGGTAAGAATTTCAAGGGTGGGGCAGAAATTAAGAAAAGGGTTCAGTTCTTAGAGTAGGGTTTGAGGGCAGAAAGGGCACAGCTTTGTGGCCCACAGGCACGCTGCTGCCTTGGTATTACTTGCAAAAGTACCAAAATCTTTTTTAACTGAATTCTTTTATTTGTTAGGGGGGCTGAGACACCCCCCAATAGCCCAAGTAGTTTTGTCCTTGTTTATGTTACGTTACAGACTCCTTTCTCGGATTCAAGCAATTTGTATCTTCACATTTGGCAAAGATGGATAACAGAAATGGAACCTTGGAACAGTGGAACAGAAATGGGGCCGTCAGGCTGTGAATTACCCGTAGATAGCGAGATACAAAATTGATGACGTCAACTTGAATCCATCAATTGGCACCTTGATCACAATGAGTGGGTCAAAATCACTGTCAAATAATACCATTGACTATAAATCAAAGTTGTGTTAGTCACTGCTTTTTATGCGGTTTGCTGTGTTTTTTCTTTCGTATTTTGCAATATTTTAACAAGATTTCATGAAACGAGAATATGATTTTTGATTTTTAGAGAACAATTACCCCACTTGTTTACGGCACGAGGGATAACTGTGCTGTGAAGGGGAGCAAGGAAAATTTATGTACAATATGTTTAAGAATAAAACAAAATACGTGACCTGAATAATTTGAAAACTGGTTAAATATACTATTTTCTATGTTTAATTAAAACTGCTTCACTTAAAAACCCACTCCGGGATTTCGGGTTTTGACGTAATAATGTCACAACAACAGTAACAACTGGGAGTCAAGAACGTAAGAATATTGTAAAGTTGATTCATAAAAAAATACTTTTTAAAACAATTTTTATTGATTTGATTAGTTATTAAATTCAAATAAAGAAAATATTGTTATACCTCTTCGTTTGGGAGAGAGCTGGATGTTGTCAAACAATTTTGGTTCGTAGTCAGCATACTTGCTGTTCAAAGCATCAGCAAAAGTTAACGGTTCGACAGCTTCCTCGACCATTTTATCAAATTATATCTTTCAGTTCGGTCAGTGCAATAGAAAGTTCTTGCGATCAGGTGCATACGGCGAGGGATCACCTCCTAACAATAGCGCACCAGAATTTACACCAAGAATATCTTCTCTTGATTTGGGTACTGCTTCATAAAATAACAATATAACGTGACACATTTACTAGGATTTGATTGGTTGTCCGAAAAAGGAACCAATCAGCATAAAGAATTACGTAATTTTTACGAAGCCGAGGCTAAATTATACTTCTCGATGGCGGTCAACACCGTACATGTGGTTGGAGCCAAAATTGCATTTTTACCAACATTGCTTTATAATCTCATCCGTTCTCGTATCGACAGAAATTGGTATGACCGGATTGATCATACTATAGTGCTAGGAGCTTTACCATTCTTCAGCACAGCGAGAAAGGTGCTTGGTCATACTTTCCTCTAATTTTGCACTCGAATATTTGCTGACATAGCAATTACAGGAAACTGGGCTGGAATCTAGATTGCGTCATATGGTGTTATTGTTTAATTGATTGTTAACCAGTTTATGAAACATGAATTCCACTTGTTGCAAATTAACTTTAATCCAAACTTAAAAAGTATAAACAATGTAAAATTAAGTTAACTAGTATAAACATAACAGAACAAATACAGAGTAGAGCAGAAACAAGCTAGTATTTCCAATGCTCGGCTCACATCACAAGTAGTAACCATACTGGACACGTATTGCGATTTTTTGTCCATTAACTAACTTCTTGCCAACTACTTGCCAACAACAGCATCTGTATGCTGAAGGTCCAGCCCGAAACTTGTTTAGGTATGCCAAAAATATGAGCAGATAGTAAAACTGTAAATTTTGTATGCAAGACAAAGAAAACTTATTAATAGAAAAAACTTTGTTGTATGAGTCTTTATTTTATTCTTTTTCATGTCCACCATGTACCTGGCTTCTTGTTTTACATCAAGTTTTACCCATGCCAAAATATTTTTATTGGTTTGCAGCTGCCAAACCTTGAAAAAAAGCCTGAGTATACACCAAAGATCTTCAGGCTTAAGTACATGAAATGCACCCTGGGCCTATTGTAGGGGACCCAAAAGCCACAAAACGGTGCAAAAATCAGCCCAAATCAGCTATCCACAATTAAATTAGGCACCTGGAAAAAATAACTGTGATGCCTTCAAGCAAAAGCCAACTGCTTGGTTTTAAGAAAAAGAAAACATTGCAAAAAGTATCTGCATTACAAGTTCTTGTTGTTTTCACTCTGTTTCACAAAACAAGCTGTTGCTCTTGCCGAATCTTATTTACCATTTATTGATTGCATTAGTTTTTTGAAAATTCACCCACATCTTGAAAACTGTTGCAAATTTGGACTGCAAGATGCACCTTATGTTGAATCTGCATTCCCCTTAAAATCAATTGCCAAATCTGTAGGTCGCTGGAGAAATAGGGTAAAGACTGTGAAGCTGCAAGCCTATAATTGGCCCATGCCAAGTCCAACTGCAGCTAAGTACCAGTTTTAACAAGATTTAGTGCAAGGCAGTAGTAGAAGATTAAATTACTATAACAAGGAATAGCCTTTCCCTCATAAAAACTGATGATACAGCAACCTTTGCACCACTATTAAAGATCTATGATGTCATTATTGAAAAGAAAAGGCATCTTTTGATGAGTTAAGTGTGGTATGGAGATGTTGGTGTTGAACAAGAAATTGGATATCTTCTACAAGACTGAAAAAATTGACAGAAAGCACAACTTTAAATTAGATAAATTAGAATTTCAAAATATCTTTTTATGAAATGCTATGTTCTAAATTTATATTTGCAAATTATGCACTAGTTTCCTTCACCTCTCTAAACATCTGTAATGTAGAAAAAAAAAAGTTCCCCAGGTTAGTTACATCAAAATTCAACTTTTGGTATTTTGGTTTGTTCAAGATAAAAATATAACTTAATGGGGCAACATTCAGCACCATATCTCTATGTTTGCATTGACTTTTAGGACCAATAGCAGGGAAGCTCCAAGTATTGTTTACGACCGACTCATTCACATCAGTGTCTTATGACTTTTGCAGTTTTATTGGCACTTGACAATAAGCCAACATTTTCTCTAGTCCATAGTGCTCTCACCTGGTCCAAGAGCTGTAGAAAGCTTTTACAATTTCACAAATCAGCCCTGCACACCACCTAATTTGCAGCCCCCTATTTGGCCTTTGAAGCAATATAATGATATTGCAATGCCCCTTTTGTGCCCAACTGTCTATGGCCTAGTTCTTGAGTGAGCCAAACAGTAAATGTGAAATCCATGGACTGCTAGGATGATAGCAGTCTCAAGATAAGATGGTCTAATATATTTAATATAAGATGGTCATATGTTTTTTGACCAATTATTTCATTTGACAAAATCACTTGGTAGTAGAGGTCAGAATACCCTCCTAGGTAAGAATCCCTGTTTCAATTCCTTTTAAGTTTAATTCTGATTTCTGAAACTAATTTTTTCTAATTTCCCTAAAGGTATTTATTCAACAATTCTTTTTAGCTTGCTGAAGAAGAAGGTGTTAAAGGAGTTATATCATTGAATCAAGAATATGAGCTGAAGTACCTTTCACCAACTGCAATAGTAGGTATCATACTTGTTTTTTAATTCAGTGTCCAAATTTCATTTCATTGAGCTAATGAGTACTGTAAGTTTGTTTGTAATAACAACCGATATTTGTCATTCTTTGAATCATTATGATATGACACTCGTGTTTGGTTCTGGGAAAATATCCTTGACACAAAACATTCTTTCTTATATAAATATTTTTCAATAATGTGTAGTTTCCCTATTTCAAGCCTTTCAATAAAAGCAATTCAGTTTGTAGTGCTCTATCCATTGAGCTTAAAGTAATCTCATTGGTTATCTTTGAGATGATGAGGATCAACTGTTTTCTTTTCAGCAAGAGGCATGCTCTTTGCTCTTAATAATCTGATTCAGGAGAGTTGAAAAAATAAACCAGCTTTTCACCACAATTGCCTTTTATCAAGTCCCCAGCAAAAACTGCATATGTGTATTACAATCACCACTTTACATTGATACACTATATTTACAACAAGAATTTTATTAATCTTACAGCAATGGGATGATTTGGGTGTAAAGCAACTCAAAATACCTACGCTAGACTTTGATGCTGCACCTTCCATCCAGGAAATCCAAAAAGGAATAGACTTTATCAATTATTACAGGGAAAAGAATCAAAGTGTTTATATTCATTGTAAAGCTGGGAGAGGAAGGAGTGCATTGCTGGTGACATGCTACTTAATTCAGGTATGTTCTTGGCTGTTATTTAATCATTACTCAAGGTGAATATTGCCTTATCTCTGGCCTGATGAATTGAATCTTTATGTTAAGCAGCACCTAACTTGTTTTTGCAAGACATGGTCAGATTTGGTGGTACTCCCTAGTTGATTTGCTCAGTCATATTGAGCACTGTTAAGTTCTCGCCAAATGCGTTTGGTGGTTGTCGTAAATTTCAATTATTCATCAAATTTGGAAAGTGTGTTACTTGGGCAATGGAAATGTTGTTTGTTTGGCCACTTATCAACATCAAGACTGGTAAGCAAAACGTTTTGTGTTTCGTAACTATAAGTTCAATCTATTTGGCCAAGCTTTATAGAAAACTTTCGGAATATTGTTGAAATATAGTCAAGGTTTGGATTTTGGATTCAACTTTTCAATGATATTTACAATCTTATCCTTAATATCAATACCATGCTCTAGTTTGGTAAGGTCAAACAGCATCAATGTCAATTAAGAGTTTAAACCTTGTTAAATATTTTTTTCATTTCTAAATGCTTGTTCAATCAATCCCAAATTAATAAATAGTTTAAATTCTAGCTTCTGCTACAATTTGCGAAATTTTAACTGAGCATATTAGATAACAAAATTTTGCAATTTAATAAAGTTTAGCATCTGGAACTGTCTGAGTTAAGCAACAAAAACCCATCCCCATGTTGTGATATAAAAAATTTATAATACCCTTACATTAACCATTTTGTATGACCTGCTAAAATTGCTTATTGAATAGCAATTAAATGTGTAAGAGAAGTAGAAGTGTATGATCATATTTAGACATAACAGACACTGAACTATTCAATGATACATCAAATTTAAAGAAACTGCTGACTGAAACTGCTTATCCAATGATTTTTGTTGCAGGTTTGAGTGCATATATTGCCCAGATGTTCTTGTAAATTAAAAACTGATAGAAAATTGTCTTTCAAATTAATCTTGAAACTTCTAATTTTTATGTGATAAATGGACAAAAAGAGCTATTTAGTACCTGTTTCAATGGCTTAAAGGATTGGTTGACATGATACAACAAGAAACATCTCATTGCTTCTGCTATTACTTCAAGTGAACATTCAAACAAAGCTCTGACTTCTGTTTCTAATAAATCTCAACAACTAACTACACTTCCTAACAAGAGCACATGTTCTTATATCTATTTTTTCAAAACTGTAATTCAGTTACTTGAAGAGTATTCCGTGAGAGCTACCTGTCTGACTGCCTATAGCTGAAACTCTTTCTTTTTCTGCACCAAGTGAAGTTTTGACTGTGCATCTTGTCAAAATATTTGCTCCTGTATTGTTCTGTTTCAATTTTCTGGAAAATCGTCTTTCTTGTATCTTTTAGTTGGCATCTTCCTTGGCCACATGTTTGTCAAATTGAATAAGACGAAGCTTTTCCGTGCTTTCCATCAATATTTATTGCTCTATCTATTCTTAACTTTAATCTTATCTTTTCAGTTGCTAGGAGCATAATTGCATCATTCCAACATTGCAGATCGAATATATGCAGATGATAATACAGATTATACTCCATGATAGTACAGATACTGATTATAGTTATGGTAACTGTGGCTGTGAAGACAGGCCTTTGATCGTTATTCTGAAATTGTCAAGGTTTTTATGATAACATTATGAAGAGGGCTGTACTGGTTAATTGCCCAGTGGATAGTGAAGGCAGTGGCGATTATTCCGCCAAAGATGTTCAGAGCGATCATTTTTATGGTCATGATTGTTATTATTAATGGAATTTTATTATTGTAATTATGGCTTTGATCCCACAGGATTAGCCTCTGCAATTTCTTTTGTCTCAATGGTTGTTTTTTGAGTGCCTCTACGGAAGGGCAGGAGTGGAATTTGATTTTTGGTCGATTCGCGATATCTTCCTGTTTGTAAGCAGAATAGGCATTTGTGGCTGTGAGTTCGATAGTATTTAAGAAGGAAGTATATGATCGGGTCCAGTATGATGTTTAGAAACAAGACCCATTTGGGAATGATGAATTGGTAGAATGTGTTTGATTTGATGATACCCAAAGTTTGAAGAGTGAAGGGAATTGTGCATACAAGAAATGCTGTTGCGACAAGGAGTGAGTTGAAGAAGATCGTATGGTCGTTACTGCTTGTTGTACGTGAAATGCGCCTTTTCTTGAAAACTTTGAAGCAGATGGTCAGATAAGAGAGCAGAAGGAAGAAGATAGATATTATGATGGTGTATGACATGATAATGAATGAAGGGCTATTCCTTGTCTTTTCCCAGGAACTCCATGTGCAGTATGCAGCACAGACAAGCCAAATGAAAACGAGACCGACCTTGCATCGAAATTTAGTAAACAGGATATGGAATCTGATAGGGTAGAGAACTGCAAGCAGTCGTTGTATGGCAATATACTCGACATGAATGAGTGATGTGACAATGGACAGGTCCAGGGCTGCCTCGTTTATTGTCTCAAGGTAAGAAACAGCCGATGCAATGTCCTGTGCTACCAGAACGTCGTATATGCCGAAGCCGAACAGCGCGAGCGCTGTTATGATATCTGCGACGCTCAAGCTGAGTACCGTCAAATCAAACGGTAGCTTCGTTTGTGCTTTCTTGAGAATACAGGACATTTGCAGGCCGTTCAACAGAAGCCCGATACTGCCAATAGTCGTCCGAACAGCCGAGTCGATAACCATAAATTTCGGCATGATTACGACAGTACAGTTGTGCTTTACCTTTTGAAACTCAGCTAATAAAATCCACCAAATGTGTGCGGTTATTCTTTTTTGCAAAAGAAACCGATTGATTTCTTCTTGAAATATCGCGGCAGACAGTTCTTTGCACCAGGCTACGCAAAAAATGTTTGTGTCGATATTTGAGTAGAGCAACTGTTACGTACTGTTGGCCGGTAATTGGCCATCTAAACTGGCCAGTTTCGGCGCCACATGTTTGTTGCGTGTTTCGTTAATGTGGCATTGGTCAGCTAACCAAAAATGTCACTTGAACCTTAAATCTTTTGTCGCTGGATTTTTTTTAATGTTCACCATTCACTCTGAAGTCAACAACCTTTTGATTTCTCAATATCCTGTAGATGCTGCCACAATGCTATGACTCTTCACAACAAAACGGTAATTTCGCATCAATGTTGATTTGCCATTCAATGCAAGTCTTGTTGAGAACTGTTTCCAAGATCAAGTGACCTGGTTAAGTAGAAAAATCCGAATATAATACAGTGTTTTCAATTTCATCGATATTACTGAACAGTTTAGTGTTTCGTGTAGTAGAAATAGCGACTTAATGGAGAAGGAACTTTTGCGTTTAAACCAACCGTTGAAGCTTGAACGAATTTAGATCCCTATCATATTAGTCCATTTTTTCTGAAATCCATTTAACTTTTTTCTTCCATGTTTTCTTCTTCATTCGTCAGTTTTTTCTACATTTAATCCCTATTCCTAACATTAAGTCTACCTAACTTCAATTCTTAACTTTAAATCCTATTTATTTGCAAAACTTGCGTTTTCTCGGGCTCCAATCACTTTGCATTCAACATTTTTAATCCGCACAGTAATTCTCTACAAATAGTTTCACAGCAATGCCATAACTGTATAGAATCTCTCTTCAAATCGCGCTTTACATCTTGTAAGCATATCTGTCATTTTAACTTGAACTTCCAAAGGTTATGCCTTTCAGTAATCGATGCGGTGAAGTGTATAACATGATATGTGGAATTTCTTCAAATCGAAAATGTGCAGCTTATGTTCTCTATCAACGAAAAACAGCACTGCCTTGTAGAAGAGGGAAAGCTTGTCAGCTGATTGGAAAACTTTTTGAACAAAAAACTCAACGCGACAATGAACATACGGTACGATCAGAAAGAAATCGTAAAAAAATTACTTCCAGCGGCTTCTACACCTATGAATTTTCTTTGCTTATTCACATTTTTTGCCCCGCCGTGCTCCTTTGAAGATTAATATGTCTAAGTGCTCTACGGAAGAATATCTCATCCTACTATCAGTATAATGTCAGTTCTCCTTTCCTTTTTAAAATATTTGAAAGATTTTAAATGAAATATTTATCTATACTAGTAAAGTTAATCTACCTGATAGGAAAGTTGGTTGCAGATTTCCTGTGTCTTCCGGCGTAGATCGCTCTTCATTTCGCAGATGGTGCTGGACTCGAGTGTGTTTGTCGATTGCCTCTTCTTAGCTGTGTGCGTTTTTATATATCCTGTTGAAGCGAAAATTTGAATGTCATTAATGGAACGTTACTAAGTAACGTGTTCATTTTAATGAATATTTTAGAAACGACCTTCTCTAGCCTCCTATACGGGGGGTAACGCTCGAAAAATACTGACAATGTCTGTATCTGTTTCAATATAGGGTTGAAAGTGAACATTAGTGACAAGAAAGAGCTTTTGCAGATGGTCATCTTTCTGAATGAGGTCTCTTATTCTAATGAGTATTGGCAGCGCTTTTGAAAAGAAGTCAAAATTCTATGAAGCATGTGCTTTTAGATATTCTTGGTTTTGCAACAATAAATTTATAGCCGGGGTTGAATTGTTATACAAAAATGTATTAATGTACTTGAACCTGCACGTATTGCATGGTTCATGTATTAATGAGACAAAAACGTTCTCAATTCACCTGCTTCAACAAATCTTGAGTTTGCCGCATGATTTCCAAATGATATTACGAAATCAGCTTGAAGTTTGCTTTTTATTTCGTTCGCTTTACCATTTTCCCCAGTAGTGTAACTTCTTCGCAACGAAGAATCTTGGCCATCTACGTAACATGAAGTCACCCTCGTACTTAACCTCTTAGGTTTTAGAATTATATGATACTCTTTTAAGATCTCAAAAGCTTCAGTAAATGTAAAATTGCACTAAGGCACCCTTATTTTTCAATTCTAACATTCGCCGCAAAAGCCGAATGACCGCAGAGATCACCCTAGGTGAGACAAAAGGGTTTATTAAACCCTACACCTTAAAGAACAATACAATATTTGAGTAAGTAAAAATCATAAATAGTAAAGTAATATGTTTATTGTCAGTAGAGTGGCTACCTATAATTTGTTTTTGCTTGAAACTTGCACGCCAGGGAATGCGATCCCGCGTTTCAAACTAAACTCTCCTATTTAGTGCTACTTTGTCTTCGAATCTTTAGGAAAAATATGTGCGCATTATGTCGGTTGCAGGGGCTTTATCTCATTATACGCAGGGTATAAACTTGAGTTAATTTTGAACCGGCTTGCTTTTCTCACTAACTCACGAGGAATGTAGCTTACTTAGTTGGCAATCCGAAGGCTTTAGTACAGCCAGCAAATTATTCCTGAATCACGATCAGCTTCACTATGAATAAGTAGTCTCTTAATTAATACATTAGATTTCTTTGTTTTATTTTCGGTGGCAAAGACCTGCCATCTCTTCAAAAATGTTTAATATTGTTAGTTGAGATAAAGTCAAGCATGTTATTGAGATATCAAGCTGAGATTCACCACCTATAAATTTCATTTCAATTAAAAATTTAAGGATGGAATGCTCTGTTATCCAATCATGAGCTTTTGAAGTCTTGTTTAGACTTGAAACAGTTTTCAAAAAAAAAGCGTTTTCGTGCATCACTATCAACATTTTTATACAAAATTTCGAATGCTTACTTCGCAATCGACTGTGGCAAAAATGCCTTATGAAGCCATTTTGTATGAACTCAAGCATCCACGCATGAAAGACTCGAGGAATTCACGTGAAATCACTCTCTGATATCAACTCCATCTTTCAGAAGCCATGTTCCTTGAATACAATATGATTTGCTTATGTCTTAGCCTGCTTGTAAGAAATGAAAGAAAATATTGCACTAAAAATTAAAGCATTAATGATAGTTAAAGCAATAAAGCTCTTCTCGATTTTAACATTTTCTTTGAAATCGCGCAAAGCATTAATCTGTCATTTTTTCCTTCTGTTTCTTTTTTCCGTCTGTTTCTTTTTTCCTTCTGTTTTTAAAACTCTTGGATGTGTTCTTAAAGGTAGAATAATAACTGGTAGGTGGCAACAGCGGTTTAAAATGGTAAAATCCCAGAAAAAACAGCAAAAAATTTCAAGGTTTTTATTACCCATCATAAAGCATACTGCAGGTGATTCCTATACCTCACAACAGCACAGGCTGCCGTGGTAAACATTATACTTCACTAAAAGACCCGCCGAGAGGGGGCAGGGTGGCAGATTTTTCCAGGCCTTGGGACAAGCGGGGCCCCAAAAGGTTATAACAAGGTTCCTAACAATAACAACAACGATAATAATCACAGTTTTTTGAGATCATCTGAATATTTCACCAAATCTACAGAATTTAACCGTCAGAAAGATTTCTCATGTTTGTGCTTATATAAAGTATGAGCAGTAATGCTTTCCATGGATTTTCTAGGAGGGAAAGTATTCATAAAAAGAACTCAAACCCACCTGTAGACCATTGAAAACACAACACTGGTGACTGGTGTGAGTCTCTATGGTCATCCGTGCTGAAATTCAGTTTCAAAAACTTGACACTACACTACACAGACACTACATTTTGGACAGTTTTTCGTCTTCTAAAAATATTAATTATTGCATGTTCAGTAGCCAATGCAGCAATGTTGTTTCCGGGTATCAGGCTTCTCTCTTAGAAATCATTATATTTTCAAGCTCTGGAAATTGAAATGCGTTTGCTTATATGACAAACGGTAACTAACTTTATGAATATATTAAGATTGCTTCTTATTTTCTTAAACAAAACATTAATGGAAAAACATACCGATTAATGTTTTGTTTTAAAAAAGATTCAATCAATAAGTGATTATAAAATCTTTCTCTACCTTTGATCTATTTTTATTTTAGATTTTCTGTAATATCTGTTGTGATAGACAACAGTTTTAATTTGAGCGTCATATTTTCGATATTTCGTAATTTGTATTCTGATATTGTGATGTAAGTTGAACTTGGCACTTGACGGCCCTGTTTGAATTATAAACGACGAATTTCAAAACAGGTTATCTTCAGTTTTGTAAATAAACTAATTTTTAGGTTAATGCGCCTTTTGGTTCTGTGCATTGCTGGGGTTATGGCAAATTTAAGAAATAAGGCTACTTCAACCAACAGAGGCTTAAAATGTCTATGTTTTCAAACTTTTACGAAGATCGCTATTTACAAACCTCATTTTCTAGCATGCTTCTTGCAAATTATTTAAACTGCTTTTGAAGGGTATTACCAATCTTTGAATATATGAGATCATCATAATGCTCGCACGATTAGGATTTGAGCTCAGATTAGAATTTTAACAGTCCAATTTTTAGTCCGGATACACAGTTGCAAATTACAATGAAACCATTTACCTTAAGTCAATATAACAAGCAGCAATGAAAACTTGGAAGAAGAATAAATTTCGTATCTTCAAACCGAATCTGAAGGTGCAAATTTTATACACTTGTATTCTTTAAAATGGGCGAAAATTGATTCGGTGTATAAAAAGAGGAGTTCAGACAGTCACTTCCTGGTACATGCACAATTGCTTCATTTTGATGAAATTTTAAGTAGGAGAGCCCCCGCACAGAACTCCTAGTTTGGCTTGTACACTGAGCTGTTGTTTCAGTGTAGTCCGCTTGTTACGCGAGCCTTTTGGTAGTTTTCTAAATAGCAGTATTCACAAGTTTTAGCTAGAATAATGACTGGTATTTTAGAGAAAAATCATTCACAATGCGAAGTAGGCATTTTTACATAACTGAAACTGAAATGGTCACGTTACTGGATGCGCCTTCCCTTCCAGCCACCTGTACAACACTTCGTCGATACAACACGGTCGCGCTTTGAAATTTCTTCAGTTTCTTGTTTCTAGCGAATCAGTTCCATAATTGTGATTAATTGTGCCTTACAGTTATGCATGTACGTCAAGTACTACTGTTTTGGGCTGCGTTGGGGATACACCTCTGCAGTTTAAATTTTTTACAACCCGCTACCATGTCCACCTGTACAATCAAACACTTTTTGCTAGCATAACTGGAATAACATCTCGTCAAACGATGACGTAGAGGGTAAGGAGACTTCCCCATCGATGCATTTCGTGCGTTTCTGGGCTCTTGCCTGCTTCCTAAGGAGTGAAACGCTCCAGCTCAGCAGTCAGAAAAACACAGACTAATGACAATCATGACAATCAGGGGGACACGATCTTATCTGCCCTCTTTGGCTATCTCAAGCACGTGTGGCGTGGATGAAATTTTAAGAATTACACAATTGGCGTTATCTTTTCTTGTCTGCATCTGCTTCGGTATTCCTGATCTCTTGTTGACAAGGTGGTCGCCCAAAAAGAACATTTTCAGGTGTCAATGCGTCATTGGTGTGATAATGGCTTTGAAAATCACACGATATAGTGTTTTTTGTATCGAATGCTTGTTGATTTGGTATCTGTTTGCTTATTTGTCCCGAGGAGTGTCGTGTGGGCAAGAAAACACTTATCACTTTTGTTGCTCAACGTTTCCGTAGTCTACTTTAATGGCGTTGCTGAATCCTTGATTTCGTTTTGAACTTTATAATAAAGAAAACATTTTGAAATATTCTTCTGGACCACTGTCACATTTTGGGTACTGCTGTTACTAGAACAATAGGAAGCATCCAACGACTTGTCAACTTTCATCTCGGATGATGTATTCTCTTTCTCTTTTCTGCTCAGAAGTGACTTGTAATGCAATTTCAGGGCCCACGCAACGAATTGGAGGTGGAGGGGCCAAGTTCTATGCATCGAACTTAAATTTAGTTCTTCAAAACAGGGCCTCTATGGAGATGTTTTTGCTTGTCAAAAAAGTGGGGGGTGGGGGCAAGGCCCCTCCGGCCTCCCGGTGGCGTGGGCCCTGAATTTCATGCCATTCATTAATACTCCATAGAGCCTTTTTTCTTCAAACGAAAGCAACTGAAAAACCTTGTCGTTTTCTGTAGTTTTACTGTGTTTCCTTTTAAAGGTTGGTAAGTCAGAGTGTAAACTCTTACTTATATAGTGACACTGTATTGCATGGACTATAAACATATTTTCGAAGGAATTTTCCATCTTGTTCTTTCCGAACCTTATTGTGACGTCTTATACTATGAGGAATGTCAAATGAAAAAGCTTTAAATATGTTGTAAAATGTTCGCTTTTTTCAATTTTGTACCGCCAAAAGATTTTAACGTATTTTCAATCGTTATGCAATCACTATTCATACTCTGGAGGGGGTCCGATGAAAAGCTTTAGTATGCAATAAAATGTTTCCTTTTTCAGAGCTGTTTCGAAGTGGAAGCAGTTTTTGAAAAATTTCCTAAAGAGACAAGCAATTTTTTTATTAGACCTTTCGGGATCCATATTACTGATTTTTATAAAAAAAACACCAAATATGAAGTCATTTGTGCTTTTCACTCACCATTTTTCAACATGTGAGCTTGTTGTACACATGCTATGCATGCGAGCAAAATCCAAACGCTCTATATAGTCTGTCTATTGATTCATGCAAAATGAACGACCAATGACGATGCTGCATTTGATTTGCGTCAACTAAGTAAGCTAAACAGAGTAACTGAGTGAGTAAATCATAAGATGCTGTTTATGCCTAATGGCACTAGCTCGGTATTCTTAATCGACTGCTTAGATGAAAATATTGGAAAACCGGAGAATTATTCATGCCGCCTTCTGCGACCTTCAACGAGAAGAAATATGTCTTGAGATTTGCATCTTTTCATGAAAAAAACATTAGATACTGCGACAATTATGAACTTCTCTCATCACTGAGAAAAAATAGTTTTGTAAGTTATTAAATACAGTTTGCGGTATTTCTGGCTGGTCTTTCTCTTTAATAACTTTGTTCAATTATGAACGCGTGATAAGAAATGTCATGTTACCTACATAATCTGTTTTAGATAACACGAAATACAATGTGTCAGATTGTCTGATGATACATCTGTTATTTCTACCGCAAGGCCGCCGGGAGGCAGCTCGGGCCCAGGGATGATTCACAAAACAGGACCCCCTTAAGAAGATTTTCTGTGGCCACGCCCTTCAGTCTTCTGGAGAATTCGGGAAACGCTCTGTTCAGTTGCAATTGTTGAAAAAGTTTTTAAGGATTTTTAAAAGAATGTGCAAAAACATTTTACATGAATTAAGGACATGTGCGCATTTCTCTGCGATAAACTTATAAGACTTGGTTACATATAATACATTGCTTTTATTGCATTGTAAATAGATCTTATCGCATTATTACAGGTCCCATTGGAGCACGGGCCTCGGACCTTTTGCCCCTTCTAACCCCTCTATCGATGCCCCTGTTCTACCGTCATTCCTATATTGAGACCAAGGCCCGAGATACTGGGGGGTGGGGGCCTTGGCCCACAAAACTTGAATAGTGTTTGTAAAATACTTTTATTTTGTAAGATATCGATGTTTTAACACTCATTTATCAGGGCTGCGCCCCCCCCCCCCACAAAATGTTGTATCTCGGTCTTGAGGCTCTTGTTATTTCGGTAATTCATTTTGGTAATGTATATCTTTATTAGGTCTGTTTGGGAAAAAGAAAACGTTTTTTTAAGTCTGTTTTTTTCCATCGCACTTTTCTTGTCATTTTTCATTTGACAAACTTTTAATTTTATATTAAACCCCGTCCACTGATAAACGCCGCCTCTGTTGAACGCCGATCCAAAGTTGGATTTTTTATAAACAGCGCGGCGTTGTTAAGGGGAAATACGGTTATTTGTTATAGATAACACGAAATACAATGTTTAAGATACTCGGATGATGTATCTTCTATTTCTACCGTCATTCTATGCCTATATTGAGACACTTGTTATTTCGGTAAGGCACATCGGTAAATGCTTTTCCTTTCATTCCAGACAAATGGGATGAGCCCGGACGAAGCGTTCAGTTTCATCAAGTCAAAAAGAAATCACGTATTAGTCTGGGAAAACCAACGAAAGAGGATACAGGAATTTGCAGCTTTAATGAATGGATGAACATTTTTGAAAGCGCATCGCATTCTATTGCTTTAAGCCTTCTCTTACCGGTCTGTTAGAATTAGAATTAGAACGATGTGAATCATTTGTAGGAAATTTGTTTTCATTTCAGAATGAGTGAATTTCCTTGTGTTTTATAGGCATGTAAAAAACTAAAAAATCAATATGTGAACAAAAATGTAATATCCAAAATGGAAAAATAAGAAAAAAAGGAGATAAGGAGTAATCACTACCATCTGGTTACAGCCTCAAGTTCAGATTGGGGGTGGGGGGGGTGGTTGTGTGTGCCCCTTGTGTATTTAGAGAAATTGGCTTGAGAAGGGCAGAAGATACATTAAAAAAAACTCATCAGCCAGAAATCCATGAAGGACATATCAGTGCTTTAATTCGGTATGTCCATTTCTCGTAGGCGACCCTCGCAATCCTGCGTCCAGGATCACGGTTGCAAACGTGATAAAAAAATATATGTTATAACGATCAACAAAAGTAGCAATCGACACTAAGTGCTTGTTAAGGTATTGTAGAGTGTATGGAGGCTATTGAATTGAGTGGGTGGGGATAGACAGGGTTGATCGTAGCTTTGGGAACGAAGATAGGTTTATAACCTGTACCTAGGGACATAAAGATAGGGTGGGCATGGTTGGGTGTGGCTGTGAGAAGAGAGGCTCGAATGGGTAGGGAAAGGGGGTGTAGAGTACCTTATCTGAACATGGGTTTGTATGGATAAGTTGGAAGAAATGAACAAGGCTGGGGGGTGAATTTGGAAGGGAAGGGTTCAATAGCTATGGGCAAAGGGTGGCGGGTACCTAATAGTGTACGGAAAAACTAGATAGAGTATGTAGGAGTGGATAGGGCTGGGTGCTGATATTGAAGGGGAGGAGCACTAGGGTAAGGTAACCTCATCTGTGTAAAGGGACACGTGATATTGAAGGGAGTGTAAGAAGCCTCATCTGTGTAAAAGGACACTTGTATGAAGTGGATGGGAATGGGCTGGTCTGAATATGGAAGGGAAGGGTTCAATGGGTTGGGGAAGGGGGTGGGTCCTGTGTGCGGGAACATATAGATGAATTGGGTGGAGACGGACCGGGCGTGACTAGAGACGAGAGGGGTTTAATAGCTTGGGACAAGGGGTAGTTGTGGGATGCCTTATATGTTTCAGAGGTCCCGATCTGAGGCCCCAATTGTTTGATGAAAACTTTGTATTTGGAACATATGCATGTTTTCTTCTTTCAGATGCCACAATACCGTTGTCCGTCAAAAGTGTGGCGAGATTTTTGGTAGCGAAAATGTTTATATTCTAATAGCAGTTATATCAACGTGCTATTGTAAAATCACACTTATAAATACACCTGATGGGTCCTTGAAAGAGTTGTAATGGCAGGTATGTGACACTAAGTCACTGAATGAGGCGTTGTAGTTGGATATGAAGTTGTGTAATTATATTTCCAACGAGAGGAAATAGTTAAGCAGTAAGTGTTATCTTACTAGCCTCAAACCAATGAAGGAAAGCAACAGAAAACACTGGCGAGCCGCGAATTCAATTGTTAGCACTGCATCTGGGGCACCGTTGAATGTGTATGTAGTAATTATATCGGTTTGTGAAATCAAATCGTAGCAATGACTGGTGGTAAATGGAACCAAAGTGTGTACAGTTAGGCGTCGCGCTTCAACGGAACCTGCTGGACCCGTTGCAAATGGAACTGCTAGCCGTACCCAAACGGGACAGTATGGAACCGATCCTGTCGAGGTCCCGTCACAACGCCAGGGACAGTTTCAAATGCCTAAATGCGATTCCAAGGACGCGCGTAGCACAACAAGCTCTGAAACATTGCAACACATCTATCGAGATTCAACAGTTGAGTTGATTTTTGGGGTTTGCAATTCATGAGAAGTTGTGCCAATTGCCCGTAGAATGCGTTCCCAAAGAACGTATCCATAACAATCCATCCTTTCTTTGAGTCTCTTGGCACCATCTCGCTCATTTTTTTTTTTTGATGTCAAGGTAATGCTAGTTAAAACTGTTATAATATGTGGATATCTATCACAGACAGCACGAACAGAATCAATACGAGAGGTCAACCTTGTGATACAGAACTTCCTAAGTGTCAAAGATCCTGCGAAACCTTCAACCCTGAATATTTCCCATCTATTCAATGATGAACCGAAAAAATTAAAAACATTCTTCAATGTCCCAAAGAAATCATCATTCTCAGGTACTGCCCCCATAGAGTCACTAATGACCAGATTCAAGTTTGCACACCAGCACATGTGTTGTTTATCACCGTTTGCACACCAGCATGTATTCCACTCATGACGTTTACACCATGATATACTTGGCCTCTAATTTTGGAAATGCAGCCAAAGGTCTTCTAAAGCCCCGGTCAAACGCATCCAACATTTCATCCAACATCCAGAAAACCAATGTTGGACGATATGTTGGATGTGTTTGACCACCCATGTTGGGTCACCCAACATTTGCAAATCGATGTTGGATGATGTTTGATCTTGCTCAAAAACAAATTTTGTTTTTCAATGTTGGATGTAATGTTGGATGCGTTTGACCACTCCATCCAACATTTCACCCAGCATTTCATTTTCTAGGCATGCGCATAATTTCAACTTGTTTGTTTTCATTTGAGCGCCAAGTCAATTCTCAAAGTTATCGAATGAAAAATGGAAGGTAAAAGCAAAGAACAGAATTAAATAATCTAAAATTCATAGCTGAGAAAAAGGTGGTGGATTAAGCCGCACTGACGTGAAGAGTGAGAGAAGCAATGGCAATCTAGATTTAGGCACATCAAGATTAAGAATGATTTGGCTGTTATTGCAATACTTTAAGCTCACCATCTGTTATTTGTACAAAATCCAAGGAAGGTCTCTACATTGTTACATTTATTATCCTTTATCTGCACCCAACGCATCACAATGCTTAACTTATCTACTCGTGTTATATCATTAGTAGAGTCTAAAATCAAAGACCAGAATGGAGCCTTGTTGATCTTTTGAACAAGAGATGAAGTGATTTCTTCCGACAGAAGTCCAATAGGTTTGTTTTGAATTTCGCAATCGAATATTTTGTAGCTCTTGCAGGGAGGGAAATAATTTTAGAAAGGACCGCATTATATTCTGCTAGCAAAGCAACTATTCCAAGAAAGTTTCCACCCTTGTAATTTCCTTCGAAAGCCTCTTCTCTGTGCCCTCTTAATGACAGATTTAACGTTGTCAAGGTTAGAATTATCAATAAAATACGATCAAGTACTTTGTCCCATAAACGTGAGCTTCGACGTAGCTCTCTTTCTTTGTCTTCATTTAAAGTTTTACCGCACTTGCATTTAAGATAAACTGCCGAAGACTCAATATGATTTGCAGTTTTCTCATGCCTTTTTATCTTCTCTAGCATGTTGTGGATCGAGCCAGATACACCATTCACCCAAGCCATTTGATCAAATATTAGCTTCGACAGCAAAAAGCTATCTCTGTTTTTAGCCAGCCTCCCGGTACTCGAATATACAGGCTATTCTATTTTTGGACTAGGTCTAGTACTAAGCAACAGTGCATTTATTTGTCATTTTTCCTCTAGCAGTGTCTTTCACAAAGTGTTCAACAACTGTTCTATGTTTTTTTCCATTCCAGGCTATTTGGATCCATGTTGCTAATGCTATTGTTCAGGAAAGATAGCTTTTTTGATGCATAATTAAATTCTTATGACAAAAGTAGCAGCGACAGAACAGAAAACATGCATTTGCCTTAATGTCTTTTGCAAGGTGTTCAACAACTATTCACTGTTTTTTCCGTTCCAGGCTATTTGCATCCATGTTGCTAATGCTACTGTTCAGGAACAATAGCTCCTTTGATGCAAATTCAAATTCTTATGACGAAAGTAGACTGTCCACAGAACAGAAAACATGCATTTGCCTTAATGTCTTTTGCAAGGTGTTCAACAACTATTCACTGTTTTTTCCGTTCCAGGCTATTTGCATCCATGTTGCTAATGCTACTGTTCAGAAACAATAGCTCCTTTGATGCAAATTCAAATTCTTATGACGAAAGTAGACTGTCCACAGAACAGAAAACATGCATTTGCCTTAATGTCTTTTGCAAGGTGTTCAACAACTATTCACTGTTTTTTCCGTTCCAGGCTATTTGCATCCATGTTGCTAATGCTACTGTTCAGGAACAATAGCTCCTTTGATGCAAATTCAAATTCTTATGACGAAAGTAGACTGTCCACAGAACAGAAAACATGCATTTGCCTTAATGTCTTTTGCAAGGTGTTCAACAACTATTCACTGTTTTTTCCGTTCCAGGCTATTTGCATCCATGTTGCTAATGCTATTGTTCAGGAAAGATAGCTTTTTTGATGCAAATTCAAATTCTTATGACGAAAGCTGACGGCCCACAAAAAGAGCACATGCATTTGTCTTAATGTCTCATTCAAAGTTATCAACAACTTTTAATTGTTTTTCATTTCAGGCTACTGTCACCAGCCTATAATACTGATTTAATATTTTGCTTTCATCATCGTCATTACAACAAAGCTCCGCTAATTTGACTATCAAATGTCTTGTACTGGAAGGAGAAGAAACATCCACTGTTTCAGGTTCTTCAACATCACCTACAAATTGTAGATGAGTATGGTGTGGAGAACTTCCATTCACTTTTGAGAGCCCAGACCAGCGCCCATAGCACCCGAGAGGAAGTAAGAGGGAAGGCACGAGAAATAAGTGCCACAAAAGATGTCCTCAGACAGTTCAAGAGCATTCTGTCGCCAGGTCCTCTGCTTGGCTGCAGCACATGCTGTTAAATAGGCCTAAGTCGATGACTTTTGAAAATGGTAAGTACCTTGAGATCTAGATGATGAACAAAAAATCCCAACGACAAAGTTGTAGATTTGCCTTCGCTGGGACCTAAACTGTCGATTTTCGCGCCGAATGCACTTCGTGTATGCTGGGGAGGTTAAAAGCCCTGAACCACTTTTGTCCGGAGAAAGCATTAAGACTTCTTTGCTTTTATTTAAGATTTCATTAACGAATTCACTTGAAAATAAAATTGACAATTTTCCTAGGAGATTATTACGAGCATGCATCTTTAGCATAATTTATCCAAAAATGATG